CAGGAAGCTAATTACAGTGCCGACTGTTAACATACTTTTTTTTTATATATCAGAGAGATTTGAGACACCTCTGCCTTAGAGTAAATCACAGGGGGCATGTTTTTGTTTGTTCTGTCGTATCAAGATGATAAATCATTGATAGCCCCGCTGAAATCCTCCTGCTGAATGATTGTAATGAAACCTGAACATCCTGAGCTGAGGAAGCGTACAACAAACCGCTTGGTGTCAAACGGCTCCCTGAAGCCACATCAGACACCACCCGGTCAGTTAGCTGTCACAAACCACATTTCCCAGGATTCTCTTTGATTTTCTTCGATTAAAAACAAAACTGTCATACGTTTCAACGACAGAGGAAACAAACTGATATATGTGCGTGTCTGAGGAGGTCATTCATCTGTTTCTTAGTGTTTTCTGAGGATTATGTTTGGTAAAGGTTTTTAATAGGGGGATAAACCTGTTCAGAAATTGTCACAGATTTATATGAAGACAAAACAACTGACCATGCAGGCTGTAATGAGTCTGCAGGGTCAGTCTATATGTCTCAGCAGACAGTTCAGTGTAGACGTGTATCACCATGGAAACCAAGACAGTCTGGCTGCAGACCTCCACTGTTAGGATCATAAACTGTATATACTATGGACAACTTGGTTTCGCCAAAAAGCTCTTGGTATTTATGGGTTCTTTCTCCGCTTCCTGAAACCAGCATTGCGCAGTAGCGTTGTGCGCATTCAGCGGGAGAGTCGCTCTGATGACCCTCGGCTCAAACAGTGTATCCCCCGGGTGAGCTACACAATCTTTGTGCGCCCATAGGCTGTATCAAGCGTCAATCATCGAAAACATGAACCCCCAAATAACTTTTTTAAATGTTCTGTGTAATAAATTTCAAAAGTTTGTCCACAGCTCCATAGGGATTGCTGGGGGAGGCAGGATTTATGACCTATACTGCAGCCCGTCACCAGAGGGTGCTGTTCTCACTGTGGCTTCACCCAGCGAGGAGGCAGACGGCGTCCATTATATATACAGTCCACGGTCAGGACCCTTTGTTGCAAACCTTCACCGTTAAGACCCACCCACTGAGCGGACCAGAAGTTGATTTCAAGCCTTTCAAAATAAAAGCAGATATACCGGGAGTATGTTTTTTAATTTTTTTATTTTTTTATTTTTACGTCGGAAATTAATTCAAAACCTTTCCTATTTAAAGCAATTAGACCAGTAGGTACAGATTTTTTTTTGTCTCGTGTGAATATATTTTATTTCTTGGGGCTTTATTTTTATGTGTATAATTTTAATGTTATTTTTTGGTGTATTTATGTGTTCAGCAAAGAGAAAATACAAAACGGGATGGCCGCTTCAATTTCTGCCCCCCAGGATGTATAATGCTCCTTCAGTCACAAAAGCTGCAGGTTCACTCTGAATTGTAAAGTAACTTCTATGAACTCTCTTGAAAAAAAGGAAGAAAAAAAAACAGCTGCCAGCAGTGGAGAAAAAAAACTGATGTTACAGGAGAGGTGGGAGCAGAGTGAAGCTGAAACTAAGCAGGCCAGAGAGCGGGATAATGAGCTGAAAGTCATTATGACGCTTCAAAGAGCAAAAATAATTTTAATGGCGGTTCGTTGAATGACCCCTTTCACTGAAATACTGATTTTATATTTGCTACATTTTCACATCATATTTATTTTCAGTCTTTTTACTCATCTTTGTTTTAATTAGAATAATGAGAAATCAAATTTTATTTTTCTTTATCGGTGATTATTAGAGATTAATGAGCCCTCATTGCCCTGAATATAAATCACTTGATTTTTACACTGTTTACTCGACTTATCTAGTTGAGTTTCCACTCAAACAAAACTGTATTTTAGGGATCCCTCAGGGATTCTGTGCATTGACTGTTCAGTCTCTTGCAGGAGAGTATTTTCACTCTCTGATTCAGCCATAAACTTTGATTTTCTGTACAGTCAGATCTCAAACACATATATATTTACACAGTCCTGTGCTGGATCTGCTTTTTTTTTTTTTTTTTCGATTTCATCCACTTCTTCAACATGAAATTTTACCCAGAGTCATGTGAGGCTAAATACACAACACGACATGATTGGTCATAAATCCTCACCTCCACATGCTCATTGATAGCCCCCATAAAAATCCTCATCTTCTGCAGATTGACAGTAAATTCCAGCAGACCAACAGTGCCGGAGTTAACGTGTCACTGTGTCACTTGTGCTGCATGTATTTGCATGTAGAGCGTGTTTGCTGCAGCAGTTCATCCAATGTTGATAGCTTTTCTCGTTTGATCGACCGTTCATCTGGGTGGATTACATGTCTGATCTCTGAGTGAGAGATTATTGTGACCAGCAGTCTGAGTGTGGTGATCTGCAGCTCTGGTTATTGCTGGTGTCTTGTTGCTTGAACAGCAGACAGATCTGGTGAGGTGTTTATAGATTCACACATGTATTGGCCGGGTATGCAGATGGGCAGGATTGACCTGCTGTGACCTTGGAAGGCGGAGGACGACGGCGACCTCGGGATGGGCAGAACATGCTGCAATGCAGCAGAGCAGAGCAGAGCAGTGGCGCTGCATGCTCTCTCTCACACACACACACACACACCCACACACACAAACATATAAACTGCAGCTTGCCAATACATTTTCCTCACACATACAAACACACACTACTGTAACAAAGAAATAGAAACTGCAAAACGTGCACACATGTCCATAAATCAATAAGTACACACTCACACACACACACACAGACTACACACACTCCCTCTCTCTCTCTCTCGCTCTTGTTCCCTCTCTGTCTTCTGGGGTAAGCAGGCCAGGGTGTGTCTTAATCAACCTGCTGGCCGGCTGAATGCTCACTCCACCCACGTGACTCTGCATATTGAATAGCACATAAATGTCCACATGCTCACACAGTTACCTCGACACCCCTCTACAAATGCACACCTGCACTAAAGGAGAATATCTGTACTCGCACTGATGATGAAGCTACATTCACAGAAAACCTACCAACTAACAAAAGTGGCCCTCTGATACATCCTGGCGTTACAGTATATTGTATTTGACAAACAAATATTCACTTTTCCTTTTCTCAGCATGTCAACAACATTTGCTGTACGGAGGATGAAAAGAGCCAGAGTGAAATATATAAATACATCTTGAAATAAATACATTTAAAAAAATAATAATACACTAAATTAATGAAGAGCTGCAACACATGTCCATGAAATAATTAGATAAATATTGAAATAATAATACTTAACAAATTAATGACACATTAAATGACACATTTATTTATTTATTTAATTCCCATTTATTTAATAATGACATATTTATATATTTTATTCTGTCTCTTTTCGTCCGCCATATTCCTCTTATCATACATATGATTTAAGGCAATCAAGTCGATCAATCAGCTGCTTTAGATTCAGGCAAAGCACAGAAAAGATCATCATTACTGAGATTTCCTTGAGTGAGCTTATTCTGCTCTCACTGGTTTTTATCATTATGCCGGTACATGTAGAGGAGGTCCTCAACCACACACACACACACACACACACACACACACAGTAGTATTTATGTTGACCTTGCCTTGACTTTCATTTATTTCATGGAGGCGTATCCAAACCCAGCCTTGATTATTATCTAGTTGTATTTTTCAATCTCAGAGAAACCTGCTATTTTTTTTTTTTCAATCCCACTGAAAATTCTGATTCCTCTTTTTACAGGAAGCACAAATGCCTCATGGGTAATTTGTCCCTTTACTAGCATAACCATGGCCACTGCTCTACATTTTGAGATGTTTGAGATCCTGTAAATTCTTTATTCCTAATGTGTATCCTTCCACAGCTGAAAGTAGTCCCCAAACAACTCATTTCAATTATCTTTGTTTTCAGCTGTTTAGGGTCACAAACAATATTTTACAGTAGGGTTATATTTTACATAAAAACATTATAAGGTGATTTTTTTCTAGTTATGAAACAGACTGACATTAATACTGATGTTTCTTTATGACCTACAAAAGCAAACCAGAGCGTGAGTGACAAGATTATTTCAATAAAAATTTTTTTAATTTTATGCCTAAAAACTGTTGGTATTAGTAAAAATGATTAAAACATTCTCAAATGCGACTTAGACGTGTAGGGAAATCAGCTGTCAAGTATCCCGTTTTTGCCGGGAAACTACCGTATTTTCCCCCTCTTTGCTGCCGTCTTCCCTTATTAGAATTGTCCCGTAAATCTCCCTTATGATAAAATATGTATATACATAAAAAAAAAACTTCATTCTGCCTCTCCAAACTGAACTCTGTCACCATTGCGCGTTAAGTTCCCACCAACTGGCGGATTATCATCAGCTTGCTGCACTGATCTGGGAGTCGCAAAAATTTCTCTTATTTTCCAAACCAGAACTTGACAGGTTTGGTAGGAAACACAACCAAAAAGGACCACAAGGTGCTCTGTTGTTTTCCACAGAGGGCGCCAAAATCAACACCAATCAAAATGTCTTCCTCTGTTGACCGGAACAAATACATGACACACTGTTAGGGTTGTCATTTGGCCAAAACACACACACACACACACAGCCTTACAAAGGTGTGTGATATTTTTGGTAGTGTAGCAGATGTTAAGTATAACTAGATTCCTCCTGTTTTTCAGGATGTGGGGGGAAATGACTGATGCAGAGGAAGGAAAACTGACTGTTACAGCTCCAGACCTTAACAGGATATTCTCTCCACTTTGACCCTATTGTCTCCGATCTAACAGGATGAGGGAACATCGAATAATGTCATATTTGAGCTCAGACTGCTTCTTTTCTGGTATGACGGATAAATAAACGTCACCATAATCTAATTTTGATATATTTTTAGAATTGAGAAGCATTGACACTGGATCTGTTCCTGCTGTAGCTCCTGTATGTGACATAAAGATGGTTTTCTAACCCAGCACTCACATCTGAGTCACTAAAACATACTGAAAAAACACACGAACAAGAGATGCACTTTTACATAAAGAAGTCTGTTTATTATTTGATATATATCATATGCATCTTCATATAATAGTTCTAATACCAGTAAGTCAAAAATAATAATCATATAATATTTATATAGAGAGATATATAGAAAACTAATCCAATAATCTACTTTTTTACTTGGACTGTAAAAAAGAACATGGAGAAACAGAGAGTCTTATCCCCAGCTTCAGTATAGGCGCTTTAAGGGAGCAAAGAAGATCGAGAAAACAGAGAAATTACACCTGAACATTGCATCTTATAGAACTAGAACATCTGTCAGCAGCTAGTTATGTCGACCATCTCGGTTTAAGACACAGGAAGAGTTTATTTACTTTGCTAGAACATCTTTGACGAATATGGTTTTTGTTTCGTTAGTTCGCTTGAAGTAGCTGTAAAGGTTGAAGACAGTGGTAATCATTTGATCGGCTGAGATAGAGAGACAGAACGTTAGATTACAGCAGTCTCATTACACACTCTGAAGATGATGGGAATCTGAGGAGGAGTGAGAGAAGGAGTGGAAAAACAGGGATGGAGATAGGAGAAAGGGGGAGAAGGTAGGAAAATAATCAGGGTTTAGAACAGCAGGGTGTAGAAAGTTCAGTTTCTGTGCTTCTCCAACATTAATCATCGATTGTAAACAGAGGGCAGCAGCACCAACACTGCAGAGTCCTCTCCCACCGTCTTCTCCCTGTCTCTCGAGTACCTTCATGTCGTATTTGGCAGGAAGAAAAAATCCACTCCGGTCCTTTTCACTGTGGCAGTCTGCAGAAGTTGACCAACTTTACTTAAAGCACATAACCCTCCATATCCTCCCCCCTAACTCTCAAACTCTTGATATGTTGAAATAAAAACATGGAGGCAGGCTGTTTCAGGGCTTTGGACGCAGACAACCCCACAGACGATGAACCGATCTGGAGCCATGGAGGGTAGAGTCCAGGAACCCTCGTGACGCTCAAGGCCAGAGACACGGCAGGACTGTACCACTGCGACCCCACCTCTAATCCAGGAGATTAGCTGCTCAAGGTGAGGTCAAGACGAGGCGTCGAAGCTGTGGAAGAAATAAAGAAACAGGAGAATGATTTTTATTGTTCTTATTGTTGTTTATTTACGGAAGCGTATTGCATTCACCACAAAAAAAAGCTCTTCGGTCAAAGTCAAGTCAAAACGTTTTTCGGAGTATCTTTTTTTTCTGTTTTTCAGTGTAATTTTTTTTTTTGGACTAAAATGTCCTTTTTTTTTCTTTCTTTTGTTTTTTTTTCTGTTCTGCTTGTTGGACTAATTTTTTTCTGATTTTCAGAGTAATTTTTTTTCTGTTTGTATATATATATATATATATATATATATATATATATATATATATATATATATATATGTATATATATATATATATATATATATATATATATATATTTATATATATATACATACATATACATATATACATATACATATATATATACATATATACATATATACACATATATATATACATATACATATATATACACATATACATATATACATATATATACATATACATATATATATATACATATACATATATATATACATATATATATATATATATATATATATATATACATATATATATATATTTTACAAGCCTGTTTGCCTTAAACACAGCCAAACACTATGAAGTCCCAGAAGCTCTGAATTGAACTGAATTCTGAACCGGTCAGCTGTGTATCACTTCAGGAGGTCGGAGTCACAGGCTCCTCCCACCAAGCGCTACATGATTTGGTGATTCGGTGAACTAATCTTTTTAGTGTACTGATTCTAGTGATTCAGTACATCTAGAAGTACTGCCATGCCCATCACTAGTCTAGATTCACGCCGTCTAAATGAAGCCCAGTTTTTATCGTTTATTTTCTGGGCTAAATTACAGCCATGACGGGCTGACGTGATTTAGCCTGAAAAAAGACGTCTAAATGACGTCAGGTGTTTGGTGGGATAGATCTGCAGATGAAGTTTTGCGTTTGTGATCGTTGACACAGCCCTCCGTTCACACCTGAGTCTGTTCGTCCCTCAGCTGAGAGTTCTGGGACCTGACTTCTGACTGTACTCTTAGCATAGACTTGTGGCATAAGAGCACTGGCGCTCCTGCCATTCCCTCGCCTTACCTCAGTCACTGATATCTACAGCATGTATGGAGGAGGTGGGAGTAGGTTGAGACAGGGGCATGCAGAGCTGGAATGATAAGACTGCAGTTGTAGAAAAGGCTGTATGCTCTTTTCTTGTGTTGTTGGAGGTGTGGAGGTGTGCGGCTACTCTCTGGGGGCAGGTATGTCTTGTCTTGCAGTCATTAAATATTAACAGAGCCATCTTGCTCTCCCACTGGGGCCTGATTGAAGATGTGGGATATACACAGAGACGGGATAGGGTCACCTCTAACTCTGTCGTCCTACTGTAAACCCATCATGATTACACCTGGGCTAGACTGAGCATGCAAACACATTACTCAACCAAAGCGGTACCAACTCAAAGACAGGATCATAACAGATAATCAGTCAGAGATAACGAGTTCATCAGCCAATGATGAGGAAGGAGCCAAAATGAAAATATTCAACTGTTTTTTTTTTCTTCATATTTGAGGCTTAGAGATCTCTGATTGTCCTTAATTGAACAAACGCCCTTTACACCAGACTGTAAATATGTGTCCAGGCTCGGCTAAATGGCTACTCTGTTTGGTGGAAAAGAATAATGGGAGCTAACTACAGGATTACAGGCCCTGGTGGAGAGAGCACAGAGTGACCTTCATTTGCTGTTCTTCTTTTTAAAGATTCTAATTAACACAAAAGAGGTTTATAAAGATAAAACAAGGCCGACAAGGGCTCTTACCTGTCCCATAGCTTGACATTTCTACAGTTGTTGGTGCAGCAGCCGGCTGATATCAAAGCTGTGATAAAAAGGGGAAAAGAGGAGGAGGTGAGTTTAAAACGGGCTGTTTTGAGAGGAGAGGAGATTAAATATACAACTTTATTTATCCTTTTGGGAAAGTTCCCTCAAGGAAATTAAAAACACCTATAATGGTTGGAGCTTTGTGTTTAGAAGGTACATAAAAAAGTGAAAATAACTCATGAAAAACACAGTGAAGTATGAAGCTGAAGTCGAAAAATGATAACAAACACCAAAGGAAGCAAGGCAGAACAGCAATCCTCGCTTTACCCAAACTTTTGGCAAATTACTGTTTGTTTGTTTTTTGGTTATGGTTTCATTTGTTTGTAAAGAAACGAAAGACAAAACACAAGTTTGAGATTCTGAATTTGTGACACATCTTGCCTAATTTACTGTATTTCAGTTTCTGGATCATAATAGTACAAAAGAGGATTAGGGCAACGTGAAGAGAAAAAAATATCACAGGAAGGACAGTAAAGTCGAAATATTGAGATTAAAAAAATCGAAATTATGTCAGTAAAATCAAAATTTCAAGATTAAAAATTTGAATTTCAAGATTACGAAATGTCGTGAATAATGTCCAAATTTTGAGATTAACACCTCTAAATTTTGTTGACACAATTTTGATTTTTTCAGTGTGAAAGATTTGGAGTGACAGCCAGAAAATAGTACTCAAAGAAGAGGAAGAAGCGATGCTCTATGATCGATTTAGTCAGACTGGATACGGTGGCTAGGCTAGGCTAGGCTAATGCTAACCATGTTAGCCATTAATCTGCACTGCAATATTGATAGTAGGCTGCTATTTTCAGGATGCTCAGTACAACGGTATAAGAGAAGAAAACTGAGGCAAAGGTTTGGAAAGAAAATGCACTGTTTTCTCTGACACATAAACAATCCAAAAAGACCACATAATACAGAGACATATCATTCGTAACCACTAAATATACCACTGATTGAACCACAATACCAGTTAGAAAACTGGTATATGTCACTCTGTTGTAAGTGGCATGCCAGATACCCCCTTTCATTCTCGGCACTACTGGAGTTTTATTAACTTTGTTAAGCAAAACAGCCATTCAGCATACACTATGATAAGACTTTGAATTTGAGTGTCTGTTAGTGGCTAAAGTAATTTGGTTGAACTGTATGTAGGTAATCAGTAACTTTGAGTTTTATTACACAGCGGCCCAACTTTACAAAAAGAGTACTTACTAGTATTTACCACCTAGAGGCAGGCTATCTTTACTTAATCTCGATGAACAGGTATGTTCATATGAATGTAAAAGTGGTCGGTGATGGAGGAGTCTTTATACGAGGAATTGTGGCGCCCTTAGTCGAATGAATATGGACCAATCTAGGCTTGTGTTATGTTCAGGAAAATCATTAGAGGAGAAATCAAACTTCTTAGTGTTGTGTATTTTTATTCTCTTTGTTCAATAAAAAGAGGTTTAGACTTTTTCCTTTCACTGTTGAACTCAAAATTACTGTCTTTGTTCTCTCAAGGCTCTTTTTCTTTTTTGCTGTAATAACATTAACCAAAGACTCCAGTACTGCTTTGTTATTTTTAAGTATTGCTTTCAGATCGAAGTTCACTTGGAGTAGTTTTAAAGTCAATCCACCATATTTGCCCTCACTCTCTTTTTGAGTACATCTACTTAAAACTTCATTCAGTGAGAGAATCGAAAAGCTACCTTTGCCTTCAGCAGTTTAATCTTTAAAAAAAACAAATCTGCTTCTTTACCTTCCTCGCCCTTGAAAAGAATTTTTATCCTCCCCTCCATGATCTCCCCCTCTTTCTCTCTCTTTCTTCACTCACTAACGGTTCCCTCCCCATGAGCCCGTAATCACGTTTTCAGCACATTTCCTCTCCTTGGCGGGCTAACATCTCTCATTAAAGATTCATAACGCTCTTGTGACCGCCGACTTCTGTTAAAGATTCCTGCAGCCACCTTACTCACTAAGTTCCCGCCCCTCCCTTCACTCTGTTTATCTTCACGAGGGGAGGGGTGTATGGCAAGAGGGCACAGATATAAAACGTCTTTAAGGCGTCGGGGGGATGCAGCAGTGGGCTGGAGGGTATTTTCATTTGGAGGTCAGGGTGTGTGGAAAGGAATTGATTTCACGGCTAACGCAAAGCTCATAGAGCGGTTAGAGAGTGGAAAACACATGATCACATCTCACATCCTCTCTGTTTGCACAAAACACTGAGAAAGTGTGGAGGTACTCGCTGCTTTAGTGGTGCATCTGAACACAGGACTCTGTCACTGCAGTTTCTGTTCGCAGCTTTGAATGAATGCAAGAAATCAAATCTGCATTCATGAACTCTGAACCCGCAGGACAAACTAGAGTTACAACTCGGTAGTTGACCTCCAAGTCAACTGAGCATTTTTCCAGAGAAGTTAACGTCAAACATGCTCGACACTTTGACTCATCGTGACAGAAAGCTTGTTGGCAGAGGAAACATCTTTTTCCTCTTTGTCATAGCAGAGAAAAGACTTTTAAGGAAAAGGACCTATTTGAAGTCTTTATCATCCACTTTTCAAGGTGACATTAGGATGAGTCCTGTGTTCACAAAGTTTTCAAGTATACCCTCCAAAGGTAGCTCACAACTTTAGTAAAAGCACATATTAGTCAGCCATGACTTTAGCAGGGTAGCTATCTCCGCTGTTAAATGAAGTTAATGCCAAATATGCAGTTCCTCAAGCGTCCACTAGAGGCTGGACTCAAAAGCTGAGAAATTCTCATAAAATCTCATGTCAAAATGCCCACTCGATGTTAATATGAGATTGTTTATGAGATTAATAGCAAATAGAAGCAGGAACCCTTCTGTAAAAACTTATTGATATTACAAACAGACAGTTATAATTCTGCACACCTGATTGGGAGACAAACAAAACTTAGCATAGAAGGAACTGCAGCTCGCTCTCACGCTTAAGCTGGTTTATCTAATTAACAAGATTTCTGTTCCATAGGGACTTTTATCAGAGTTACAGGCATTAAAACAACCGTGGGTATACACTAAGAAAAGTTCAACTTGTCTGTGGATCACCTAACGCTTGTCAAATAAGTTAGGAAACATAGCGGAGGTGATATGAAACCCCAGCAAGACTTTAGCTTTTATAAAAACAAAGTTAGCAGCTTTAAAAAGATGGTATTAAGAGTTTTCAAGAATAAGAAATTCTTTTTCTTCAAATAAAAACTGTAAGTTTAATTCACGACCCAGTACCAGATGCTTCTCAGGTCATTTGTTCATCATAAACACATGTACGACGCCCATCTGTTGCACATTACTTTTTCTGGGAGGTGTGGTTTCAAACATTCGTAATATTTTTGTCTTACAGCATTTCTTTTCCCAGAAGTGTGACTGCTGTGTGTGCAGCTTTGACACTATTTCAAAGGGAGGGGTCGAACACACGCACTTTTTCAACTAGGAGGAGACGGCGTGAAAGAGGGTAAACAAGAGAAACTTCCTAGAAGTCTGAGAAGTCAGCTCCTCATCCTCAAGAACACAAACTCAAAGATATGCACGCTCAAGGTCAGCTCACACACACATACACAAGTCACAAGGATACAGATTAGTATCATGTGATGAGCAATCCTGTTAACACGCAGCAGCAGACAGGCTCCAAAATCCAGCGAATCCTTTTAAACTGAACTTCATAAAAGTCAAACTCGCTCTTTCTAGAAGCTCCTCAGCATGTGTGACCTCTTCAAGGGGAGTTTCAGAGCGTGAAAACATACAGCACACTTGGAATGTGTTTGTTGATTTAGTTATGGGCAGGGCATTAAAACCAAAATTGGATTTAACAGGATGTGAGCGATGTGTGGAGGGAAAGGGGCTCGTGTGAGGGTCAGAGCACGGGTATATAGATAACATGATTACTCCAGAATAATAGGGGGGGCTAAGCTCGCTTAAATTCCACCTCTGTACACCAGGGCTTGAGGAAAGCTCTAAATTTCCCCACAAAGAGATCTGCTAGATTGGCTTGGGAGACATTACTCCCAGACTGAATATATCACTGTTGTGGATCAGGGACTCTTCTCCCTCCCCGGCAGACACCAGTTATTAATTCTATATAACACAGAACCTTACAGTTTAGATAAAGCAGGCCCATTTCAGAAAAATCAGACCTCTTTTTTTCATTAAAATCTGCTACAGTGAGTTTTAAAATATCATCCAAGCAGGCCAGAATCCAAGAAATACAAAAAAGAGGAGCTTTGAAAAACAACTTTCTATGACTTATACAAGTAATCAAGTTCTTATTGATTTCTGAATCAAGCCAGTAAACACACAGAGCTGCTCTTTTCAGCTCTCTCGATCTCTCAATCTTCTTTGATCCGTCGGCCCCCCTTCGCTCCTCTTCTTCTCTCAACTTACAGGATCAATGCAAGGTAATTTCACATGGCCGTTCCCCTCAGATCTCCTAAAAATCTGCCACATAAATTATTCAGGCCGACTGGGCAGGAAAGTCTGTGGAGATGCATGGCAGATCAGTGACCTTCCGTTTAGCTAGAAGTCAGTCAGACAATCAGAGAGACAGCCAGTCAGTCAGTCAGCGAGTGAGGCTGCCTGGCAGGAGAGCTACTTGTCTTGATGTCCCTCGGGCGGCTGCAGTGCTGTTATGTGCAACTCTGGAGCATGAGGGCAAGTTCTGAATGCATAATGCAGAGATTATGAGTGCCCACAGCACAAACAGAGAGAGGAGCGCAGTGCCGGATATTTACAGAGTCAAGTCGGTGTTTGCTCTGTGGTCGTGTCTCACAGACGGCTCAGACTTGAGAGGAACAAACTTGAAGTTGATGCTGATTCAAGTTTGTGAAATTTGATCTCTGTGGTCGCTGACAACAACACCAACATTGTTTGTCAGTCATGGATGCAGTAGTCATCATTCACTCAGTCGTTATCAGAGAGACTGTTGTAGATAGTTAAGGGCCAATCCTGAAATTGATGATAGAGTGACTGATAATTGATATTTACACAGTCTTGTGACATTTTGAGTGGGACTTAAAGGGATATTCCGGCATAAATTTAAGTTATGGTCAAACACACCATAACACCGAGTTAGACACCCCCCTCGAGAGATGATTGTTGCCGACTGCTTTCTTTTCTAGTTTTACCAACTTTAGTTATGACCGCACAATAGCAATACACAACGGTCTATGTCTCCATGTGCAAACCTCAACCAAAACACCACTCTATAGCCACAAATAATGCTCAGAACAGCACCTAACTTTATCAACACTACATGTAGGGTCACAGCCATAGTACTAGTACTGGACTTTCTTTAACAAGAAAGTCCACATCTCCTCCACTCTCCTCCAGCAGCCGCTTGTTTGTGGGGGAGCCCTGACGAGTCGAACACTGAGTGCAGCAGAGTTTCTCAGCTCAAGGAAGAACATTTATGATCATTACTTTATGGAAATGCAATCAGACCGAGACGCTAAGGCAGAAGGACTACCACATCTGCAGTGCAAAACGATTAATATGGTGATTATTACTTCAGGGCTCCCCCACAAACAAGCGGCTGCTGGAAGAGATTAGGTGAGTTGTGTTAAGTCTCTTTGCTAAAGAAACCAGGAAAAGCTAAAAAGATGTTTGATGGCTAGTTCTATGGCTGGGACCCTATATGTACTGTTGATGAAGTTAGGTGCTGTTCTGAGCATTATTTGTGGCTTTCTAGTTGAGGTTTGTTTATGGCTCCTCAGACTGCTGTGTATTGCTATCCTGCAGTCTTACTGAAGTTGGTATAACTAGAGAAGCAAGCGGTCGGCAACATTCATCTCTCGAGGGGAAGTCTCACTCGTTGTTACAGTGTGTTTGACCTTAAATTAATTTTACGCCGGAATATCCCTTTTAGAAAGGACAGAGTGAATTCAGAGCAAGAGGGGAAAACAGCCAAAACAGCACACTTTCTGATTAATCCAGTTCATCTGCCGTCTGTGAAATAAAACACACAGACTATTGGCTCAAGGTGAGGCCAATAAGCAGTCTACCCATTCAAATCAATAAAATGACATGATGAGTTATTGGTAACAGACCAAGTATGATATCACAGCGCTGGTAACTCAAGCTGGTGTTTTTAAACCCCTCCAACCTGGCGAAGCTTTAACGAAACTATCTCAAACTGAAACTGAAGGGTCTTTCTCCAAGGTTAAAGCAAAGGAAATGGTTTCAAATAGCAGTAAAATATCACTGAACGACACTGCTCAGCCAGCAGTGGAGACAGCAACAAAGTCAAACCACTACCTTTAAAAACTTGTTTGCTCATGGTTAATGAGAAGCCTTCAATTTAAGCTCAGCTACATTACATCCAAAGAGAAATGGGTTATCGATCAAACTCTTGACAAGAGTGAAAATAAACACCTTTTTTCTGCGACGTAGATTGACTCATTTACATTTAAGTGAAGGTAGGCGACCACTGAGCCTTCCTGACGCTCTCGTTTCCCTGATTACTTGCAGCATAATGGTAAAAATCTTGTTAGCTCTGGATTTGAATTTCCTTTTTTAAGGCCTTTATAATGTTTTTAAATTACATCCTTGTTGATAAAATGTCTCTTTCTTCACAGAAATCCCTCCTGGAGTTGCTTTAACTATATCTTTATCACCTAGGCTCAGATTTGTTCTCACATTAGATTATGTAAAGTAAATAAATGCATGAAAAAATGATTAAAAAGCTGTCGTAAAAGTGCTTTAATTGTTGTCTTTAAAGTGTCGACTGACTGCTGAGTCAGAACTGTAATGAAGTGAGTGATGACAGCAGGAAGAAACAGCAAATAACTTGAAGCCACGGCTTCTGCAGTTTAGCTCGCTGAGAGGCTGAAGGAGACTGTAGAGGGATGAGAGCATGAAATTCAGTGAAGTAGAGCTGGATAATTGGTGCCCTGTAGGCTGATAGGGCCTACAAGCACTGTGCGTGTGTGTGCGTGTCTGTGTGTGTGTGTGTGTGTGTGTATAGTTACTCTGCCTTGGTATTCTTAGGAACACACTCACACACACACACCCATATATACTCATGCAACCAAGTGCAAAACAATGCTTGAAGTTCAGACATCACCTCCTGTTTCTAACGGGGGTTCGCCCTCAAATTTGAAATCCCGTTGATTCATTTGTCGAACAAAAGACAACACAACTCATCTTTGCTGCTTCTGTCCGGTGCGTTCATGCCTCACATCATCACTCTACTCTCTACAAGGGTGGTGTTGTTGTGGCACGCATTCTTATGTGACTCTCGAAGGAAAATTAAATATTTAGGGCGACATTTGCAAGATAAACTGCTGTTGTCCTATTTTAACATGCCATCGCCCATCAATCCCCAGAACTGTTAAATAATCCAACAGAGAGAGAACATAGTTTGTAGACGATTGCAGTGCGTGCAATATGTGTGTGTGTGTGAGCTCTGAGAGGTTGGATGAGATATAAGTGAATTCACAAACTGTAAAGACAGAACTTTGCTGTATTTTAGCATCTTTGACCATCTTTGAGGAGACTTCGAACCTCGATGACCCAGCCTTGTTTTCCTGATGAAAACAAAACATCTTTTGTGGTCTTGTCATACCAGAGCTCCTTTTCTATTAAAAGGGTTAGAGTGAAAATGTTGCATCTGACCAAAACACTGAAATAAGAACGGATTTTATTTGACAGTATATCACCTACAGCGATAAAGATGAGATGTCCCTAACACTTGCTGCGTTTACATGCAACATTTTCCTCAATACGATTGAAAACAATCGATTGAAAACAGTCATATTGAGTGAATCGGATGTCACCTGTGATCCATGTTTAGTCCGTGTTTACATGGGCCTGGCTGAATCCGATTGATTAGTTCCTACAACATGCACAAAAAGCCTCTCTTCCTTCAAAGGTGTGAGTGAAGAAGAGGTGCATCTCTGTTTCTGATGTAGGTACCAGATGTGTTTGAGCTGCCGGATCGGCTCGGGGCCCAGAGCCTATTGATGACGTCACACTATACGATTGGCTGGAAGTTGGTTCGGATGACATAGAAGACTGTTGTTGCTCCGGACATTATGGAAGCAGTTTTCGCCAGTTTTCAAAGAAAACATGGACAGATTTTACAAAGCAACGTATCGCTATCAAAGGGGACTTAAAATCCGGACTACCACCTCTTTTAGGTCGCCAAAGGAAATGTAGAGTAAAAGCAAAACTGTCAATTGATAAACAGTTTTTTCCTTTTGAAAAGTTAACATATACAATGAAAAACATCTCAAAATTACAGTCCAGTAAGTTGTAATTCTCTGTATAATATGGAGAGAAAGTTTCGAGGTCAATTGAATGAACAAACAGAAAAAAAAGAAAACCGTGAGAGGCTTTTAACTGAGCGCGTTTGACTACTTCTCGTAGTGTTTCGATCAAAAATGTAGTTCCAGCCCCGTCTAACTTTTCTTGCTTGTTTGCCATAGTTGTTATGGTTTGGTCTTAACTTCCTTTTTCCTGTGAGCTTGGTTATGTGACCATACATATTTGGACGCTCGCACAGAACCAGTAATCCAGTCTATAAACTGAATACGGTCCAGTCAGCCATTAGTATATGGCATCAATCAACCGGCGTAGACTACGTCCTACAATCGGATCCAAAATTTAATACAATCTGAGTGAATCGAATCCGCTCAGGTGTTTACATCTCACATTTGTAATCTGATTGAGCGTTTAATACGATTGTAAGTAGGATTTTGTGACCCATGTTAACACAGCTACTGAAGGTACCTCCACGGTTACGTCTAAGTGTGCTGAAAAGTCTACATTTCCCTGCTCCAGACAAACTACAAACGTCATATTAGAGAAAACAAGATGTCTCAGTTCTCACAAAGCAAGATGAGGAGGTAATTGGAGGTAGTGTAAGCGATGGAAGATGAGCTGTTCAGTCTGGATCAGCATGAGAAGGGATCTCAAAGACCAAAAGACGTCATTGAAAGAGAGATAATGATATGTAATGACAGTGGAGTCAATCATCTCACGCTGGTTGGGTAAGATCAGCCCATCCATCCGCTGTAATGAGGTATGCACGTGCGCATTACTGTCATTCTGATCAGGATTAGCATTCATTTAAAAGTACATAATGCACAATATGGCAGGAGATGAATTTATGCAGCAGGAAATGGTTCCTGTATCGCAGGTGTTGTGTAAGGAAGGGATAATAATGCTGTCAGCTGAAGCAGCTCTGACATGTTTCTGATCAGTTCGCTCACTTACTTTTTCTTAATTTAACAGATGGTGGGCTGTTAAAGCCTTAACTATAATGACACTCCTGAGAGAAATGCCCAACACACATTTTGCATGGACGAAGAATTAAAGGAGGAAAATGCATTTTTATGGAGAAGTGTTAACAATCCAAGTTAAATCAATGTAAAAGTGCTTTTGAACAACCACCGACCTAAATGATAAGTCTGTCCTCATCTGTCTCTTCCAGGCTATGGAGACCCATTGGTTGTTGAAGTTTGAGATGCCTTTTCAAAACTACAGTTTCTAGCTTTTTCTTAAACGCTGAATGGATTAAGTGTATATGGCACTTTCTCTATCACTAGCTCAAGGAGACCCCATCATGTGGACAGCAGGGCCACTTATTGAACCCCCAACCTTCTGATCAGGAGACTGACTCTTGCACTGAAGGTAGCATCACGGGTCATTAGGGTCTAACATCTTTTAAACCAAGTTAGGATTTTGTCCACAATCTAGGACTGTAATCAACCAAAGAAATTTTTTGTCGACTAAAACCCTGAAATTTTTGACCAAAAATCAACTAATCGGCGGGGGTTCTGACTCTGACGGCAAGCCCTTCTGATCCTGACTCCAGACGGTCTCCAGTGGGTTGGGTGAATCCAAAATGGTGAAAACAAGGGGGATGTTCTGAGACAGGCCAAATGGGGGTGCTCTAAAAACATCCCCATTAGCACTTGGTACATTCCTCCTGATCAAACTTACCATAAACTTTCAAAAAAATCAAGTTGACCAATCAGAATTTTGGTCAACTCAGCACGTATCGACTTATAATGGTACGTTCGAGTCACCTCAGAAGTCAGATGAGCTGAATATGACGTCGCACCCGAGTTCCCAGCATTTCAGTTACCAAGTCAGAAAAAAACAAAATCAGAGGCCTGAAACAAGATGGCTACATCTATGAAAGTTATTTTAGCCTGTGCCTTATATTTAGACAAAGCAAGCATGAAAATAACTTTCGTAGATGTGGCCATCTTGTTTCCACCTCCTGCTTTTTTCTGACTTAATAGCTGAAACCCTGGTAACTCGGCTGTGATGTCATTTTCAGCTCAGACTTCTGACTTCCAAGGTAACTCGAACACAGCATAAGTCAACCAGTCGACTAGGACTTCACGGCCCCACCACATTCCAGTACAGTTTCATGCAGTCTGACCGTTTTAGTGATCAGTGAACTCATCCTCTCTCCTCCCAAAATAAGACCCTGGAAGCTGCGACACACAGAGTCCAAATATCGCCTGTAGCCTTCTCAGTAGCAGGCCAACTCCACTCCACCTGTCCAGCTTGACTCATCTCCTTCTCCCTGATCCAATCACCTGACTCCCTCAGACTGCCAGCTCTCAGTGTCACACACAGTTGCCGCCAAATGAAGTCCATGTGCAGCTAACAGAGCTAAACATGGTTAGAGCTGGTGACTTTGGGACTAACAGAAGTTGCCTCAGGCCCAGCGCTGCCCTCATACATGGCAGCCACTAAACTTCCAGTTAATTAAGTAGCCTGGCAAGCTAATATCCTCTCAGCTCAGTGGGCTGTTTCCCATTGGTACAGTGTAAGAGGACAAAGGCTGCGCTCCGTTCAACTGGATATCTACTGGAGGGCATGTGTTTGGGCTGGAGCGACCCCCGTCTAGACAAAGCTCATGTGGATAGTTAGAGGGGAAACAGTACGGTAGGGTTCTCAAATGACTAACTCCCCAAAAAATTATTGTTTTTTAGTCTTCTTTTGCAAAAAAATCACAAAATCTGAGCACACCACAGAGCTGAAATGGAGCAAAGTGCCCGCAGAAGGCTATTGTTAAAGCTCATCTTGGCTATATTCGTCGTACAGTATCATCCTCCTTGCCACTAACCTAATTTATAATTTAACTGGCTGAAAGTAATTCTGTTCTCTTCTTGGAGACATTTCACACTACATTTCCCAATGACATTGCTGCTGTCACTAGTTTTTGGCAGAAAAAATGAGTATGAACCAAAAGAATATGGTCCACTCTTTCAGCGTCAGACGACAAAGCGTTGATTTATGACTCTCTCTAGAAGCTTTCAAGAGTCGGAGCTGACGGCAGCTTGATTAAAAATGACAATGATATGCACCGGAGGAAGATAAACAAAATGCCTAATCATGCACTCCTTGGTTAATGGCTGCTCTGATGGCCCAAAGGCGAGGGTGTTTGGGATAATTGGTCTCAGGTGTAATTACTAATTCAAATGCCATGATAGCATTTCAAAGTAACATTTCCCCCTTTGCAGGGTTGTGATAAAGACATCCACCTTGAGAATTAGTCTCTGATGGCCTCATACTGAACTCTTCATGGATTCTTTTTTTTACCTGTTCTACCATCTCTTTGGGTTTCGATGGTAGAGCAGATCAACTTCAGTGTTTCTCCTAGCTTTTTCGCTTTGGCAGGGGGGAAAACGTATGATGTAGACATACGTTAGGACTGGGCGATTTTGGAAAAAAAAATTATCATGATATATTTTGTCATATCGTCCGATCTTGATTATTATCACGATTTTTCTTCTAAACTGCCAGTTTTAAAGCATCTGTACTAAAACCTTAAGTAACTAGAGATTAGTTCAACATTCTATTAACATACAAAGTAAATAACAAAGAAAATTCAATAGCTTCGCGTTTAGCTCCATGTTCGGTCATTCTGTTTACTTCCTGTTTACTTCTCCGGCAACTTACAGAGGTGAGCAGGAAAAGCTCGACTCTGATTGGCTGTTGCCGCGCACATTTCTGCTATGTTTGATTGAGTAAATATGCTCACAGCTGATCACTGTGATCAAACTGAAATTTATCACAATCATAAATCACGATAATATAATCAGAGATGCTTAAGCTAGCATCCACAAGAGAATGTGCAGCGTCTGCATCACCCAGTACCGTCTGTTTGAAGAATGCAGAGATTTTCAATTGGGATGCTAAACGTTCGGGGACAGTTCGCTGATTTGTAACGAGTTTTTTTTATTGTATAATTAGTGGCAAACACGATGAAAAGGGACAGAACCCCAGGCTGTCAAAACCATCCTGCCCAATACTGGCAGGGTATGGGCGGCAAACGCTCATGACCAGAATACCAGAATCAGTGGTGCCGCTTGTCACAGAGGAGTGGAGAGACAAACTTTTCTTGAAAGTAATGAAACGATTGTGAGCTTTAGAGTCTGAAATTGCACAGATTATATTTTACAGGCCGTTTTGATTTTTAAAAAAAATTACACATATACATTAATCAACAACTTTAATTTCTGAGTTGGGATCTCGTTGGCAGGGCGGGGCGCTATAAGGAAAACACTGAACTTTGAGTAGAAAATAACAGCAAGGTAGGAAAAAAGTTTAAAAATGCTGATTGGTCTTAAAAATTGAGCCTCCTAACATTGTTTAAGCCTGTTGAACATGAGGCGATAGGTAATGCTTACAGTGCAGATGAGGCTATCTGTAAATAATACTAATCCATTTGAGTTAGAGCTGCCTAATGCTTCCCAAAATCCTTTTATGCCGAGCAGCTGTGACAAACATTTGGATTTTCTTCAGGCTGCTTAGGCTTCAGTTTGTCAAGGGGACGCTCTCCATCCGCGGACTTGGCAAACATGTGAGGACCGAGGCTGCAGCTTGGTGTCAGAGGAAGAGATGTGTTAAAGAGAGGAAGATAGAGACGAGGGGAAGTAAACAGCCAGTAAGTAATCCACTCAAATACTTCCTCTACTTCCTCCACGATCCCCAGCTCAGCCTGGCAAACTGTACATCCTCCTCCGGAAAGAGGGCTCTATAATCAGAGTTTACTCTCTGTCCGACAGCTGGATGCTCACTCTAACAGCCAATTAGGATGGCAGGAAAGAGGAAGACAAAGAGAAGAGCAAAGGAGAGAGAGAGAAAGGGAGAGAAAGAGAGAGTGAGAGCCTTTCTCAGCGACAGTGGAGAACATTATCTGGGGCCAAAGCTGCAGTCTTGATTTCTCATCCCGCTAACAAGCAGCAGCACTTCACAACAGCCAGAGGAGCTGAATTGTCTGAGCTGATGTCACGTTTATAAAGTTCAAACAATCAATGAGACAGTCGGATAATCTGAGCTAATTCTATGAGATATTACGAACAGAAAGATGTGCATGTTGGTCCCTTGGGCTGGGCGATAAACTGAAAATTTACTGATACCAAAATTTACAACAATGACAAACATCATTTTGTCCATGTCAAAATATTCGGTGTCAAAAAAATAAATAAAAGTTGGTTTTGGATTTGTGTAGGTAGGCTATGGTCTCATGTCCCTTTAAGATGCTGTCCTACGTTGGAGACGTGACTCCACCCCGTCCAGTCCGTAACAAAGAGGGAAAGACAGGTGAGGAGATGGAGGACGGTTCAAAAGTTGTAGCGTCTGGAGCGGCAGCTCAAGTAGACAAAGTTAATGTGGGAGGGGGTGAGCAGCTTGTGGAGTAGTTATTGCCCATTTATTGTTATCGAGGTAAACTGCTCAATATATCGTGATATTGATTCAAGGCCATATCGCACAGCCCTACCTGTCCGCTCAGGCAAAAATAAAAACACAATGAGAGACAACAGAACTTAGAGTCGGTCATGGAAGGTTGATAATTAAGTCCTTCTCATAGCTGTTCCAGATGCAGTGGAAATTGGGGGTAACAGAGAAAACTGGAGGCTGTATTTACTGCTGGTGTTTCTACTTTCACTAAACCATCATGGCCAACTCCAGAAGTTACATTTTCCATCGCTTCAGGTGGCTCAGAGTTCTCCTCACCCTCTCTGTAGGTGTTTTGATTTCTCTCCAGTTTGCTCTGACACATGACGATGAAGTACAGTGAAAGGCAGTGATTAAAGGCTGATACAAACCAGTCTAAATCCTGAAAACTAAAGTGTGAAGTGGCGCTGGATTTAGTGAAACGGTGGTTGAACTTCTGCCACACAAATATTAACTATTAACTTCACTGAAGGAGAAAAAAACAAGAAGGCACTTAGATTATGACTATTTCAAAACGTCATGATGCTTTTGCAAAATCCTAGAAATCTACAGTAGAAAACACATATGCTGATTATTTTCACCAATATGACAAAAGTATCTCAACTTTATTCCAACACATTCCTTTTTCATCATATTTTACACAAGTTCAATTATTTATTAGTCTCTGGTGTTGATGATTGTACAGTTAACTTCATGGTGTTAATTTTACAGTCTGTATGGAGCTACCTGCACCAAAAAGTGTCTGTCACTGTTTTTGTAGACCTGCTCCAAAACCTGTTTTTTCAGCCTGTTTCTCATTAAATCAAATTTAAAAGTGGGAGTTTCCTGAGTGAGCCGAGGCAAGCAACAGTGACAAAAATGTTAATCAAGAGCAGATGATCAGACGTGCAACTTCAGGCTAAACAGAATCAGACCTGGATTCTCTGGAGGGTTTGGTCAGAGTTGAGGCTTGTCTAAGGTGACTGCGTTTAGTTCAGTCTGTCAGGACTGCCTTAATAAAACTGCCTAAATTCTTATTTGAATTAAAGGTCAAGTTAGCCAGGACAATTGTCTGGTTTTTAAAAATCATTGGACTTATAAAACCATGATATCCTGAATCATAAAAATCATAATTGTAACTTTTGTCAAAACTTGATGTTGGTTTGAATCGTCTCTAAAATCAGTATGAGTTCACTCTTTCTTCACTTGTTGTCTTGTTCTTGGTCCATTCCACTTGAGTTTGCATGAAGATATTAAATCTTAACACGTAAGGAAGGTACAGACTTTCACGCCTAATATCAAGGCTTTACTTTATTTCTATTTATACAAGGGAAGAAAGTCAAACGCAAGTTACAAAAGCATGTCTGATTTTATGAGAGACAGGGTCTACTCTGTGGGTCTTGTGAGTTTTAGTATTACCTCTTGATCACTTGTAGCATCTCTGACAACCATGCCTAAGTAACCAGACAAGCCCATTTATTAAATCAGTGTCTTGAAATCATTTATAAATGTAGCCGAGCTCTTTGAGAGCTCAGTAACCTCGTGGTTCCACTTCAAGCTCCTGGTTCAGAGGCACTTAAAGAAAACTAATGAGGAAGTCAATGGTGCTCTAACATAAATCCTCATTTTTCGATGTGCAGCTTTTTCTGGGCAGAGACTCAATCTTTGCAATAACTAACATGCAGAACAAAAACTGAATCCCGGATGGGATTATCTTGTATTCAATCTGAAACTATTTTTATTGATGTTGTTTTTATGTCGTTTTAGTGTCTTTTATAATGTCTCTGTCCCTCTGTGTTATTACTGGATTCTGCTCTGTGTATTTTAAACTAGATTAGATTATAGATGCTGAAGTAAGTGGCATTAGATTTACAAAAACTCAACATGAAAACTTGGATTACAACTACCAAAGCCGAGGAAAGCATTCTTAGTGGAGAGCTTTAACTTTTGGGGTCCCAGTCCATGGGCCTGATACACTAAGTTCCAAAAGGGGCGCTAAATTGCGTGTGCAAACCAAAAAATTGCATGTACTATCAGTGGACATGTTGTGGCTGATCTACTATCATTGTACTATCATTGTGTGCGCAATTGATAGCAGGTGCAAAAGTGGTGCAGACCGCCCTCTTTAGACGAGGATTTTGCGTGAGTTAGTGGCTGTCACCTTGGAGAGTTTGTGAGAGCAGAGTGATCGTAGCCGAAAAATGAAGTTTGAAGTTGCACCTATTGTTTTGGGAAACCAGCAACCGCATTAAAGGCAAAGATAGTTTATTTGTATAGCACCATTTATACACAAGGCAATTCAAAGTGCTTTACAGATGCAAGAAAATACTGTATATTAGAAATCAAAAGAAGGATTAAAACAAACCGATAGATTTCGTGTTTGACCTAATTATTTACGAATTTACCAGAAAAACAAGATCTAAATCTTGGAGCTCCGCAGCACTCAGCCCCGGTCTCCAAGACTCGACAGTCCCCAAGACTTACCTCCTACTCCCCACAATGACCGCAGCCGTTTGTACGTAACACTGTGCCAGTTTGCACCTGCCATTAAACATGCTAAATATAGGCGCAAAACAGCAACCGCAATGGGTTCCCAGGTTTGATAAATGACATTGCGGGTGCTAAATGATTTCATTTGCATCTGCTGCTCCCAGTATTTTGCGCGTTCTAATGAGACTCATACATTCTGCATATTCATGAAGGCAAGCGCGCTAAATGGATTGTTTTGCTCATTTGACAGACGCAATCCTCGGTGCACCTGGTTAGTAGATCAGCGTTGCGCGTGCCATCAAGTTTGCGAGTGTTTTTGCACACGCAAACCTTTAATAGGTCAGGCCCTAAATCAGAAAATTTCTTTTTAATGACTACGACAACCCAACTTAGCAGATAGACCTGTTTACCAGTCTTTACCTCCATACTGTAGTTAGCCACACATAAACCCTGTTAGTACAGCTTCCACAGGGACAAACAGCTGTAACCACAGTCTCTTTCAGTTGATGTATTTATGACCTTCTACATGTTTTTTTAACCTCGACTGATCTGCTACTAAAAGAGCTTCAGAAAACAAATGAGCGATCTCTACCTGAAGTGAGAACTCATCTCCAACGTTAAAAAATACCTCCAATTTTAAATGGTACACCTACTCCTCTAATTAGTTTTAACTGCAAAAACAGAAAGCTTGATTTTTAGCTGCAGTAATGACAGGGTGTGGGGTCATGCGAACATTAAATTATAGATGAAATTTTACACTCCAAGTGTGCGAGTGCGTGGCATTTACTGGGATCACAAGGACGGAGATTTTCTCACACTGTAAAGCCTTTTTTTTTTCTCTCATGCACCCTTTTTCTCCCCCTGATCATCCGGGCAGCTTTAAGCTAATAAGCAGAACTTGTGATTGTTAAAGCAGAAAACATGATTAAGTCTCTCATCCCTTCTTGAAAAAGACCCTCTGCAGCGCAGAGATTGGTAAGGCTTAGCGAACAGTCACCCCTGCAGTCTGGGTCAGGAGACGACAGTGTGCACGGCTGGTTATCTTCACTGAGAGCAAATCTATCACACGGAAAGACAGATTAATTTAATCTGGGTCGCAATTTTAACAGAGGGTTTCTTTTTTTTCCATTTATACGGACAAAATACTTTAAGCAGAGTTCACATGATCTCTGTGGGCACCATCGTTTTTGCATAGTCGATATTTTCAGGAGCGTGTGAAGTTAGAAGGCCTCTAATTTATACCTCTAACTGTACTTTACCACTCTGAATACTGTGAATAACTTTTACTATTGCATTAGAGATAATCCAGATATTTTTCTGGATCATTTGTTGTTGGCATGGGACCGTAAGGGAATCCAGGTTTTCCTTCTCCTGGCTGAAAACTTCAAAAAGCTGAAGATCTTAGTCATGTCGCAAAGCCAAAAAAAAGGTTCTTCCTGTCATTTTGAGGAGCATGTTTTCCCCCCTGGCTGTAAACATAACAGAGTTTGGATGATAAACTGGCCTAAAAAAATGACAAATGCAGATTTCATTAAAAGGCTGCAAAGGTTGGCGTGTTCCTCTGCTCTCATTTTGGATTGAAATGGCCTGAGCTTCAGCGCTGTCGAGCGGCACGTTAACATGAGACTTTCATTTGTCTGAATAAAGACCTACACTGCTGCACTGACCTTAGATGAGACACTGTGGCAAACACACACACACATCCACACACTCACACACAAACACACACACACACACGCAAGTGCATAAAAAATGAAATAATACCGTGCAAAGGGCTTAGGGAATAATCCAAGCGAGTAGAGTGTACTACATGGTCACAGGAATTAAATTCCCTCTCTGTCCAAAAAACGGACACGGCAGTTAGGATGGGTCAGTGGATGACAGACACGGACATGGCGGCTAAAAAAGCTGACCTCTTTACTTCTCTTACCTACGTGCGTTTTAATCCACATCTGCATTTTTTAAAACTGCAGAATAAAAGCTAAATATTGGACCTCCAGATGAGTGTTGATTGCATGTCTTCATCTCACTGTAAATATAGTGTTGTGACAATTGACGTGAGCGCCCTTGTCAGGGCAGAGGAGGCATGTCAGGGCCTGTAGGGACCCTTTTTTTTCTCCTGTTAGAAATAGACAGCCTTTCTGACGTCTGGTCATGATATACCAATGTGGGTCTGAAGTAGGGCTGGGCGATAAAATGATAATGATATGATATATATCAAAAAGTAATTTCCCTGGATATCGATATGAAACACCGTCAATATGCTTTTCGATAGCTAACGTTCTGCCATGTTTTGGTAGACTGTACAAATTGCCAATGAAAAGGGGGGTTCCTCCGAGTCTGTGCCGCGCTGAACCAATCATGTGCTGAATCAGAACCGAGTAGCAAACAACTGCGTAGTAGCAGGTTGCAGCTACACGCAACCTGCTACTACGCAGCAATTTAACACAAGAAGCCGACAGCACTGTCAGTGAGAAAATCTGTGCTATCCCCGGCAGAAATGCAGAGGAAGGCTCAACAGATGACATGCCACCAAAGATTTTTATATCCTGATATATTTCGATATCAACTGATTTGTAAAATATAAATTATGTTGAGTGGTATGACAGTATATACCGTGTGACGTTATAAAAGTTGTACCTGCAGAAATTTTGCTGTACCGTTTATACCGGAGAGAGAGAGCAGATGTCTGCTGCATCTCTCTGAGTCAGTGTGTTGTCATTTGCGCTCGCTAACAGGAAAGCCGGGGCGCATCGGTTTGGGTGCGCTTCTTATAATCACCAGTGTGTCGTGCAGAGTTTGTTCGCCCCGTTTGATTGGTCAGGTTTGGGTGTGCTCCCTATAATCACCAGTGTGTCCAGCAGACTGCTTGGCGAAGATGAAACAGCTTCACAGGTGGTGGTCATGGTGGACGCAGAGATGATTGGCAGTACTGAGCAAACAGAGGCAGCCCGACCTACCCTGAAAAAGGGTGCGGGTTGGTTGTCTGGAGATTCTTCGGACGTAGAAAATTCGACAATAATCAAAAAACTACTATGCAAAGAGTGTCGTGTGGCTGTTGTTGCTGGAGGTGGAAACACCAGCAACCTCTTCCACCACCCGGAGATTAAACACGCCAAACTCTATTATGAGAACCAAAAGATTCATGCTCCAAAAACTAAAACTGCAGCAGCTCCTGTCATACAGAAGAGCTTTGTAGAGTCTTTCGCCAAAGGTACGCCATGTGATTAAAAATCACCAGGCTGGTTTGGCGTTCTGTTTGCATTTGTGCACAAATCTGAGTGCAACAATATGGTTATTTTTAAGCCAGTAATTGAATTTACAGGGGGGAAAAACATACAGTGATACATACCATTACCTTGATATGAAATTACTCATACCGTGATATAAGATTTTGTTTATAATGCCCAACATTATTTCGTGACAAACTTTTCCCATGTCGCCCAGCCCTACTCTGGAGCAATGGGAGCAGACTTCATAATGCTGTGACTCTATGAACCTGGATAAAGGCTTAGATTTCCCTTTTTTTGCGAAGTTCACGACAGTTATGCCACAGTTGGCGAAGCTCCAAGTTTTGAGGGCATGTGAGAGCCCAGTGCACTCACAACATTTTCCAATTAAGGATTTGTAAGGCATTAATGCAGCGTGCTCTTTTGCAGACATCCTATGGGTCTCAGGTTACATCAAGATTGAAATCTCTTACTGAGCTCCAGAGTGCAGAGAGCAGAAATAGAAACAGAATTATGCTCCGAATCAAAGTTGTTTGTGCCTCTGTAATAATCTGCTGCAATCCATGGAGATTGCAAAATGACCATAGAGAGCATGTTTACTAGGCCATCATTTGCGATGCCACGGTGGCTTTTTATAATTCTTAAAGGGGAATTGGAGTTGTTTGGTTCATATCCAGGTACTCAGTGAAGAGGGTTTATGAAAGGAAGGACCACAATCTCGTCTTGCATTAGAAAGACAAATGATGTAACTTCCCGTTGTTATGGCCGTGACAGAGATTTCCCATGGAAGTCTCTGCGCCTCCAAAGTGAGATAACCCTGATGACATCAAGATTACATCATCGATGCCACAGATGACATTATACAACTGTTTCGGGGACTGAGCATTACTCCTCCTGTTGAGTAACCTGATCTCATGTGTTGGGTGCTAATGCTAGCAGGATAGCCCGGTCTAATACGGTTAGCTTGTGTCTCACAACAGCAAAACAGGTCAGTTCAAGTAATCAATAGATGAGAGGACTCGTCATTCAGGGATAATATCACGTCTCTGCAGATGTTACTACATGAGAGGAGAGGGAAATCTTTCCTCACTTTGTTTGTTTTGCTTTTTCTCTGTTTCTCTTGTAGTTTTGGCCTCAAAGTCAGGCAGATATTTCACCTTGAGGAATTTGTCCTTTAGCTTCTGCCAGCTCTGTGCCACTCAGCATTTTTTTCCAGGGACTGTAGAAACCATTATCAGTCACTGTGGGGTATTTAAACAGCAGCCAAGTCGCTACTTTGATATTCCTCCTTAACTCCCACTGATCTCACCGGGGATAGGCAACATCGCAGCAAAGATTTGTGGGTTATTTATTGCCAAAGAAGAGCATGTGGGTGCCTATTTTTGTCTGCCAAGAGTTGGAAGTTGGAACACAACTCAGAAATCTGACCGCAGTTCACTTGAGACAAATCTGTTAAACTTCGATACAGGACATATAAAATAAATGTTTCTGAATCATTCATTTCTCTCTCTCTCTCTCATCTGCTGTGCCAACCCACAGTCCTTGAGAGATGACGAGTTAATCAATAAGGCTGTAAATTTTTGTTCAAGTCAGACAGAGGAAGGGTATCAATCAAATCTAGTGAGTGTTTTCCATTAACATTCAGATCTCATAAATAAACTGAGTTTAAAGGAATATTCCGGCGTAAAATTAATTTAGGGTCAAACACACCGTAACACTGAGTTAGACACCACCTCGAGAGATGAATGTTGCTGACCATTTGCTTCTCTAGTTATACCAACTTTAGTAACGACCACAGGATAGCAATACACAGCGAGTCTGAGGAGCCATCAACAAACCTCAACCAAAACACCGCTTTATAGCCACAAATAATGCTCAGAACAGCGCCTAACTTCGTCATATACATAAATAGTACATATAGGGTCCCAGCAGTAGTATACGCCACCAAACATCTTTTTAACTTTGCCTGAGTGCAGCAGATCATTTCCATGAAGTAATAATCACCATATTAATCATTTTGCACTGCAGATGCAGTAGTTCTTCTGCCTTAGCTTCTCGGTCTGATTGCATTTCCATGAAGAAATGATCATAAATGTTTTTCCTTGAGCTGCGAAACTCCACTGCACTCACACGCTCAACCAAAAAGCCACTCTATAGCCACAAATAATGCTCAGAACAGCACCTAACTTCATCAACAGTACATGTAAGTTCCCAGCCATAGCACTAGCCACAAAACATTTTTTTAGGTTTACCTAATTTCTTTAGCAAAGAGACTAAACACAACTCACCTACTCTCTTCCAGCAGCCACTTGTTAGTTTCTTTAATCACCATATTAATCATTTTGCTCTGCAGACACAGTAGTTCTTCTGCCTTAGCGTCTCGGTCTTATTACATGTCCATGAAGAAATGATCATAAATGTTCTTCCTTGAGCTGCTTCACCCTGCAGCAGTCCATAATGGACTAGCCCGAGGTCTCACAAACAAGAGGCTGCTGGAAGAGAGTGGGTGAGTTGTGTTAAGTCTCTTTGCTAAAGAAATCAGGCAAAGTAAAAAAGATGTTTGGTGTCTAGTACTATGGCTGTGACCCTATATGTACTGTTGATGAAGATAGGTGCTGTTCTGAGCATTATTTGTGGCTATAGAGTGGCGTTTTGGTTGAGGTTTGTGTATTGCTATCATGCGGTCGTTACTAAAGTTGGTTTTACCAGAGAAGCAAGCGGTCGGCAACATTCATCTCTCTAGAGGGTGTCTAACTCGGTGTTTTGGTGTTTGACCCTAAATTAATTCTACGCCGGAATATCCCTTTAATCTCATGTATCCATATAGTTTAGTGTCGACACAAGTAAATAAGAAAAAGAAATCACTAACACTCTTTGCAGGAAAAAACAAATGTGATCACAGTACATGAAGTGACGCGGACACAGTGGCATGCATACACACACGCCTACCATTCATGCCATTGTAGATGCTCCGATGATGTGGTGACAGCTCGTCTCCAGCCGCCCTCCTCTGCCCCTCCCTCACAGGACTGCCAAACTTCACATGGTCAGGGCTCATACTGTAATGGTGCCTATGAGTTTCAGGGCTGCCCCCCTGGACTTTTTCATGGTGCTCAGTGGTCCCTAAATGTGCCAGCCTGGGCTCTGGGCTCCCACAGCCAATGCTGCTAATGCTGCTCCTGTTGTGCCTCTGATAAAGCTCCCCGCTGCCCCCCTGACCCAGGAAGTGCTGCCTCTGGCCCAGCAGGAGATCAGAGCTGTGGTGCTTGGGGTGCTGCTCTGGACTCCGCCCGCCCACGTTCCTCCCATATTTCTCCGGGCTGAGGCCCCGCATGACCCGACTGTGGTCAGGCACAGAAATGGAGCCACAGCGAGGCCGGCAGATCTGGGGGAGCGTGTACGGGTACTCCAGACTTGTACTCCGGTGGCGCCCAGGAGGAAGCTCGGGACTGGACACCTCTCTGTCTCCACCACCTCCACCTGCTAATCCACTGATGCTGCTACACCTGGGTTTGTGCACAAGCTCAGGGCTCCCTTTTTCCCCAACGCTGCTGCTGACTCCACCCACCCCCGGAGCCAGGAGAGGCTGTTTATGATGAGGGTGATCAGAGCTGTCAGCGCTGCCTGCGCTGGAGGTGCTGCTACCGTCTCCTACGTCTCTCATCAGGAGCCCATGCCCGGGCACCAACAGCAAACTATTCTGACTGTCTATTGAGTTGCGGCAACCCCCCATTCCTACCCCCCCTCCACTACCTCCCCCTCCACCTCCCCCACCTACCACTCCCTTCTCCTCGTCCAGCAGCAGGCAGAGCTCCTTCAGTTCCATGTTTTCCCTGATCACCTCCTCCTGACGGACCTCCAGCTCCTTCAGTTTCTGGAGGTAGAGGGTCACCTCTTTGCGCATGATGCTGGCACTGTAACGTCCCAGGCGCTGCCACTCCCTGGACACACGCTTGCCTTTCTGGCGGTCATCGTCAAGGAAGCAGCATAAGTCCCGCAGCTCCCGGTTGTCCTCCTGCAGCTTCTGATTAATGTCCTGAGAGGAAAGAGGTAAAACAGGTGTGTATCAGGAAGCATCGTAGAATGAAACAAAGCTGAAATCAGAAACTTGGACTTTTCATCAAAAATCAAATCTTCAGCTGATTTATGTTCCAAGTATATCCACGTGTATTTTCCTATTTCAATCACTTTTAATGCTCTGTTATAGAACAGTCAGAGGAAATGCAATCAGAATGAAATGAAATCCTAATCTGAGTCATTTTTCCAGGTAAGCATTGACTCGCCGAGTACCATCCAATGGAAAGTAGATGAAGAAGACAAGGAGGCCACACAGAGAAGTAAAAATGAGCTACGGCGATGAAATTACACAGGCTGAACATTTTACACCCAGTAAAGTGTGCTTAAACATCCCTTCTTCACCTTCCCAAGAGCCCTTTCTCTCCCACCTCTCCTCCCTCTCCATCTACGCCTCTCTTACCCCCAGCTCTTTCCTGTGTAATTAGCTGGGATGGGTTGAGAGGTGACGAGGGCTTAAGAAAGGCAAATGATCTCCATGTGCTCCATCTGAGGCCACCCAATGCTGCCTCTCTGCTTCAACTCTAAATATTTCAGACTCTTCAACAAATCTCTTTAAGTAGACATGCAGAAAGTAAAGGCAATTGGTTCCTCCTTACAGGCTACCGTAGATCCAAAGCCAATCTCATGTTGGTCCAAAGGAGGTCAAAAAAGCTCCAGAACACTTGTAGTTGAGGAAAACAGCTTTATTTGACCATTATTTATTTTATTATTCAGTCGTATAAAGCTGTTTTCCTAAACTATAAGTGTTGCTGCAGCTCTTTTGACCTCTTTAAGACCCTTTTTCTCCGAGCACCTTGGAAGTTGGTGAAGTTGTGCCAGAATTTTTGTCCTCAAGATTTGACTCAGAATGTGAAATTTGTTCCGCCCACTTTAAGGGGAGTGGATTTTTAGATCTATGGTCGACCAAACGTGTTCTGGATCTGTTTTACAAGTTCACAGAATACGCTGATTTTAGACACAGACACCTCTGTCCGGGATAGTCACTAATTTTGATTTTTTTTTTAACACTTGAATAATTGCCAATAATTGAAAGAGACCTGGGGAGGAAGTATCAAACACAAAGATGCAAGACATCTGAATGAACTGGGCTGGCTCAGTGGTTGGACTAAAGCTGGACTCAGTGGAGGATGTGGTGGAGAGATCTACACTGAGGAGGTGGAGGCTATTCTCAAGAACATGGATCATCCACTTTACAACATTTTAATGCACCAAAGGACCAATGGTGGATGGCTCCTCTCTCTCTTTGCTGCAAGACAGAAAAATTCAGGAGATCTTTTGTACCAACAGCTATCAGACTGTACAACTCTTCTGTCAATACTAGATGACTTTTAGAGACATGGCAAATGAGACAACAGACAGAGTTTCCCTTTAGGGATTAATAAAGTATTATTCAGTCGAATAAAGCTGTTTTCCTAAGCCTCAAGTGTTGCTGCAGCTCTTTTGACCTCTTTAAAAGACCCCTTTTCTCCAAGCACCTTGAAGTTGGTAAAGTTGTACCAGAATTTTTGTCCTCGTGTTGTTCCAAAAGCAGATTGCACGGCACACACTGTGGGTTTATGAGCACGACTTGACTGAGAATGTAAAATTTGTTCCACCCACTTTAAGGAGAGCGGATATTTAGGTGTAACTTGTCCTGGATCTGTTTTACAAGTTCACAGAATACACTGATTTTACACACAGACGCCTCTGTCTGTGATAGTCATTAATTTTGATTTTTAACACTAGAATAATTTCCAATAATTGAAAGAGACCTTCTGACTGCAAAGCCTAATGTCCACCTAAGGTCCATCTAAGACAGATAGAGGCCTGCACACTGGCCTGAGGAACTTCTAGTCTTAAAACATGAATATCTCCTCAGATGAACATCCAGTTATGCTATGCGCGTTCTCAGGTGCGCTCCAAACCTATGATCTCATCCTTCACCAATGCGCGCCCCCTCACCTTCAGCCCCCTGATCTCGTTCAAGTGCAGCTGAAGGCTGCGATTGACCTCCCGGATAAGATTCCCGTGGTCCAGAATCACGCTCATCTTGTCGGCCTCGGACCGCCTCAACCTCCTCACCAGATCCTCCTTGGTCCACTTAAGCAGCTCCTCGTCGGTCAGACCGGAGATATCCTCCGCCGGACTTTCAGTCTTCGCTATCGACAGCTGGAGCTGGGGCTGGGGCGGCGGAGTCGCTTTCTCCATTGGCACAGCTCCTCCTCCGGTACCGACAAACGGCAGAAAACAGTCAGAGGCTCGTTTACAACCTCTGCTCGCATCCGCTCCCCTCGTTGGCTGAAGCAGGAAACGGTTATCGGTGGAAAGTCAGTCGCATAGTTTGGCCTTTTTTGTTGTCGCTCCAGACTCTCCCCTATACTCTCTCTGCTAGAGCAACAGCTGACGGTGCCGGCTGAGTGAGATACAGGAGAGAGGAGATGCTCCGTCCGCTGTCTACCACTGCAACATCCTCCCTGCCTGCCTGGGTGTAGCCTGCGCTCAGCGGCCAACTTGCAGTGTTAAGAATCGGCTCGGTTTCCTATCCAGAAATGGTTTCGGAGAAATGAGGAAAAGCTTCGGTGGGCTGTTGAAGAGCACACACACACCTGCCGCCTGTACGACCACACTGAGAGAGAGAGTCTGCTGGAAACGGAGGAAACAGAGAGACAGACAGAGAGAGAGAGAGAGAGAGAGAGAGAGAGGGCGCAGCTCTCCTCTCTCTCCTCCTGCTTTCTCTCCAGGGGCTCCAGAAAATTAAAACATGGCAACAGCTCCTCCTAGTGTTCACAGAGGGTCAAAACAAGCTGCGCACATTGATGCTCATGGCTTTCTTTTCGACTGATGCCTTTGTGAAATATTCAAGTGAGCAGCACACACCAGCAATAAGAAAACATTGGCATTCTAGGTTTTTGTACGGTGGCCCTGAGGTGCAAAACACGAAGGCAAATCAAAACAACACAAAAAGAGAAAACACAACCGCAAATCAGAAACCATGAGAAAAAAAAACATAAAAAATTAAATAAAATTACAACTCTGAAATAAGAAAACACAACGGAAGATAAGAAAACACAAGGGCAAATCAAAAAACCATGAAAAAATAAAAATAAAAATACACCACCAAAATAAGAAAATACAACGGCAAATAAGAAAACGTGAAAAAATAAAAACAAAAATACAACTCCAAAAAGAGAAAAACACAACAGCAAATAAGAAAACACAACTGCAAATTAGAACCCATGAAAAATGTTAAAATAAAAAATAAAAATACAACTCCGATATAAGAAAATACATGAGCAAATATGAAAACACGACACAAAAAGAGACAACACGACGACAAAAGAGACAACACGACTGCATATAAGAATAAACACCACAAAAAGAGAAAACAACACAAAAAGAGAAATCAACACAATGAGACAGCAACACAAAAAAATACAACACAACTGCATATAAGAATACACAACACAAAATAAGAAAACAGCACAAAATGAGAAAACACAACAGCAAAGGAAGAAAACATGACTACAGATAAGAAAACACAACAACATTAACCATGGTGTTTTCTCTTTTTGTGTTGTTTTTTCTGTTTTGTTTTTTCTTTTTTGGGTTGTTTTCTGAATTGCCATTGTGTTTTGCACTTCAGGGCCACCGTATTTTTGCCATTTAAAGTGTTTCAAAGTTAGTTTTTATTATTATTATTATTTAACTGATCACATTCAGTGATCATTAAATGTCCATGTTTGTTTGTCTGTTTCATGAGCACCGTCAGACTTGGCAACAATTTTTATGGACCCTCCATAAAAAGGAGCAACAGGATTTGCAGGATATATAAATATCCATAGTCTACATAATTCACTGTATTATAGTATAATCTACTTTTACAATTTATAAACCGCTAAAAGTGACAGAGACAGGCACAGATATGAATTGTGGATATTAACATTTAATTTATATTATATACACACACACACACACACACACACACACACACACACACACACTTTCCTCCTGTGTGGTTGATACGGACTGTTGGGGCGGGTCTTTATCGAAACGACCCAATCGTCTCGCCCTCCTCATATGCTGCTGGCCTCTGATTGGTCAGACATCCTCGCCGCCAGCTGACCGGAGGAGATGAGGATTGTGAGTCTCACCTAGCAGCAGTATTTTCACCACATTCAGCTCCCTCTTGGCGGACTCGTACAGATCCCGGTCTATCTTGGCGCTGTGGATCCTCGCCTTCTTCTCCTCCGTCATTTCGGTACCGAGACACAGTCCCATCCTGAGCGCTCATCTCCACCCCCCTGGCCCGGGTCGAGAGGGACACAAACCAGGGACTCCTCACCGGGATTAGCCCACTTTGTTCGCGTCTACACGCTGCATGCTTCGCACTGTGCCGCAAACTTAACCAAGCAGAGAAGTCAACTCTGGAACAAACAACCCAAACCATCGTCTCTCTTGGAAACACCTCAGTGTAATGTCTCTGTGCGCCCCAGCTGTTTAAACTCCAGATACTCCCCAAGAAGATCCCTCCTTTTAAAGTTTTGGACTTCCCTGAGAGGAAGTGACGTACCAGAGAGCTAAAGTGCTGAGTCTGCAGTTCTCTGATCCTCACCTGTGCAAAAAAACAGGAAACATAACTCAGGGAGAGGGAGACCGATACTCAGTCACAGTACATGTACTTCAGCTGTATGTGAGCTGCTGTGTTACTGCAAACTGAATGAAACAATATGATGCAGATGAAGGGTCCCGCATTAATACAGGTGTTTCTATCTGCTGTGGATTAGTATGGTGGCCGTGAACTGCCAATGCTGCTGCTGCTGCTGCAAAAGAAGAAGCCACAACAAAGGTAGGATGCTAAAAATCGTGCCTTGATCAACATTATGGGTCCCCAGCAGCTCACTTCTGTTGTGGCCTTTAAATGTTTTTTTTTTTTTTTTTTGCATCCTTTTATTTTCATAGTAAGTAACTTTTTTCCATCACCACTCTTTTTTTGCGTCGTTTACTTCCGTTGTGGCTTTTTTTTTTTTTTTAAATCTGCATTGTTTCTTTTTTAATTTGCCGCAGGCTTTGGTTCCTTTTCTTCTTTTTTTGTTTGCATCGGTAACTTCTGTCGTGACTGTTAATCCTTTTGCATTTTTTTATTTGCAGCAGTGGCGGTTCTCGGCCACCGTACAGTTGCTTTAGTGTGTGCTGTGATATTATTACATATTTCCCACTCCCATCACTGAAGTTACCTGCTATCACTTAAGCTCAGAGGTCTCAACATGTTGTCTGTATATCAGATTTACATCTCTGTGTCACTGGTCTAACAGCTGAGTGTAAAATAAATGTGTAAAAGCAGGTCTTTCCTCCTGGAGCTCCTCCTCCAAGGCGCTGAGCTCTGTGGATTAAAGGCTCTTTGTGTTTCTTAAAAGGTGGCGGCCTGTAGGTTTTTGTTTAAATCTGAGGACAGCATTAGAGGACCACGTCGCTGGTATTGAGTTGTCTCTGAGCTGCTCTGGCCTCATTACACTGACTCAGCGAACTGTGAAAATGTGCTGATTCAACAAAGATCTTTGTATTAAAGTACCGCTGTAACAAAGAGAGAGGGTGCTTTGCAATATGAGCTGTTTATTTATGAAAAGAGATTCACACAGTAGTAATACAGTAATTCAGAAGTTGAAAATCCCTAACTTTAATATCAAGAAAGTTATTTATTTATTATTACTGAATCTGCCACCATTCTGTACACACAGAGAAACGCACAGTCTCACATCAACAACCATTTGCCCCATACAGAAGCGATAATAGTTTGCATACATAGTTTGACATTAAAACTGGGTCCCAACTATATCAGCTGTTGGATTGTCTTTAAAACAGGAGAAAAGAGGACATACTAGTTTTTAAAGTATCTCTGAAAGTAGACTGGATAAAGAAGGACATATTTATGGCGATATTATTGAGACCACAAGCTAAAGCCCTTAGATTCGTTACAACTTTAGGAATGAGGCACTATTGTCATTTACAAGCACAAACACACTCACTAACCTCTCTCTCTCTCTCACGCACAGACATTCACACAAATTCAGAAATGGCTAAAAATCTGCAGTTACAATCAGAGTGCATCACAGATCATTTGATAGAGTAGTACGTTTTTCAGAAAGAATAAATTCATAGTGGCTTTAAAAAGTTTAAACAAATGTACATTTTGAAAGTTTGTGAAAAATAGACCACATTCATGCTTTATGAGGACGCTGCAGACACTGATCATTAAAAACTGTTGAGGTTTAAAACTGAAAGACAAAACTCACAAAAACAAATATGTATGAATAAGTTATGGCTTGTTTAAAACGTAAAGTCCCACTCCGATCTTTTTTTTACTACTATTTAAAGTGTTATCAGTGGTATTTTAAGTTTCAATTATGGAGTTTTAGCCAAACTCACATTACCTGTGTCATTGTCTTTCTTCTGCAGAGCTCCAGTAGCTCATTAGCAATTCACCTGCGAATTGTGGGCGGAGATAGCGCTGTGCTGCACACTCTTCTTCTCGCTAGCTTGACGCCTAACATTGCCGGCATAGTAGAAATGGCAGGTTACACAGGAGCTATTCAGCTCTCGGTCACTATTGTCTTTGGGACATGATGAAAGTTAATATAATTATTAGCTTTCTTACAAACATTGCAATCCGCTAACACATACATGCTTGTTCCACTATCGCCCTCTCTACTTTTCAGAGTGTGGTCTGCATAGCAGGGCTCTGGGGGCGGAGCTTGGATTTGTGACATAGGAAATCTCCCTGTATCTGAGCCTGCCATTCGGGTCTGCCAGAGATTCAGTACGATTTACATGCAGAAATAGTTTTCTTATGATATGTCCTGTAGCATCAGAAAAATGCCGTATGAACATGTAGACAACAAGAAAAACAGGATTTTCATCGGAGTGGGTCTTTAATACGACACTTTTACACTTTGAGACAGGTAGTGTGTAATTTTTGGATAAAAACTATACATAAGAAAAGGAGACATTAAAAAGTTCTCAGAGGGGGTTTTAAGGGGCAGCAGGGTGAGTTGTGTCAGGTGTTTGTGTCTGTGCAGATCTGATCTAATCCCATTAAGAGGTCTGCACAGATAAAGACGCTAACACAACAATGTGTACACATCTCACACACACTGTTTCACCAAACATTCAAACAGGATTCTGTACCTAGTGGACTTACAGGGACCAGCCGGCTTTATTAGCAAAGCAGGCCGACTATTCACTGACATGACCCCCTTCCTCAGAGTCCAGCCCCTGAAGCTGAGTAGATACAGAATCAGTCCTGAGGTGTTACTAGTGAGCAGCCTCGGCTGCTGCCTCACTTTGATCCTGCTGCTCCTTCTTCTTCATCGCCTCGATCACTGCCATCTCCTTGGCCTCTTTCTTTTGGTTTCTGGCCTCAAACTGCAGCCTAAAAAAACAAGGAGGAGTTGTTAAACCCACAAAATGAGATGCAAAAATCTCGAGTTATAAAGAGAATCGGGGAGTCCCTGACCTGTTAGCGATGATTCTCTGGACGATGTCATCAGTGGTGAGATTATTCCCGCTGTCGATGGTCCTGAAAATTCCTCTCTTCTTGGGCTCCTGAGAACAGAACACAAATACTTTAATCGAAACAAGTAGAAGTAGAAGTGGAAGCCTGAAGAATAAAAGACTCCACCCTTGAACCAAATCACAGAAGACCGTATTGACACATCTGTCATCGTTTATGTATGAGACCTGAAATATTCAGTTTAGTATCAATCCCAAATACAAGGAGAGTGATCAGCAGCATCACCAACCGTGGAATCAGAGGGACGATTTTCTAGCTACAGTTGAAGAAATATCACAAAGTAAACGCCATTGTTATAGGTGACGTACATCAGTGTCAGTACACCACACACAAGGATCTAGAGAGGAGGGATCTTAATTTAACCTCATAAAAAAATGAATTTTAATCAATAAAGGCGCCTCTAAATCTACGCTTAGTGTCATATTGTTAATGTCTCCTTTTGGTAGTGAAACTGTATAAACAATGACCAGGTGATTATGCAAATTACAATCCTTTTATTAGGATCCTCATTATCATAACCTCCCATCTAGTTCACATGTTCCCCGACCAAGCCAACCTGATATGATTACAGAGTCGCGGGACCTATCTCAGACTCAGTTGGTGAAACAGAGCCTCTTTCTTTAGCTTGTTTTTCCCTGTTAAATCTCATACATCAGCTTAAGTGACGTACAAATTCAGTACAGCTGTGCTGTTGTGCTGGACTTAGACAGAGAGATGAGGCTGTACTCACAGCATACGGGTCTGAGCTGTCCTTGTCTGGAAACACTTCTGTTTTACCATGACACACAAGGTCCACCTGCACAGTTGCAGAAAGGCATAATAATGTTAGGCAAACAGGAAAATACAGAACATTATATTACATTATTTTCACTTCAGGACCTCAGTGTTTCATACATCACAGTAAGTTTAAATGTCTTGGATTATACATAAACTTGTGTCTACTTATAGTTTTGCCAAATTAGCGCGATATTAATCTGACATGTTGCTTTTAATAGATGATCATGACACATTTAGGCTTCAAATGAGGAAAAACTGTTTCAGTGTTTTGCAGCTGTGGCTAACAAAACAAAGGAAAAGTCTGTGTTATTGCTTTGTTTGTCACGTATATCATATGTTATTGGTTTGCAAGTAGAGAAGGTGTTAGTCTTTCTCTCCACAAGGGGTCGCCACATGTTTCAATATTAGACCTTATAAACCTTATAAATCTGGAACTGAACATATGAATCCTGTTTGAATCAGGGTTAAAAAAAATAATAATAATAATAACAAACACATGATAGGAAAAGAAGAATATGTGGGTGTTGGTTTGGTGGTTATACAGAAGTCCTCATAACAGCGGTCACTGGTCTCAACTCCTGACCACAATCCCTCTACATTTCTCCCTCTACTCCCCTCATTTCTTGTCCCCCTTTAGTTTTCCCATCTGATAAAGACAAAACTCACCTTAAAGTGATCCAGCAGGTCTTTACCCACAGCATAGGGTGCCCCAATCACCACCTCTGACACATACTGTAAAGAAACAAAAAAAAGAGAGAATAATGGTGAGAATAATAAGATTCACGTGTTAAGAGGATTTCTGTAATGAGCTTTTCACACCCACATGCTTCACACTAGTAAGTGCGTTTGTGTTTGAATTCCAGAGTTTGATTGACATTTTGGACACGACAGAGTTCAAGAATCGAGCTGATCTGCAAAAAATCTGCAAAGAGTACGGCGATGTTTCGTGTTTGGAGGCTTGTTTGTTTTTCTACACATTCTCAGAAATTCCACTTAAAAGACAAACACACAGCACAGAGAGAAGGTGGAGGGGGGCAGAGACTGTTTGTTCAGACAGCTGAACAGCAGGAATGGAGGGAACAGAGTTGAGTTCAGGCTTCAGCTCTGTGAGCTTTCACCACAGACATCCATCCCACTGTGCCGAACGGTTAAAGGTCTGAGAGGACTCACCCGACACGCCAGGACACTCAGCGTCCTCTCGTGAATGTTCATGATTGGATAATTCTTCCCCTTGTACCGGTTCACTTCCTGAGGAGGATAAATAAATACATTATTGATACTTTTATGACTTCTTTTATTCAGGCCACACAAAGACAGGTTACAGGACATTTCTGCTCTATCTTTATAACCACCTGAACTATAAAGACACCTCGCGGTCTCTGTCTTTGCTGCTCTCAGGTGTTTACTTGTAAACTGCTGACTCAGTAAGGAGAGGTACCCTGTTGTGCATATCTGAGTGTGAACCTGTAAATGTGTGTACCTGGTCAAAGTGCAGACCCACAATGACGTAGGGCCTCTCTGCCTGCTTATAAACCATCTCTAAGAAGTCGACATGCCCGATATCTGCAGGAATAAGCGGTCAAGGTTGCGATAACAACAAAATGAAGAGAGGTAATCTCACAGGGATCATGACTCAGATCTGTTATCTCGACATGATAAGGATACGGAACAGGTCGAACGCGCCAGCCACATAGATGATGGTGTCTCCAGGCTGAGGCTCCTTTCCTGAGGCAAACTGGATGATCTTCTGAGACGTCTGGAGGAACTGAGACACTCCTGTCCAGGGACTGTGACCTTTAGGACCCTTGATGCCGAGAGAGACACAGAGACACAATATTACACTGAGAAAATGTGGAAAAGGCTATTTTTCAGAGACTTTTCCGATTTACTGAGGTGACAATATTTAAAGGAAGAAAATAAAAATGTAGTACTCACTTTTCCAAAGTTGTCTGTATGCTGCTGGTAATCTGGGGTATCCTTCAGAAATGATCAGAGAGAAAAAGATCAAACCATATACTTTATTATAGACTAATAAGTATTTAGGGTAGAAGATGTGTCACATTTAGGGTTGCCATATAGCTACAAGATCTACACATACGGCTGCAAAACTTGGAATGCACCCCCTTGAAAATATCGGCATGCACAGTCATGATGGTTAGAGATGTAAATGGAGCACCAGACTGCAGATGCCTCAATCTAAAGAGCTGCGAAGGGTTAAACCTTGATGCAACAGCAGCTTCCCTCACCATGTTGCTGTGATGAGCTTTGGTCATGAGAAGCATCCGTCCCACAAGGTCAGTGGTGGAGACGCCCTGTGTGCGTCTACACTCCCGGTAACGTCCCTCCCGCTTCACCTCCGCGTACGTGTCCTTGCCGTCGACCGTCAACGTGATGTCATCTTGTAAACAGAAACAAAGACGTCAGTTTACGATCACATCTGCAGGCTTGTTGCTGAAGAACACAGATAGGAGTCAGAGAGCTGCCCTCAGCCGGCTCACCTCCATGAACACAGAAGTCACAGTTGTATTTGTCCAGAGTCTCCAGCGTGGTGACGTAGGGTGCTCCCTCCACGATCTCATCCACCCACTTGATGGCTCGCACCATCTTGTATCGTTCTTCCTGGGTGAAGACAGGGGGGCCTTTGTGCTTGGAAATCTCAGCTTTAAGGAAAGTCAAAGGGGACATATTGTCAATGATGGGGACATCACGAACATCACTAAAAGACTCCTCAATGTTTTTTACAGAGCGGATATTCTAACAACTCTATCTCTGCTTAGTAAGGCTGCACAATAAACCAAACTTTTATCATGATCCCAACTTTGGCTGCCGCAATTAAAGTAATTTTATGGTCGGCGATATTTACTAGGGGTGTCCAGATACAACTTTTTTACTTCCAATTTGATACCGATATTGTAGCCTTCAGTATTAGCCAATACCAATATTGATCCTATATTGGCACAAACTTGTGCATGACAAATTTTGCACTCAGCTGCAACGTCTTTTTCGGACTTTAACGAAAAATACTGCAGACAGCCGACATCACTGCTACTCCTTGCTACTTTGTTAGTACCTTAGTACACACTGTTGTTGTGATCACATGGGCTCTACATGCTGGATCTGGGTGTGGCTAGCTCAAGGTGCCGGAGTGGAGTCTGGAATGGACTGCTTGTATCGGAGTGCTGATATCAGAGATTTTAGATGCAGGCCGATATGATCCGATATTTGCTTTTTGGCTGATATCAGACCAATATCTGATATCCACATCGTATTGGGACAGCCCTAATATTCACATTTAAAACGTGGGCTCTGCTGCTTATCCAATCAAGCATTTTCCCAACCAGTAAGTCAGCCAACCACAAGGGGGCGAACTTATGGTTGAGGCTTCATAAAGCTGCTTGAATAATAGGGTAATAATAGAAGTAATTTTATTTTTCTATTACTTATCATTCATTATCATTTAAAGTTTCATTTTGCATTTAAAACTTTTCATACATTGTTTTCTCAAAAGTAGTGCACTAAAAATACAGACGTTTTCCCTAACAGGATGGATAATCCTGATTAATAACCATTATTACAATATTGATCAAAATAATCGTGATTATCATTTTGGCCTAACAGAATGCTTAGCTTCCTTTTTTTAATCAACCAATCAAATTGTGTTTGAAACTAATTTATGTTGTTGTTTTCAGACAGCCAGAGTAGTCGTTCAGAGCGATGGGACTGACAGTCTGGGGTTAACAGCTGTATTCGCACTGGGATGTGTTTGTGTTTGGCGGGCTTACCATCCGTATGAACTCCGACTATGAGGTAATCTCCCATGCCTTTGGCCTGCCGCAGCTGGTTGGAGTGACCGTAGTGAACCATGTCGTAACTGTGGGCACAGAGAACAGACACAACACGGCATCAGAGAGGGACATGTGAGCACTCAGACAAAATATTTCAGATCAAAATAAACCACTGCAAACACAATTAGGACATGACCTTAATAGACAGACAACAGATTATCATTTATATTTTTTCAAAGCCTCATCCTCTTGTCCAAATGTAACTGGTGAATTCTGCTAATTTACAACTGAATTTTCTTAAGATCTGGAAAAGTTCGGACACTTTGTTAAGAATCCAACAGTTTACATCCTAAAACACTGAGTGAAAGATTACTGTTGTGATTACAGGTAATCTTGATAAAGGTTACTGGGAAAAAGGTCACGGCTAGATACACCACATGTACCATGTGCCAATATTTATTTGCTTTCTTCCATTCAGTAACATCTGTAGTAAATGTTTGACTCTTCTTCAGGAAGCTGGTGTGTTTTCCTCTGATAAAAACTTATTCAGAGTTTAAATTGACAGTTTACCCAACAACAAAAAAATACTAGGGCCCCGTTGGGGCACTGGCGGGCCCGAGCCGTGTCACGCCGCCCCCAGCGCGACCGCCTCCCCCACCCGATCGCGTCACACTCAAGGTCCAAAGATGGTGTGCGCACTTGTTTGTGGTCATTTACCATTATAATGAACGGGAGGCGCAGTTTCTACCAAAACGCTCGCTGCAGAAAAACTCCATGTCCTATTTGAAAAAAGTCTGGACCATGAGTGAGGGCACAAACACAGCTAAGATATATCCAAATGGCAAGTTGCTCCTCCTTTCGCTTTTGCCGAGAGAGCAGTGCGTTTGAGCCATTGAATGATGAACAGGAAAAACTTGACTTTATTCTCCTGCCATGGGGGGCGCTCTTTTAAAGAGAAAAAACTCCTTCACAAATGTGTTGATGGCTGGACATTGCATCATCCTAGAAAACATGGAGGCCAGTGAGGACAAAAATAAAAAGTTATAAGACTTTTAAATATGTGGATTTTAGCGTTATATTTGGCGCCCCCTAGAACCTAAACCGTGGGGTGCAGCGTCATGATTTGAATAACTTTTAATGGCCATGGGGTGTAGATTGGCCTGAGCAAATGTGGTGCCGGTGGAACGAAAGCCTTCGGAGGAATTAGCGAAATTCCAATGTGTGCGAATCTGCAAAAAATGCGAAATAACCCTTTAACCGTACATTTTACAGATACGTGGCCATTGACTTTTTCGAAGATCTTATTGAAATACACGTGTATGTAAAATTTTGTGTCAATACGACAAAACATACAGGCGTAGCACTCAACAATGTGTATTTTCACCTTAGTGGACAAGAAAAAATTGACTTTTTTCTCCTGCCATGGGGGGGCGCTCTTTTGGCGAGTAAAAATTCCTTCACAAATGTGTTGATGGCTGGACATTGCATCATCCTAGAAAACTTGGAGGCCAGTGGGGACAAAAATAAAAAGTTATAAGACTTTTAAATATGTGGATTTTACGGTTATCTTTGGCTCCCCCTAGAACCTAAACCGTGGGGTGCAGCGTCATGATTTGAATAACTTTTAATGGCCATGGGGTGTAGATTGGCCTGAGCAAATGTGGTGCCGGTGGAACGAAAGCCTTCGGAGGAGTTAGCGAAATTCCAATGTGTGCGGATCGGCAAAAAATGCGGAATAACCCTTTAACCGTACATTTGACAGATACGCGCGCATTGACTTTTTCGTAGATCTTATTGAGATACATGTGTGTGTCAATTTTTGTGTCATTTTGCCAAAGCGTACAGGTGTTACACTCAACAATGTGTATTTTCACCTTAGGGGACAAGAAAAAATGGACTTTTTTCTCCTGCCATGGGGGGGCGCTCTTTTGGGGAGTAAAAATTCCTTCACAAATGTGTTGATGGCTGGACATTGCATCATCCTAGAAAACTTGGAGGCCAGTGAGGGCAAAAATAAAAAGTTATAAGACTTTTAAATATGTGGATTTTACGGTTATCTTTGGCGCCCCCTAGAACCTAAACCGTGGGGTGCAGCATCATGATTTTTACAACTTTGAATGGCCATGGGGTGTAGATTGGCCTGAGCAAATTTGGTGTCAGTGGGACGAAAGCCTTAGGAGGAGTTAGCCACATTCCAATGTGTGCGAATCGGCAAAAAATGCAAAATAGCCCTTTAACCGTACATTTGACAGATACGCGCGCATTGACTTTTTTGTAGATCTTATTGAGATACATATGTGTGTCAATTTTTGTGTCAATATGATAAAGCGTACAGGCGTGACAGTCAATAGTGTGAATTTCCACCTCAGGGGACAAGAAAAAATTGACTTTTTTCTCCTGCCATGGGGGGGCGCTCTTTTGGGGAGTAAAAATTCCTTCACAAATGTGTTGATGGCTGGACATTGCATCATCCTAGAAAACTTGGAGGCCAGTGAGGACAAAAATAAAAAGTTATAAGACTTTTAAATATGTGGATTTTAGGGTTATCTTTGGCGCCCCCTAGAACCTAAACCGTGGGGTGCAGCGTCATGATTTGAATAACTTTTAATGGCCATGGGGTGTAGATTGGCCTGAGCAAATGTGGTGCCGGTGGAACGAAAGCCTTCGGAGGAGTTAGCGAAATTCCAATGTGTGCGGATCGGCAAAAAATGCGGAATAACCCTTTAACCGTACATTTGACAGATACGCGCGCATTGACTTTTTCGTAGATCTTATTGAGATACATGTGTGTGTCAATTTTTGTGTCATTTTGCCAAAGCATACAGGTGTTACACTCAACAATGTGTATTTTCACCTTAGGGGACAAGAAAAAATGGACTTTTTTCTCCTGCCATGGGGGGGCGCTCTTTTGGGGAGTAAAAATTCCTTCACAAATGTGTTGATGGCTGGACATTGCATCATCCTAGAAAACTTGGAGGCCAGTGAGGGCAAAAATAAAAAGTTATAAGACTTTTAAATATGTGGATCTTAGGGTTATCTTTGGCGCCCCCTAGAACCTAAACCGTGGGGTGCAGCATCATGATTTGAATAACTTTTAATGGCCATGGGGTGTAGATTGGCCTGAGCAAATGTGGTGCCGGTGGAACGAAAGCCTTCGGAGGAGTTAGCGAAATTCCAATGTGTGCGGATCGGCAAAAAATGCGAAATAACCCTTTAACCGTACATTTGACAGATACGCGCGCATTGACTTTTTCGTAGATCTTATTGAGATACATGTGTGTGTCAATTTTTGTGTCATTTTGCCAAAGCGTACAGGTGTTACACTCAACAATGTGTATTTTCACCTTAGGGGACAAGAAAAAATGGACTTTTTTCTCCTGCCATGGGGGGGCGCTCTTTTGGGGAGTAAAAATTCCTTCACAAATGTGTTGATGGCTGGACATTGCATCATCCTAGAAAACTTGGAGGCCAGTGAGGGCAAAAATAAAAAGTTATAAGACTTTTAAATATGTGGATTTTACGGTTATCTTTGGCGCCCCCTAGAACCTAAACCGTGGGGTGCAGCATCATGATTTTTACAACTTTGAATGGCCATGGGGTGTAGATTGGCCTGAGCAAATTTGGTGTCAGTGGGACGAAAGCCTTAGGAGGAGTTAGCCACATTCCAATGTGTGCGAATCGGCAAAAAATGCAAAATAGCCCTTTAACCGTACATTTGACAGATACGCGCGCATTGACTTTTTTGTAGATCTTATTGAGATACATATGTGTGTCAATTTTTGTGTCAATATGATAAAGCGTACAGGCGTGACAGTCAATAGTGTGAATTTCCACCTCAGGGGACAAGAAAAAATTGACTTTTTTCTCCTGCCATGGGGGGGCGCTCTTTTGGGGAGTAAAAATTCCTTCACAAATGTGTTGATGGCTGGACATTGCATCGTCCTAGACAACTTGGAGGCCAGTGAGGACAAAAATAAAAAGTTATAAGACTTTTAAATATGTGGATTTTAGGGTTATCTTTGGCGCCCCCTAGAACCTAAACCGTGGGGTGCAGCGTCATGATTTGAATAACTTTTAATGGCCATGGGGTGTAGATTGGCCTGAGCAAATGTGGTGCCGGTGGAACGAAAGCCTTCGGAGGAGTTAGCGAAATTCCAATGTGTGCGGATCGGCAAAAAATGCGGAATAACCCTTTAACCGTACATTTGACAGATACGCGCGCATTGACTTTTTCGTAGATCTTATTGAGATACATGTGTGTGTCAATTTTTGTGTCATTTTGCCAAAGCATACAGGTGTTACACTCAACAATGTGTATTTTCACCTTAGGGGACAAGAAAAAATGGACTTTTTTCTCCTGCCATGGGGGGCGCTCTTTTGGGGAGTAAAAATTCCTTCACAAATGTGTTGATGGCTGGACATTGCATCATCCTAGAAAACTTGGAGGCCAGTGAGGGCAAAAATAAAAAGTTATAAGACTTTTAAATATGTGGATCTTAGGGTTATCTTTGGCGCCCCCTAGAACCTAAACCGTGGGGTGCAGCGTCATGATTTGAATAACTTTTAATGGCCATGGGGTGTAGATTGGCCTGAGCAAATGTGGTGCCGGTGGAACGAAAGCCTTCGGAGGAGTTAGCGAAATTCCAATGTGTGCGGATCGGCAAAAAATGCGAAATAACCCTTTAACCGTACATTTGACAGATACGCCCGCACTGACTTTTTTGTAGATCTTATTGAGATACATGTGTGTGTCAATTTTTGTGTCATTTTGACAAAGCGTACACGCGTGACAGTCAATAGTGTGAATTTTCACCTTAGGGGGCGCTATGGAGCCATTTTGCATTTTCTTGTTTGGGCGACTTCGGAATATCAAATTTTTCACCAGGCCCGGTCGTCCTGCCAAATTTCATGAGTTTTCGCCAGTGGGAAGTGGGCCATTTTCCAGTTCAAAGGGGAGGAAAAATAATAACTAGGGCCCCGGTGGGGCACTGTCGGGCCCGAGCCGCGTTGCGCCGCCCCCAGTGCGACCGCCTCCCCCTCCCGATCGCGTCACACTCAAGGTCCAAAGATGGTGTGCGCACTTGTCTGTGGTCATTTCCCATTATAATGAATGGGAGGCGCAGTTTCTACCAAAACACTCACTGCAGACAAACTACATGTCCTATTTGAAAAAAGTCTGGACCATGAGTGAGGGCACAAACACAGCTAGGATATATCCAAACGGCAAGTTGCTCCTCATTACGGTGTTGCCGGGAGAGCGATGCGATTGAGCCATTGAGTGATGGGCAGGAAAAACTTGACTGTTTCTCCTGCCATGGGGGATGGGGGATGGGGGATGGGGGGGGGGGGGGGAATGTGGATTCTTTTAAGAATGTGGATATTTGGGTCATCTTTGGCGCCCCCTAGAACGTAAACCGTGGGGTGCAGCATCATGATTTTTAAAACTTTGAATGGCCATGGGGTGTAGATTGGCCTGAGCAAATTTGGTGTCAGTGGGACGAAAGCCTTAGGAGGAGTTAGCCACATTCCAATGTGTGCTAATCGGCAAAAAATGCAAAATAGCCCTTTAACCGTACATTTTACAGATACGCGCGCATTGACTTTTTCGTAGATCTTATTGAGATACATGTGTGTGTCAGATTTTGTGTCAATATGACAAAGCATACAGGTATGACAGTCAACAATGTGTATTTTCACCTTATGGGACAAGAAAAAATGGACTTTTTTCTCCTGCCATGGGGGGGCGCTCTTTTGGGGAGTAAAAATTCCTTCACAAATGTGTTGATGGCTGGACATTGCATCATCCTAGAAAACTTGGAGGCCAGAGAGGACAAAAATAAAAAGTTATAAGACTTTTAAATATGTGGATTTTAGGGTTATCTTTGGCGCCCCCTAGAACCTAAACAGTGGGGTGCAGCGTCATGATTTGAATAACTTTTAATGGCCATGGGGTGTAGATTGGCCTGAGCAAATGTGGTGCCGGTGGAACGAAAGCCTTCGGAGGAGTTAGCGAAATTCCAATGTGTGCGGATCGGCAAAAAATGCGCAATAACCCTTTAACCGTACATTTGACAGATACGCTAGCACTGACTTTTTTGTAGATCTTATTGAGATACATGTGTGTGTCAATTTTTGTGTAATTTTGACAAAGCGTACAGGCGTGACAGTCAATAGTGTGAATTTTCACCTTATGGGACAAGAAAAAATTGACTTTTTTCTCCTGCCATGGGGGGGCGCTCTTTTGGGGAGTAAAAATTCCTTCACAAATGTGTCGATGGCTGGACATTGCATCATCCTAGAAAACTTGGAGGCCAGTGAGGGCAAAAATAAAAAGTTATAAGACTTTGAAATATGTGGATTTTAGGGTTATCTTTGGCGCCCCCTAGAACCTAAACCGTGGGGTGCAGCGTCATGATTTGAATAACTTTTAATGGCCATGGGGTGTAGATTGGCCTGAGCAAATGTGGTGCCGGTGGAACGAAAGCCTTCGGAGGAGTTAGCGAAATTCCAATGTGTGCGGATCGGCAAAAAATGCGCAATAACCCTTTAACCGTACATTTGACAGATACGCCCGCACTGACTTTTTTGTAGATCTTATTGAGATACATGTGTGTGTCAATTTTTGTGTCATTTTGACAAAGCGTACAGGCGTCAGGTGAATTTTTCACCTTCGCCAGTGGGAAGTGGGCCATTTTCCAGTTCAAAGGGGAGGAAAAAGAAAAAAGAAACAAAGAAAAACCACTTGGGGAATAATAGGGCTCTCGCAGCTGCTTAGCAGCTACGCTCGGGCCCTAACTAGGACCCCGTTGGGGCACTGGCGGGCCCGAGCCGTGTCGCGTCCCCCCCCCAACGTGCTGCCTCCCCGTCCCATTTGTGTCCTCTGGCCATCGCCCTCTCTGGTAACGCCCATCACTGCAAAGACCCTTTTCCTTCATCGGCGTTTGCTGTTCTTCTTGCCAGTGCGTGTTGCTTTCACTTACACTTGCCACAGCCAGCCTCGTGAGTGCCTAGCCTATTGGATATCACTGTCACCTACACAGGACAGTCATAACCTTTCTATTAATACTTTGTGTTTTAATTTCACATTAATTTCCATATTGTATAAACGACTGGAAAAAACTTGAGCCCCTGCCCCTGTATAATCATGTGCATGTCTCTGTTCTAGCTCCAAGGTGAATCTTCACTGCTCATGTTCTCCTCAGAAGCACTCACCTCACTCCCCTCAGGTTACTGTACACATGCACCAACTGCCTGCTTCAGGTTTGGATGGAGCTTCATGGTTGTCTTTTGGAGAATTGAGCAGTCAAGTTGTGTTTGAAATTTGATTTTTTTTCAGGGGCAAAAGGAGCCTCTGCATTCTTGTCAAATATGTAAATAGCATGTTTTTGCAGGTGCTAAAAACCAGACTCTGAGTGTGTGTGTGTGTGTGTGTGTGCGTGTGTGTGTGTCTGTGTGTGCGTTCAAGTCACATGACATATTTAACCGGATGTAGCTGCAAGACGGAGCCTCGTTGACTCTCCGTTTCAACTTATCTCAAAAGTGAGGACCTCAACCTATATACCATTTTTTAAATTGTGTTGATAGGCCAAATAAAACCAGAGTTATGATAAATTATGTCCGCGATACTTTTTTTCTGCTTATTTTGATCACGTTCGGCGCTCGATCGCGCTGTATGAGACAGGAAAACATAGCATGCAGACATTAGCGACAGGTCTTACAGGCGGAAAAGGCTTGCCAAAAGAAAAAAAAAAACACACCACAACATCTCTCCTATTGGTGGAAAACTTCACCACAACAACCAATCCAAAATTATATGGTGACTGATTGACAAGGGGCGGGTGCTTACGTTCTTCCTGCAACATGAGAAGCGAGGGAGGGACTCTCAGCAGGGATGCAGTCTGGGACACGTAGTTGCAAACCTAGCGACTTTGTTGTTAGATTCAATGACTTTTCAGACCCCCTAACGACTTTTTTTTTAGAAAGAAAGGGACTTTTATCGACTTCTTCTGGAGTTTAGAGACTCTGACATGAAGCAGGCTTTCCTTACTGAGGAGTTAGCAACGCTGCTAAGGGTGCAGAGCCACACATGCGCTCAGAGCTCTGCATGGGAGACTGAAGCTGACAGAGCTGCAGCAGTTAGCAGGTTTCACCCAAAGTGACATTTGTGAGACTATACAGTGTTTTGTAAATAATTTTACAAAGAACGCCTGGGCCATTGCCTGCATTTTGATGTAAATAGAGGTAAATCACTATGTTCTTTGTTAAAAATTTGCATATGTTTTGAAGTTTACAATTTTTATTTGAAGTTTAAGTTTTAAAAACAGTTCATCACACATATTTGTGGTTTTCACAGTAAAAATGTTACTTTTTTCCACTCGGATTTTATGTTTTGTGTGTGAATTTGGGTCCATTGTGTAAATTCAGTATGTCAACATGATAAAATAACTGTAAATTCGCACAGGTGAGGTTGTGCTGAAAAAAATGATACCAGGCAAGGCACGTGATTGTCAAATTTTGTGTCAATATGACAAAGCGTATAGGCGTGAATCTCAACAATATGTATTTTCACCTTAGGGGACAAGAAAAAATGGACTTTTTTCTCCTGCCATGGGGGGGCGCTCTTTTGGGGAGTAAAAATTCCTTCACAAATGTGTTGATGGCTGGACATTGCATCATCCTAGAAAACTTGGAGGCCAGTGAGGACAAAAATAAAAAGTTATAAAACTTTTAAATATGTGGATTTTAGGGTTATCTTTGGCGCCCCCTAGAACCTAAACCGTGGGGTGCAGCGTCATGATTTGAATAACTTTTAATGGCCATGGGGTGTAGATTGGCCTGAGCAAATGTGGTGCCGGTGGAACGAAAGCCTTCGGAGGAGTTAGCGAAATTCCAATGTGTGCGTATCTGCAAAAAATGCGGAATAACCCTTTAACTGTACATTTGACAGATACGCGCGCATGGACTTTTTTGTAGATCTTATTGAGTTACATGTGTGTGTCAATTTTTGTGTCATTTTGACAAAGCGTATAGGCGTGACACTCAACAATGTGTATTTTCACCTTAGGGGACAAGAAAAAATGGACTTTTTTCTCCTGCCATGGGGGGGCGCTCTTTTGGGGAGTAAAAATTCCTACACAAATGTGTTGATGGCTGGACATTGCATCATCCTAGAAAACTTGGAGGCCAGTGAGGACAAAAATAAAAAGTTATAAGACTTTTAAATATGTGGATTTTAGTGTTATCTTTGGCGCCCCCTAGAACCTAAACCTTGGGGTGCAGCGTCATGATTTTGATAACTTTTAATGGCCACAGGGTGTAGATTGGCCTGAGCAAATGTGGTGCCGGTGGAACGAAAGCCTTCGGAGGAGTTAGCGAAATTCCAATGTGTGCGGATCGGCAAAAAATGCGAAATAACCCTTTAACCGTAATTTTGACAGATACGGCCGCACTGACTTTTTTGTAGATCTTATTGAGATACATATGTGTGTCAATTTTTGTGTCAATATGACAAAGCGTACAGGCGTGACAGTCAATAGTGTGAATTTCCACCTTAGGGGGCGCTATGGAGCCATTTTGCATTTTATTGTTTGGGCGACTTCAGAATATCGAATTTTTCACCAGGCCCGGTCGTCCTGCCAAATTTCATGAGTTTTCGCCAGTGGGAAGTGGGCCATTTTCCAGTTCAAAGGGGAGGAAAAAGAAGAAAGAAAGAACTAGGGCCCCGGTGGGGCACTGTCGGGCCCGAGCCGCGTTGCGCCGCCCCCAGCGCGACCGCCTCCCCCTCCCGATCGCGTCACACTCAAGGTCCAAAGATGGTGTGCGCACTTGTCTGTGGTCATTTCCCATTATAATGAATGGGAGGCGCAGTTTCTACCAAAACACTCGCTGCAGACAAACTACATGTCCTATTTGAAAAAAGTCTGGACCATGAGTGAGGGCACAAACACAGCTAGGATATATCCAAACGGCAAGTTGCTCCTTGTTACGGTGTTGCCGGGAGAGTGATGCGATTGAGCCATTGAGTGATGGGCAGGAAAAACTTGACTGTTTCTCCTGCCATGGGGGTTGGGGGATGGGGGGGGGGGGGGGGGGTGGTGGATTATTTTAAGAATGTGGATATTTGGGTCATCTTTGGCGCCCCCTAGAACGTAAACCGTGGGGTGCAGCGTCATGATTTTTACAACTTTGAATAACCATGGGGTGTAGATTGGCCTGAGCAAATTTGGTGTCAGTGGGACGAAAGCCTTAGGAGGAGTTAGCCACATTCCAATGTGTGCGAATCGGCAAAAAATGCAAAATAGCCCTTTAACCGTACATTTGACAGATACGCGCGCATTGACTTTTTTGTAGATCTTATTGAGATACATGTGATTGTCAAATTTTGTGTCAATATGATAAAGCGTACAGGCGTGACAGTCAATAGTGTGAATTTCCACCTTAGGGGACAAGAAAAAATGGACTTTTTTCTCCTGCCATGGGGGGGCGCTCTTTTGGGGAGTAAAAATTCCTTCACAAATGTGTTGATGGCTGGACATTGCATCATCCTAGAAAACTTGGAGGCCAGTGAGGACAAAAATAAAAAGTTATAAGACTTTGAAATATGTGGATTTTAGGGTTATCTTTGGCGCCCCCTAGAACCTAAACCGTGGGGTGCAGCGTCATGATTTGAATAACTTTTAATGGCCATGGGGTGTAGATTGGCCTGAGCAAATGTGGTGCCGGTGGAACGAAAGCCTTCGGAGGAGTTAGCGAAATTCCAATGTGTGCGGATCGGCAAAAAATGCGGAATAACCCTTTAACCGTACATTTGACAGATACGCGCGCATTGACTTTTTCGTAGATCTTATTGAGATACATGTGATTGTCAAATTTTGTGTCAATATGATAAAGCGTACAGGCGTGACAGTCAATAGTGTGAATTTCCACCTTAGGGGACAAGAAAAAATGGACTTTTTTCTCCTGCCATGGGGGGGCGCTCTTTTGGGGAGTAAAAATTCCTTCACAAATGTGTTGATGGCTGGACATTGCATCATCCTAGAAAACTTGGAGGCCAGTGAGGACAAAAATAAAAAGTTATAAGACTTTGAAATATGTGGATTTTAGGGTTATCTTTGGCGCCCCCTAGAACCTAAACCGTGGGGTGCAGCGTCATGATTTGAATAACTTTTAATGGCCATGGGGTGTAGATTGGCCTGAGCAAATGTGGTGCCGGTGGAACGAAAGCCTTCGGAGGAGTTAGCGAAATTCCAATGTGTGCGGATCGGCAAAAAATGCGAAATAACCCTTTAACCGTACATTTGACAGATACGCCCGCACTGACTTTTTTGTAGATCTTATTGAGATACATGTGTGTGTCAATTTTTGTGTCATTTTGACAAAGCGTACAGGCGTGACAGTCAATAGTGTGAATTTTCACCTTAGGGGGCGCTATGGAGCCATTTTGCATTTTCTTGTTTGGGCGACTTCGGAATATCAAATTTTTCACCAGGCCCGGTCGTCCTGCCAAATTTCATGAGTTTTCGCCAGTGGGAAGTGGGCCATTTTCCAGTTCAAAGGGGAGGAAAAATAATAACTAGGGCCCCGTTGGGGCACTGGCGGGCCCGAGCCGTGTCGCGCCGCCCCCAGCGTGACCGCCTCCCCCACCCGATCGCGTCACACTCAAGGTCCAAAGATGGTGTGCGCACTTGTTTGTGGTCATTTACCATTATAATGAACGGGAGGCGCAGTTTCTACCAAAACGCTCGCTGCAGAAAAACTCCATGTCCTATTTGAAAAAAGTCTGGACCATGAGTGAGGGCACAAACACAGCTAAGATATATCCAAATGGCAAGTTGCTCCTCCTTTCGCTTTTGCCGAGAGAGCAGTGCGTTTGAGCCATTGAATGATGAACAGGAAAAACTTGACTTTATTCTCCTGCCATGGGGGGGCGCTCTTTTAAAGAGAAAAAGCTCCTTCACAAATGTGTTGATGGCTGGACATTGCATCATCCTAGAAAACATGGAGGCCAGTGAGGACAAAAATAAAAAGTTAAAAGACTTTTAAATATGTGGATTTTACGGTTATATTTGGCGCCCCCTAGAACCTAAACCGTGGGGTGCAGCGTCATGATTTGAATAACTTTTAATGGCCATGGGGTGTAGATTGGCCTGAGCAAATGTGGTGCCGGTGGAACGAAAGCCTTTGGAGGAATTAGCGAAATTCCAATGTGTGCGAATCTGCAAAAAATGCGAAATAACCCTTTAACCGTACATTTTACAGATACGTGGCCATTGACTTTTTCGAAGATCTTATTGAAATACACGTGTATGTAAAATTTTGTGTCAATACGACAAAACATACAGGCGTAGCACTCAACAATGTGTATTTTCACCTTAGTGGACAAGAAAAAATTGACTTTTTTCTCCTGCCATGGGGGGCGCTCTTTTGCCGAGTAAAAATTCCTTCACAAATGTGTTGATGGCTGGACATTGCATCATCCTAGAAAACTTGGAGGCCAGTGGGGACAAAAATAAAAAGTTATAAGACTTTTAAATATGTGGATTTTACGGTTATCTTTGGCGCCCCCTAGAACCTAAACCGTGGGGTGCAGCGTCATGATTTGAATAACTTTTAATGGCCATGGGGTGTAGATTGGCCTGAGCAAATGTGGTGCCGGTGGAACGAAAGCCTTCGGAGGAGTTAGCGAAATTCCAATGTGTGCGGATCGGCAAAAAATGCGGAATAACCCTTTAACCGTACATTTGACAGATACGCGCGCATTGACTTTTTCGTAGATCTTATTGAGATACATGTGTGTGTCAATTTTTGTGTCATTTTGCCAAAGCGTACAGGTGTTACACTCAACAATGTGTATTTTCACCTTAGGGGACAAGAAAAAATGGACTTTTTTCTCCTGCCATGGGGGGCGCTCTTTTGGGGAGTAAAAATTCCTTCACAAATGTGTTGATGGCTGGACATTGCATCATCCTAGAAAACTTGGAGGCCAGTGAGGGCAAAAATAAAAAGTTATAAGACTTTTAAATATGTGGATCTTAGGGTTATCTTTGGCGCCCCCTAGAACCTAAACCGTGGGGTGCAGCGTCATGATTTGAATAACTTTTAATGGCCATGGGGTGTAGATTGGCCTGAGCAAATGTGGTGCCGGTGGAACGAAAGCCTTCGGAGGAGTTAGCGAAATTCCAATGTGTGCGGATCGGCAAAAAATGCGAAATAACCCTTTAACCGTACATTTGACAGATACGCCCGCACTGACTTTTTTGTAGATCTTATTGAGATACATGTGTGTGTCAATTTTTGTGTCATTTTGACAAAGCGTACAGGCGTGACAGTGAATAGTGTGAATTTTCACCTTAGGGGGCGCTATGGAGCCATTTTGCATTTTCTTGTTTGGGCGACTTCGGAATATCAAATTTTTCACCAGGCCCGGTCGTCCTGCCAAATTTCATGAGTTTTCGCCAGTGGGAAGTGGGCCATTTTCCAGTTCAAAGGGGAGGAAAAATAATAATAATAATAACAAAAGAAGGAAACTACAGGAACAAGAGGGCTCTCGCAGCTGCTTAGCAGCTACGCTCGGGCCCTAAAGAAGGAAACTACAGGAACAAGAGGGCTCTCGCAGCTGCTTAGCAGCTACGCTCGGGCCCTAAAGAAAGAAAGAAAGAAAGAAACAAAGAAAAACCACTTGGGGAATAATAGGGCCTACGCCCGGCTGCTCTGCAGCTGGCTCGGGCCCTAATAACTAGGACCCCGTTGGGGCACTGGCGGGCCCGAGCCGTGTCACCCCCCCCCCCCCCCAACGTGCTGCCTCCCCGTCCCATTTGTGTCCTCTGGCCATCGCCCTCTCTGGTAACGCCCATCACTGCAAAGACCCTTTTCCTTCATCGGCGTTTGCTGTTCTTCCTGCCAGTGCGTGTTGCTTTCACTTACACTTGCCACAGCCAGCCTCGTGAGTGCCTAGCCTATTCGATATCACTGTCACCTACACAGGACAGTCATTACCTTTCTATTAATACTTTGTGTTTTAATTTCACATTAATTTCCATATTGTATAAACGACTGGAAAAAACTTGAGCCCCTGCCCCTGTATAATCATGTGCATGTCTCTGTTCTAGCTCCAAGGTGAATCTTCACTGCTCATGTTCTCCTCAGAAGCACTCACCTCACTCCCCTCAGGTTACTGTACACATGCACCAACTGCCTGCTTCAGGTTTGGATGGAGCTTCATGGTTGTCTTTTGGAGAAATGACCAGTCAAGTTGTGTTTGAAATTTGATTTTTTTCAGGGGCAAAAGGAGCCTCTGCATTCTTGTCAAATATGTAAATAGCATGTTTTTGCAGGTGCTAAAAACCAGACTCTGAGTGTGTGTGTGTGTGTGTGTGTGTGTGTGTGTGTGTGTGTGTGTGCGTGTGTGTGTGTCTGTGTGTGCATTCAAGTCACATGACATATTTAACCGGATGTAGCTGCAAGACGGAGCCTCGTTGACTCTCCGTTTCAACTTATCTCAAAAGTGAGGACCTCAACCTATATACCAGTTTTTAAATTGTGTTGATAGGCCAAATAAAACCAGAGTTATGATAAATTATGTCTGCGATACTTTTTTTCTGCTTATTTTGATCACGTTCGGCGCTCGATCGCGCTGTATGAGACAGGAAAACATAGCATGCAGACATTAGCGACAGGTCTTACAGGCGGAAAAAGCTTGCCAAAAGAAAAAAAAAACACACCACAACATCTCTCCTATTGGTGGAAAACTTCACCACAACAACCAATCCAAAATTATATGGTGACTGATTGACAAGGGGCGGGCGCTTACGTTCTTCCTGCAACATGAGAAGGGAGGGAGGGACTCTCAGCAGGGATGCAGTCTGGGACACGTAGTTGCAAACCTAGCGACTTTGTTGTTAGATTCAATGACTTTTCAGACCCCCTAACGACTTTTTTTTAGAAAGAAAGGGACTTTTATCGACTTCTTCTGGAGTTTAGAGACTCTGACATGAAGCAGGCTTTCCTTACTGAGGAGTTAGCAACGCTGCTAAGGGTGCAGAGCCACACATGCGCTCAGAGCTCTGCATGGGAGACTGAAGCTGACAGAGCTGCAGCAGTTAGCAGGTTTCACCCTCAGAGACCACCAGGGGTTCATGTTGAGGCATTTTAATTTTTTTTTTTTTGTGCCATAGACACTGTCAGCACAATCTGCAGTTACACTAACAAAAATGCTGCAAAAAACAAAGAATTATGGAAAAATTACACATGGACTGACATAGAGGAGGATCTACACAAGTTTTTTACATCATGTTTTACATCATGCATCATTTACATCATGTTTTTTTGTAGTGGCATAAATAAAAAGTGACATTTGTGAGACTATACAGTGTTTTGTAAATAATTTTACAAAGAACGCCTGGGCCATTGCCTGCATTTTGATGTAAATAGAGGTAAATTACTATGTTCTTTGTTAAAAATTTGCATATGTTTTGAAGTTTACAATTTTTATTTGAAGTTTAAGTTTTAAAAACAGTTCATCACACATATTTGTGGTTTAATTTCACATTAATTTCCATATTGTATAAATGACTGGAAAAAACTTGAGCCCCTGCCCCTGTATAATCATGTGCACGTCCCTGTTCTAGCTCCAAGGTGAATCTTCACTGCTCATGTTCTCCTCAGAAATAGTCACCTCACTCCCCTCAGGTTACTGTACACATGCACCAACTATCTGCTTCAGGTTTGAAATGGAGCTTCATGGTTGTCTTTTGGAGAAATGAACAGTCAAGTTGTGTTTGAAATTTGATTTTTTTCAGGGGCAAAAGGAAGCCTCTGCATTCTTGTCAAATATGTAAACAGCATGTTTTTGCAGGTGCTAAAAAACAGACTCTGAGTGTGTGTGTGTGTGTGTCTGTGTGTGTGTGTGTCTGTGTGTGTGTGTATGTTGGCGTGTGTGTATATGTGTGTGTATCCTGCAGTACTCTGTACTCCTGCAGTGGCCAAAAAGACTTTTAAGAATGTGGATTTTTGGGTCATCTTTGGCGCCCCCTAGAACTGCAGTACTCTGTACTCCTGCAGTGGCCAAAATGACTTTTAAGAATGTGGATTTTTGGGTCATCTTTGGCGCCCCCTAGAACGTAAACCGTGGGGTGCAGCGTCATGATTTTTACAACTTTGAATGGGCATGGGGTGTAGATTGCCCTGAGCAAATTTGGTATCGGTGGGACGAAAGCCTTAGGAGGAGATAGCCACATTCCAATGTGTGCGAATCGGCAAAAAATGCAAAATAGCCCTTTAACCGTACATTATAAAGATACGCGCTCTTTGACTTTTTCGTAGATCTAATTGAGATACACATGATTGTCAATTTTTGTGTCAATATGACAAAGCGTTCAGGCGTGACACTCAACAATGTGTATTTTCATGTAAGGGGACAAGAAAAAATTGACTTTTTTCTCCTACCATGGGGGGGCGCTCTTTTGGGGAGTAAAAATTCCTTCACAAATGTGTTGATGGCTGGACATTGCATCATCCTAGAAAACTTGGAGGCCAGTGAGGACAAAAATAAAAAGTTATAAAACATTTAAGAATGTGGATTTTTGGGTTATTTTTGGCGCCCCCTAGAACCTAAACCATGGGGTGCAGCATCATGATTTGAATAACTTTTAATGGCCATGGGGTGTAGATTGGCCTGAGCAAATGTGGTGCCGGTGGAACGAAAGCCTTCGGAGGAGTTAGCGAAATTCCAATGTGTGCGTATCGGCAATAAATGCGGAATAACCCTTTAACTGTACATTTGACAGATACGCGCGCATGGACTTTTTTGTAGATCTTATTGAGATACATATGTGTGTCAATTTTTGTGTCAATATGACAAAGCGTACAGGCGTGACACTCAACAATGTGTATTTTCACCTTAGGGGACAAGAAAAAAGGGACTTTTTTCTCCGGCCATGGGGGGCGCTCTTTTGGGGAGTAAAAATTCCTTCACAAATGTGTTGATGGCTGGACATTGCATCATCCTAGAAAACTTGGAGGCCAGTGAGGGCAAAAATAAAAAATTATAAGACTTTTAAATATGTGGATTTTAGGGTTATCTTTGGCGCCCCCTAGAACCTAAACCGTGGGGTGCAGCGTCATGATTTGAATAACTTTTAATGGCCATGGGGTGTAGATTGGCCTGAGCAAATGTGGTGCCGGTGGAACAAAAGCCTTCGGAGGAGTTAGCGAAATTCCAATGTGTACGGATCGCCAAAAAATGCGAAATAGCCCTTTAACCGTACATTTGACAGATACGCCCGCACTGACTTTTTTGTAGATCTTATTGAGATACATATGTGTGTCAAATTTTGTGTCATTTTGACAAAGCGTACAGGCGTGACAGTCAATAGTGTGAATTTCCACCTTAGGGGGCGCTATGGAGCCATTTTGCATTTTATTGTTTGGGCGACTTCAGAATATCAAATTTTTCACCAGGCCCGGTCGTCCTGCCAAATTTCATGAGTTTTCGCCAGTGGGAAGTGGGCCATTTTCCAGTTCAAAGGGGAGGAAAAATAATAATAACTAGGGCCCCGGTGGGGCACTGTCGGGCCCGAGCCGCGTCGCGCCGCCCCCAGCGCGACCGCCTCCCCCTCCCGATCGCGTCACACTCAAGGTCCAAAGATGGTGTGCGCACTTGTCTGTGGTCATTTCCCATTATAATGAATGGGAGGCGCAGTTTCTACCAAAACGCTCGCTGCAGACAAACTACATGTCCTATTTGAAAAAAGTCTGGACCATGAGTGAGGGCACAAACACAGCTAGTATATATCCAAATGGCAAGTTGCTCCTCCTTTCGGTTTTGCAGAGAGAGCGATGCGTTTGAGCCATTGAGCGATGGGCAGGAAAAACTTGACTTTTTCTCCTGCCATGGGGGGCGCTCTTTTGGGGAGAAAAATTCCTTCACAAATGTGTTGATGGCTGGACATTGCATCATCCTAGAAAACTTGGAGGCCAGTGAGGACAAAAATAAAAAGTTATAAGACTTTTAAAAATGTGGATATTTGGGTCCTCTTTGGCGCCCCCTAGAACGTAAACTGTGGGGTGCAGCGTCATGATTTGTACAACTTTGAATGGCCATGGGGTGTAGATTGACCTGAGCAAATTTGAAGCCGATGGGACAAAAGATTTAGGAGGAGTTAGCGAAATTCCAATGTGTGCGGATCGGCAAAAAATGCGAAATAACCCTTTAACCGTACATTTGACAGATACGCCCGCACTGACTTTTTTGTAGATCTTATTGAGATACATGTGTGTGTCAAATTTTGTGTCATTTTGACAAAGTAAAGGCGTGACAGTCAACAATGTGTATTTTTGCCTTAGGAGACAAGAAAAAATGGACTTTTTTCTCCTGCCATGGGGGGCGCTCTTTTGGCGAGTAAAAATTCCTTCACAAATGTGTTGATGGCTGGACATTGCATCATCCTAGAGAACTTGGAGGCCAGTGAGGACAAAAATAAAAAGTTATAAGACTTTTAAGACTGTGGATTTTTGGGTTATCTTTGGCGCCCCCTAGAACGTAAACCGTGGGGTGCAGCGTCATGATTTGTACAACTTTTAATGGCCATGGGGTGTAGATTGGCCTCAGCAAATGTGGTGCCTTTGGAACGAAAGCCTTCGGAGGAGTTAGCGAAATTCCAATGTGTGCGGATCGGCAAAAAATGCGAAATAGCCCTTTCACCGTACATTTGACAGATACGCCCGCACTGACTTTTTTGTAGATCTTATTGAGATACATGTGTGTGTCAATTTTTGTGTCAATATGACAAAGCGTAAAGGCGTGACAGTCAATAGTGTGAATTTTCGCCTTAGGAGACAAGAAAAAATGGACTTTTTTCTCCTGCCATGGGGGGCGCTCTTTTGGGGAGTAAAAATTCCTTCACAAATGTGTTGATGGCTGGACATTGCATCATCCTAGAAAACTTGGAGGCCAGTGAGGACAAAAATAAAAAGTTATACGACTTTTAAGAATGTGGATTTCTGGGTTATCTTTGGCGCCCCCTAGAACGTAAACCGTGGGATGCAGCGTCATGATTTGTACAACTTTTAATGGCCATGGGGTGTAGATTGGCCTGAGCAAATTTGGTGCCGGTGGAACGAAAGCCTTCGGAGGAGTTAGCGAAATTCCAATGTGTGCGGATCGGCAAAAAATGCGAAATAGCCCTTTAACCGTACATTTGACAGATACGCCCGCACTGACTTTTTTGTAGATCTTATTGAGATACACGTGTGTGTCAAATTTTGTGTCATTTTGACAAAGCGTACAGGCGTGACACTCAATCATGTGAATTTTTCACCTTAGGGGGCGCTATGGAGCCATTTTGCATTTGATTTTTTGGGCGACTTCAGAATATCGAATTTTTCACCAGGCCCGGTCGTCCTGCCAAATTTCATGACTTTTCACCAGTGGGAAGTGGGCCATTTTCCAGTTCAAAGGGGCAGAAAAATAACTAGGGCCCCGTTGGGGCACTGGCGGGCCCGAGCCGAGTCACGCCGCCCCCAGCGCGACCGCCTCCCCCACCCGATCGCGTCACACTCAAGGTCCAAAGATGGTGTGCGCACTTGTTTGTGGTCATTTACCATTATAATGAACGGGAGGCGCAGTTTCTACCAAAACGCTCGCTGCAGAAAAACTCCATGTCCTATTTGAAAAAAGTCTGGACCATGAGTGAGGGCACAAACACAGCTAAGATATATCCAAATGGCAAGTTGCTCCTCCTTTCGCTTTTGCCGAGAGAGCAGTGCGTTTGAGCCATTGAATGATGAACAGGAAAAACTTGACTTTATTCTCCTGCCATGGGGGGCGCTCTTTTAAAGAGAAAAAACTCCTTCACAAATGTGTTGATGGCTGGACATTGCATCATCCTAGAAAACATGGAGGCCAGTGAGGACAAAAATAAAAAGTTATAAGACTTTTAAATATGTGGATTTTAGGGTTATATTTGGCGCCCCCTAGAACCTAAACCGTGGGGTGCAGCGTCATGATTTGAATAACTTTTAATGGCCATGGGGTGTAGATCGGCCTGAGCAAATGTGGTGCCGGTGGAACGAAAGCCTTCGGAGGAATTAGCGAAATTCCAATGTGTGCGAATCTGCAAAAAATGCGAAATAACCCTTTAACCGTACATTTTACAGATACGTGGCCATTGACTTTTTCGAAGATCTTATTGAAATACACGTGTATGTAAAATTTTGTGTCAATACGACAAAACATACAGGCGTAGCACTCAACAATGTGTATTCTCACCTTAGTGGACAAGAAAAAATTGACTTTTTTCTCCTGCCATGGGGGGGCGCTCTTTTGCCGAGTAAAAATTCCTTCACAAATGTGTTGATGGCTGGACATTGCATCATCCTAGAAAACTTGGAGGCCAGTGGGGACAAAAATAAAAAGTTATAAGACTTTTAAATATGTGGATTTTACGGTTATCTTTGGCGCCCCCTAGAACCTAAACCGTGGGGTGCAGCGTCATGATTTGAATAACTTTTAATGGCCATGGGGTGTAGATTGGCCTGAGCAAATGTGGTGCCGGTGGAACGAAAGCCTTCGGAGGAGTTAGCGAAATTCCAATGTGTGCGGATCGGCAAAAAATGCGAAATAACCCTTTAACCGTACATTTGACAGATACGCCCGCACTGACTTTTTTGTAGATCTTATTGAGATACATGTGTGTGTCAATTTTTGTGTCATTTTGCCAAAGCGTACAGGTGTTACACTCAACAATGTGTATTTTCACCTTAGGGGACAAGAAAAAATGGACTTTTTTCTCCTGCCATGGGGGGGCGCTCTTTTGGGGAGTAAAAATTCCTTCACAAATGTGTTGATGGCTGGACATTGCATCATCCTAGAAAACTTGGAGGCCAGTGAGGGCAAAAATAAAAAGTTATAAGACTTTTAAATATGTGGATCTTAGGGTTATCTTTGGCGCCCCCTAGAACCTAAACCGTGGGGTGCAGCGTCATGATTTGAATAACTTTTAATGGCCATGGGGTGTAGATTGGCCTGAGCAAATGTGGTGCCGGTGGAACGAAAGCCTTCGGAGGAGTTAGCGAAATTCCAATGTGTGCGGATCGGCAAAAAATGCGAAATAACCCTTTAACCGTACATTTGACAGATACGCCCGCACTGACTTTTTTGTAGATCTTATTGAGATACATGTGTGTGTCAATTTTTGTGTCATTTTGACAAAGCGTACAGGCGTGACAGTGAATAGTGTGAATTTTCACCTTAGGGGGCGCTATGGAGCCATTTTGCATTTTCTTGTTTGGGCGACTTCGGAATATCAAATTTTTCACCAGGCCCGGTCGTCCTGCCAAATTTCATGAGTTTTCGCCAGTGGGAAGTGGGCCATTTTCCAGTTCAAAGGGGAGGAAAAATAATAATAATAATAATAATAACAAAAGAAGGAAACTACAGGAACAAGAGGGCTCTCGCAGCTGCTTAGCAGCTACGCTCGGGCCCTAATAAGAAGAAGAAGAAGAAAGAAGAATCCATCAGGAATAATAGGGCTCTCGCAGCTGCTTAGCAGCTACGCTCGGGCCCTAATAACACTAGGACCCCGTTGGGGCACTGGCGGGCCCGAGCCTTGTCGCGTCCCCCCCCCCCCCCCCCCCCCACCCCCCAACGTGCTGCCTTCCCGTCCCATTTGTGTCCTCTGGCCATCGCCCTCTCTGGTAACGCCCATCACTGCAAAGACCCTTTTCCTTCATCGGCGTTTGCTGTTCTTCCTGCCAGTGCGTGTTGCTTTCACTTACACTTGCCACAGCCAGCCTCGTGAGTGCCTAGCCTATTGGATATCACTGTCACCTACACAGGACAGTCATTACCTTTCTATTAATACTTTGTGTTTTAATTTCACATTAATTTCCATATTGTATAAACGACTGGAAAAAACTTGAGCCCCTGCCCCTGTATAATCATGTGCATGTCTCTGTTCTAGCTCCAAGGTGAATCTTCACTGCTCATGTTCTCCTCAGAAGCACTCACCTCACTCCCCTCAGGTTACTGTACACATGCACCAACTGCCTGCTTCAGGTTTGGATGGAGCTTCATGGTTGTCTTTTGGAGAAATGACCAGTCAAGTTGTGTTTGAAATTTGATTTTTTTCAGGGGCAAAAGGAGCCTCTGCATTCTTGTCAAATATGTAAATAGCATGTTTTTGCAGGTGCTAAAAACCAGACTCTGAGTGTGTGTGTGTGTGTGTGTGTGTGTGTGTGTGTGTGTGTGTGTGTGTGTGTGTGTGTGTGCGTGTGTGTGTCTGTGTGTGCGTTCAAGTCACATGACATATTTAACCGGATGTAGCTGCAAGACGGAGCCTCGTTGACTCTCCGTTTCAACTTATCTCAAAAGTGAGGACCTCAACCTATATACCAGTTTTTAAATTGTGTTGATAGGCCAAATAAAACCAGAGTTATGATAAATTATGTCCGCGATACTTTTTTTCTGCTTATTTTGATCACGTTCGGCGCTCGATCGCGCTGTATGAGACAGGAAAACATAGCATGCAGACATTAGCGACAGGTGTTACAGGCGGAAAAGGCTTGCCAAAAGAAAAAAAAAACACACCACAACATCTCTCCTATTGGTGGAAAACTTCACCACAACAACCAATCCAAAATTATATGGTGACTGATTGACAAGGGGCGGGTGCTTACGTTCTTCCTGCAACATGAGAAGCGAGGGAGGGACTCTCAGCAGGGATGCAGTCTGGGACACGTAGTTGCAAACCTAGCGACTTTGTTGTTAGATTCAATGACTTTTCAGACCCCCTAACGACTTTTTTTTTAGAAAGAAAGGGACTTTTATCGACTTCTTCTGGAGTTTAGAGACTCTGACATGAAGCAGGCTTTCCTTACTGAGGAGTTAGCAACGCTGCTAAGGGTGCAGAGCCACACATGCGCTCAGAGCTCTGCATGGGAGACTGAAGCTGACAGAGCTGCAGCAGTTAGCAGGTTTCACCCTCAGAGACCACCAGGGGTTCATGTTGAGGCATTTTAATTTTTTTTTTTTTGTGCCATAGACACTGTCAGCACAATCTGCAGTTACACTAACAAAAATGCTGCAAAAAACAAAGAATTATGGAAAAATTACACATGGACTGACATAGAGGAGGATCTACACAAGTTTTTTACATCATGTTTTACATCATGCATCATTTACATCATGTTTTTTTGTAGTGGCATAAATAAAAAGTGACATTTGTGAGACTATACAGTGTTTTGTAAATAATTTTACAAAGAACGCCTGGGCCATTGCCTGCATTTTGATGTAAATAGAGGTAAATCACTATGTTCTTTGTTAAAAATTTGCATATGTTTTGAAGTTTACAATTTTTATTTGAAGTTTAGGTTTTAAAAACAGTTCATCACACATATTTGTGGTTTTCACAGTAAAAATGTTACTTTTTTCCACTCGGATTTTATGTTTTGTGTGTGAATTTGGGTCCATTGTGTAAATTCAGTATGTCAACATGATAAAATAACTGTAAATTCGCACAGGTGAGGTTGTGCTGAAAAAAAATGATACCAGGCAAGACACGTGATTGTCAAATTTTGTGTCAATATGACAAAGCGTATAGGCGTGAATCTCAACAATATGTATTTTCACCTTAGGGGACAAGAAAAAATGGACTTTTTTCTCCTGCCATGGGGGGGCGCTCTTTTGGGGAGTAAAAATTCCTTCACAAATGTGTTGATGGCTGGACATTGCATCATCCTAGAAAACTTGGAGGCCAGTGAGGACAAAAATAAAAAGTTATAAGACTTTTAAATATGTGGATTTTAGGGTTGTCTTTGGCGCCCCCTAGAACCTAAACCGTGGGGTGCAGCATCATGATTTTGATAACTTTTAATGGCAACGGGGTGTAGATTGGCCTGAGCAAATGTGGTGCCGGTGGACAGAAAGCCTTCGGAGGAGTTAGCGAAATTCCAATGTGTGCGGATCGGCAAAAAATGCGGAATAACCCTTTAACCGTACATTTGACAGATACGCGCGCATTGACTTTTTCGTAGATCTTATTGAGTTACATATGTGTGTCAATTTTTGTGTCATTTTGACAAAGCGTATAGGCGTGACACTCAACAATGTGTATTTTCACCTTAGGGGACAAGAAAAAATGGACTTTTTTCTCCTGCCATCGGGGGGCGCTCTTTTGGGGAGTAAAAATTCCTTCACAAATGTGTTGATGGCTGGACATTGCATCATCCTAGAAAACTTGGAGGCCAGTGAGGTCAAAAATAAAAAGTTATAAGACTTTTAAATATGTGGATTTTAGGGTTATCTTTGGCGCCCCCTAGAACCTAAACCGTGGGGTGCAGCGTCATGATTTGAATAACTTTTAATGGCCATGGGGTGTAGATTGGCCTGAGCAAATGTGGTGCCGGTGGAACGAAAGCCTTCGGAGGAGTTAGCGAAATTCCAATGTGTGCGGATCGGCAAAAAATGCGGAATAACCCTTTAACCGTACATTTGACAGATACGCCCGCACTGACTTTTTTGTAGATCTTATTGAGATACATGTGTGTGTCAATTTTTGTGTCAATATGACAAAGCGTAAAGGCGTGACAGTCAATAGTGTGAATTTTCACCTTAGGGGGCGCTATGGAGCCATTTTGCATTTTCTTGTTTGGGCGACTTCGGAATATCAAATTTTTCACCAGGCCCGGTCGTCCTGCCAAATTTCATGAGTTTTCGCCAGTGGGAAGTGGGCCATTTTCCAGTTTAAAGGGGAGGAAAAATAATAATAATAACAAAAGAAGGAAACTACAGGAACAAGAGGGCTCTCGCAGCTGCTTAGCAGCTACGCTCGGGATTTTTGGGTCATCTTTGGCGCCCCCTAGAACGTAAACCGTGGGGTGCAGCGTCATGATTTTTACAACTTTGAATGGGCATGGGGTGTAGATTGCCCTGAGCAAATTTGGTATCGGTGGGACGAAAGCCTTAGGAGGAGATAGCCACATTCCAATGTGTGCGAATCGGCAAAAAATGCAAAATAGCCCTTTAACCGTACATTATAAAGATACGCGCTCTTTGACTTTTTCGTAGATCTAATTGAGATACACATGATTGTCAATTTTTGTGTCAATATGACAAAGCGTTCAGGCGTGACACTCAACAATGTGTATTTTCATGTAAGGGGACAAGAAAAAATTGACTTTTTTCTCCTACCATGGGGGGCGCTCTTTTGGGGAGTAAAAATTCCTTCACAAATGTGTTGATGGCTGGACATTGCATCATCCTAGAAAACTTGGAGGCCAGTGAGGACAAAAATAAAAAGTTATAAAACATTTAAGAATGTGGATTTTTGGGTTATTTTTGGCGCCCCCTAGAACCTAAACCATGGGGTGCAGCATCATGATTTGAATAACTTTTAATGGCCATGGGGTGTAGATTGGCCTGAGCAAATGTGGTGCCGGTGGAACGAAAGCCTTCGGAGGAGTTAGCGAAATTCCAATGTGTGCGTATCGGCAATAAATGCGGAATAACCCTTTAACTGTACATTTGACAGATACGCGCGCATGGACTTTTTTGTAGATCTTATTGAGATACATATGTGTGTCAATTTTTGTGTCAATATGACAAAGCGTACAGGCGTGACACTCAACAATGTGTATTTTCACCTTAGGGGACAAGAAAAAAGGGACTTTTTTCTCCGGCCATGGGGGGCGCTCTTTTGGGGAGTAAAAATTCCTTCACAAATGTGTTGATGGCTGGACATTGCATCATCCTAGAAAACTTGGAGGCCAGTGAGGGCAAAAATAAAAAATTATAAGACTTTTAAATATGTGGATTTTAGGGTTATCTTTGGCGCCCCCTAGAACCTAAACCGTGGGGTGCAGCGTCATGATTTGAATAACTTTTAATGGCCATGGGGTGTAGATTGGCCTGAGCAAATGTGGTGCCGGTGGAACAAAAGCCTTCGGAGGAGTTAGCGAAATTCCAATGTGTACGGATCGCCAAAAAATGCGAAATAGCCCTTTAACCGTACATTTGACAGATACGCCCGCACTGACTTTTTTGTAGATCTTATTGAGATACATATGTGTGTCAAATTTTGTGTCATTTTGACAAAGCGTACAGGCGTGACAGTCAATAGTGTGAATTTCCACCTTAGGGGGCGCTATGGAGCCATTTTGCATTTTATTGTTTGGGCGACTTCAGAATATCAAATTTTTCACCAGGCCCGGTCGTCCTGCCAAATTTCATGAGTTTTCGCCAGTGGGAAGTGGGCCATTTTCCAGTTCAAAGGGGAGGAAAAATAATAATAACTAGGGCCCCGGTGGGGCACTGTCGGGCCCGAGCCGCGTCGCGCCGCCCCCAGCGCGACCGCCTCCCCCTCCCGATCGCGTCACACTCAAGGTCCAAAGATGGTGTGCGCACTTGTCTGTGGTCATTTCCCATTATAATGAATGGGAGGCGCAGTTTCTACCAAAACGCTCGCTGCAGACAAACTACATGTCCTATTTGAAAAAAGTCTGGACCATGAGTGAGGGCACAAACACAGCTAGTATATATCCAAATGGCAAGTTGCTCCTCCTTTCGGTTTTGCAGAGAGAGCGATGCGTTTGAGCCATTGAGCGATGGGCAGGAAAAACTTGACTTTTTCTCCTGCCATGGGGGGCGCTCTTTTGGGGAGAAAAAATTCCTTCACAAATGTGTTGATGGCTGGACATTGCATCATCCTAGAAAACTTGGAGGCCAGTGAGGACAAAAATAAAAAGTTATAAGACTTTTAAAAATGTGGATATTTGGGTCCTCTTTGGCGCCCCCTAGAACGTAAACTGTGGGGTGCAGCGTCATGATTTGTACAACTTTGAATGGCCATGGGGTGTAGATTGACCTGAGCAAATTTGAAGCCGATGGGACAAAAGATTTAGGAGGAGTTAGCGAAATTCCAATGTGTGCGGATCGGCAAAAAATGCGAAATAACCCTTTAACCGTACATTTGACAGATACGCCCGCACTGACTTTTTTGTAGATCTTATTGAGATACATGTGTGTGTCAAATTTTGTGTCATTTTGACAAAGCGTAAAGGCGTGACAGTCAACAATGTGTATTTTTGCCTTAGGAGACAAGAAAAAATGGACTTTTTTCTCCTGCCATGGGGGGGCGCTCTTTTGGCGAGTAAAAATTCCTTCACAAATGTGTTGATGGCTGGACATTGCATCATCCTAGAGAACTTGGAGGCCAGTGAGGACAAAAATAAAAAGTTATAAGACTTTTAAGACTGTGGATTTTTGGGTTATCTTTGGCGCCCCCTAGAACGTAAACCGTGGGGTGCAGCGTCATGATTTGTACAACTTTTAATGGCCATGGGGTGTAGATTGGCCTCAGCAAATGTGGTGCCTTTGGAACGAAAGCCTTCGGAGGAGTTAGCGAAATTCCAATGTGTGCGGATCGGCAAAAAATGCGAAATAGCCCTTTCACCGTACATTTGACAGATACGCCCGCACTGACTTTTTTGTAGATCTTATTGAGATACATGTGTGTGTCAATTTTTGTGTCAATATGACAAAGCGTAAAGGCGTGACAGTCAATAGTGTGAATTTTCGCCTTAGGAGACAAGAAAAAATGGACTTTTTTCTCCTGCCATGGGGGGGCGCTCTTTTGGGGAGTAAAAATTCCTTCACAAATGTGTTGATGGCTGGACATTGCATCATCCTAGAAAACTTGGAGGCCAGTGAGGACAAAAATAAAAAGTTATACGACTTTTAAGAATGTGGATTTCTGGGTTATCTTTGGCGCCCCCTAGAACGTAAACCGTGGGATGCAGCGTCATGATTTGTACAACTTTTAATGGCCATGGGGTGTAGATTGGCCTGAGCAAATTTGGTGCCGGTGGAACGAAAGCCTTCGGAGGAGTTAGCGAAATTCCAATGTGTGCGGATCGGCAAAAAATGCGAAATAGCCCTTTAACCGTACATTTGACAGATACGCCCGCACTGACTTTTTTGTAGATCTTATTGAGATACACGTGTGTGTCAAATTTTGTGTCATTTTGACAAAGCGTACAGGCGTGACACTCAATCATGTGAATTTTTCACCTTAGGGGGCGCTATGGAGCCATTTTGCATTTGATTTTTTGGGCGACTTCAGAATATCGAATTTTTCACCAGGCCCGGTCGTCCTGCCAAATTTCATGACTTTTCACCAGTGGGAAGTGGGCCATTTTCCAGTTCAAAGGGGCAGAAAAATAACTAGGGCCCCGTTGGGGCACTGGCGGGCCCGAGCCGAGTCACGCCGCCCCCAGCGCGACCGCCTCCCCCACCCGATCGCGTCACACTCAAGGTCCAAAGATGGTGTGCGCACTTGTTTGTGGTCATTTACCATTATAATGAACGGGAGGCGCAGTTTCTACCAAAACGCTCGCTGCAGAAAAACTCCATGTCCTATTTGAAAAAAGTCTGGACCATGAGTGAGGGCACAAACACAGCTAAGATATATCCAAATGGCAAGTTGCTCCTCCTTTCGCTTTTGCCGAGAGAGCAGTGCGTTTGAGCCATTGAATGATGAACAGGAAAAACTTGACTTTATTCTCCTGCCATGGGGGGGCGCTCTTTTAAAGAGAAAAAACTCCTTCACAAATGTGTTGATGGCTGGACATTGCATCATCCTAGAAAACATGGAGGCCAGTGAGGACAAAAATAAAAAGTTATAAGACTTTTAAATATGTGGATTTTAGGGTTATATTTGGCGCCCCCTAGAACCTAAACCGTGGGGTGCAGCGTCATGATTTGAATAACTTTTAATGGCCATGGGGTGTAGATCGGCCTGAGCAAATGTGGTGCCGGTGGAACGAAAGCCTTCGGAGGAATTAGCGAAATTCCAATGTGTGCGAATCTGCAAAAAATGCGAAATAACCCTTTAACCGTACATTTTACAGATACGTGGCCATTGACTTTTTCGAAGATCTTATTGAAATACACGTGTATGTAAAATTTTGTGTCAATACGACAAAACATACAGGCGTAGCACTCAACAATGTGTATTCTCACCTTAGTGGACAAGAAAAAATTGACTTTTTTCTCCTGCCATGGGGGGGCGCTCTTTTGCCGAGTAAAAATTCCTTCACAAATGTGTTGATGGCTGGACATTGCATCATCCTAGAAAACTTGGAGGCCAGTGGGGACAAAAATAAAAAGTTATAAGACTTTTAAATATGTGGATTTTACGGTTATCTTTGGCGCCCCCTAGAACCTAAACCGTGGGGTGCAGCGTCATGATTTGAATAACTTTTAATGGCCATGGGGTGTAGATTGGCCTGAGCAAATGTGGTGCCGGTGGAACGAAAGCCTTCGGAGGAGTTAGCGAAATTCCAATGTGTGCGGATCGGCAAAAAATGCGAAATAACCCTTTAACCGTACATTTGACAGATACGCCCGCACTGACTTTTTTGTAGATCTTATTGAGATACATGTGTGTGTCAATTTTTGTGTCATTTTGCCAAAGCGTACAGGTGTTACACTCAACAATGTGTATTTTCACCTTAGGGGACAAGAAAAAATGGACTTTTTTCTCCTGCCATGGGGGGCGCTCTTTTGGGGAGTAAAAATTCCTTCACAAATGTGTTGATGGCTGGACATTGCATCATCCTAGAAAACTTGGAGGCCAGTGAGGGCAAAAATAAAAAGTTATAAGACTTTTAAATATGTGGATCTTAGGGTTATCTTTGGCGCCCCCTAGAACCTAAACCGTGGGGTGCAGCGTCATGATTTGAATAACTTTTAATGGCCATGGGGTGTAGATTGGCCTGAGCAAATGTGGTGCCGGTGGAACGAAAGCCTTCGGAGGAGTTAGCGAAATTCCAATGTGTGCGGATCGGCAAAAAATGCGAAATAACCCTTTAACCGTACATTTGACAGATACGCCCGCACTGACTTTTTTGTAGATCTTATTGAGATACATGTGTGTGTCAATTTTTGTGTCATTTTGACAAAGCGTACAGGCGTGACAGTGAATAGTGTGAATTTTCACCTTAGGGGGCGCTATGGAGCCATTTTGCATTTTCTTGTTTGGGCGACTTCGGAATATCAAATTTTTCACCAGGCCCGGTCGTCCTGCCAAATTTCATGAGTTTTCGCCAGTGGGAAGTGGGCCATTTTCCAGTTCAAAGGGGAGGAAAAATAATAATAATAATAATAATAACAAAAGAAGGAAACTACAGGAACAAGAGGGCTCTCGCAGCTGCTTAGCAGCTACGCTCGGGCCCTAATAAGAAGAAGAAGAAGAAAGAAGAATCCATCAGGAATAATAGGGCTCTCGCAGCTGCTTAGCAGCTACGCTCGGGCCCTAATAACACTAGGACCCCGTTGGGGCACTGGCGGGCCCGAGCCTTGTCGCGTCCCCCCCCCCCCCCCCCCCCCCCACCCCCCAACGTGCTGCCTTCCCGTCCCATTTGTGTCCTCTGGCCATCGCCCTCTCTGGTAACGCCCATCACTGCAAAGACCCTTTTCCTTCATCGGCGTTTGCTGTTCTTCCTGCCAGTGCGTGTTGCTTTCACTTACACTTGCCACAGCCAGCCTCGTGAGTGCCTAGCCTATTGGATATCACTGTCACCTACACAGGACAGTCATTACCTTTCTATTAATACTTTGTGTTTTAATTTCACATTAATTTCCATATTGTATAAACGACTGGAAAAAACTTGAGCCCCTGCCCCTGTATAATCATGTGCATGTCTCTGTTCTAGCTCCAAGGTGAATCTTCACTGCTCATGTTCTCCTCAGAAGCACTCACCTCACTCCCCTCAGGTTACTGTACACATGCACCAACTGCCTGCTTCAGGTTTGGATGGAGCTTCATGGTTGTCTTTTGGAGAAATGACCAGTCAAGTTGTGTTTGAAATTTGATTTTTTTCAGGGGCAAAAGGAGCCTCTGCATTCTTGTCAAATATGTAAATAGCATGTTTTTGCAGGTGCTAAAAACCAGACTCTGAGTGTGTGTGTGTGTGTGTGTGTGTGTGTGTGTGTGTGTGTGTGTGTGTGTGTGTGTGTGTGTGCGTGTGTGTGTCTGTGTGTGCGTTCAAGTCACATGACATATTTAACCGGATGTAGCTGCAAGACGGAGCCTCGTTGACTCTCCGTTTCAACTTATCTCAAAAGTGAGGACCTCAACCTATATACCAGTTTTTAAATTGTGTTGATAGGCCAAATAAAACCAGAGTTATGATAAATTATGTCCGCGATACTTTTTTTCTGCTTATTTTGATCACGTTCGGCGCTCGATCGCGCTGTATGAGACAGGAAAACATAGCATGCAGACATTAGCGACAGGTGTTACAGGCGGAAAAGGCTTGCCAAAAGAAAAAAAAAACACACCACAACATCTCTCCTATTGGTGGAAAACTTCACCACAACAACCAATCCAAAATTATATGGTGACTGATTGACAAGGGGCGGGTGCTTACGTTCTTCCTGCAACATGAGAAGCGAGGGAGGGACTCTCAGCAGGGATGCAGTCTGGGACACGTAGTTGCAAACCTAGCGACTTTGTTGTTAGATTCAATGACTTTTCAGACCCCCTAACGACTTTTTTTTTTAGAAAGAAAGGGACTTTTATCGACTTCTTCTGGAGTTTAGAGACTCTGACATGAAGCAGGCTTTCCTTACTGAGGAGTTAGCAACGCTGCTAAGGGTGCAGAGCCACACATGCGCTCAGAGCTCTGCATGGGAGACTGAAGCTGACAGAGCTGCAGCAGTTAGCAGGTTTCACCCTCAGAGACCACCAGGGGTTCATGTTGAGGCATTTTAATTTTTTTTTTTTTTGTGCCATAGACACTGTCAGCACAATCTGCAGTTACACTAACAAAAATGCTGCAAAAAACAAAGAATTATGGAAAAATTACACATGGACTGACATAGAGGAGGATCTACACAAGTTTTTTACATCATGTTTTACATCATGCATCATTTACATCATGTTTTTTTGTAGTGGCATAAATAAAAAGTGACATTTGTGAGACTATACAGTGTTTTGTAAATAATTTTACAAAGAACGCCTGGGCCATTGCCTGCATTTTGATGTAAATAGAGGTAAATCACTATGTTCTTTGTTAAAAATTTGCATATGTTTTGAAGTTTACAATTTTTATTTGAAGTTTAGGTTTTAAAAACAGTTCATCACACATATTTGTGGTTTTCACAGTAAAAATGTTACTTTTTTCCACTCGGATTTTATGTTTTGTGTGTGAATTTGGGTCCATTGTGTAAATTCAGTATGTCAACATGATAAAATAACTGTAAATTCGCACAGGTGAGGTTGTGCTGAAAAAAAATGATACCAGGCAAGACACGTGATTGTCAAATTTTGTGTCAATATGACAAAGCGTATAGGCGTGAATCTCAACAATATGTATTTTCACCTTAGGGGACAAGAAAAAATGGACTTTTTTCTCCTGCCATGGGGGGGCGCTCTTTTGGGGAGTAAAAATTCCTTCACAAATGTGTTGATGGCTGGACATTGCATCATCCTAGAAAACTTGGAGGCCAGTGAGGACAAAAATAAAAAGTTATAAGACTTTTAAATATGTGGATTTTAGGGTTGTCTTTGGCGCCCCCTAGAACCTAAACCGTGGGGTGCAGCATCATGATTTTGATAACTTTTAATGGCAACGGGGTGTAGATTGGCCTGAGCAAATGTGGTGCCGGTGGACAGAAAGCCTTCGGAGGAGTTAGCGAAATTCCAATGTGTGCGGATCGGCAAAAAATGCGGAATAACCCTTTAACCGTACATTTGACAGATACGCGCGCATTGACTTTTTCGTAGATCTTATTGAGTTACATATGTGTGTCAATTTTTGTGTCATTTTGACAAAGCGTATAGGCGTGACACTCAACAATGTGTATTTTCACCTTAGGGGACAAGAAAAAATGGACTTTTTTCTCCTGCCATCGGGGGGCGCTCTTTTGGGGAGTAAAAATTCCTTCACAAATGTGTTGATGGCTGGACATTGCATCATCCTAGAAAACTTGGAGGCCAGTGAGGTCAAAAATAAAAAGTTATAAGACTTTTAAATATGTGGATTTTAGGGTTATCTTTGGCGCCCCCTAGAACCTAAACCGTGGGGTGCAGCGTCATGATTTGAATAACTTTTAATGGCCATGGGGTGTAGATTGGCCTGAGCAAATGTGGTGCCGGTGGAACGAAAGCCTTCGGAGGAGTTAGCGAAATTCCAATGTGTGCGGATCGGCAAAAAATGCGGAATAACCCTTTAACCGTACATTTGACAGATACGCCCGCACTGACTTTTTTGTAGATCTTATTGAGATACATGTGTGTGTCAATTTTTGTGTCAATATGACAAAGCGTAAAGGCGTGACAGTCAATAGTGTGAATTTTCACCTTAGGGGGCGCTATGGAGCCATTTTGCATTTTCTTGTTTGGGCGACTTCGGAATATCAAATTTTTCACCAGGCCCGGTCGTCCTGCCAAATTTCATGAGTTTTCGCCAGTGGGAAGTGGGCCATTTTCCAGTTTAAAGGGGAGGAAAAATAATAATAATAACAAAAGAAGGAAACTACAGGAACAAGAGGGCTCTCGCAGCTGCTTAGCAGCTACGCTCGGGCCCTAAAAAGAAGGAAACATGCAGGAACAAGAGGGCTCTCGCAGCTGCTTAGCAGCTACGCTCGGGCCCTAATAATAACAAAACTAGGACCCCGTTGGGGCACTGGCGGGCCCGAGCCGTGTCGCGTCTCCCCCCCCCCCCCAACGTGCTGCCTCCCCGTCCCATTTGTGTCCTCTGGCCATCGCCCTCTCTGTTAACGCCCATCACTGCAAAGACCCTTTTCCTTCATCGGCGTTTGCTGTTCTTCCTGCCAGTGCGTGTTGCTTTCACTTACACTTGCCACAGCCAGCCTCGTGAGTGCCTAGCTTATTGGATATCACTGTCACCTACACAGGACAGTCATTACCTTTCTATTAATACTTTGTGTTTTAATTTCACATTAATTTCCATATTGTATAAACGACTGGAAAAAACTTGAGCCCCTGCCCCTGTATAATCATGTGCATGTCTCTGTTCTAGCTCCAAGGTGAATCTTCACTGCTCATGTTCTCCTCAGAAGCACTCACCTCACTCCCCTCAGGTTACTGTACACATGCACCAACTGCCTGCTTCAGGTTTGGATGGAGCTTCATGGTTGTCTTTTGGAGAAATGAGCAGTCAAGTTGTGTTTGAAATTTGATTTTTTTCAGGGGCAAAAGGAGCCTCTGCATTCTTGTCAAATATGTAAATAGCATGTTTTTGCAGGTGCTAAAAACCAGACTCTGAGTGTGTGTGTGTGTGTGTGTGTGTGTGTGTGCGTGTGTGTGTCTGTGTGTGCGTTCAAGTCACATGACATATTTAACCGGATGTAGCTGCAAGACGGAGCCTTGTTGACTCTCCGTTTCAACTTATCTCAAAACTGAGGACCTCAACCTATATACCAGTTTTTAAATTGTGTTGATAGGCCAAATAAAACCAGAGTTATGATAAATTATGTCCGCGATACTTTTTTTCTGCTTATTTTGATCACGCTCGGCGCTCGATCGCGCTGTATGTGACAGGAAAACATAGCATGCAGACATTAGCGACAGGTCTTACAGGCGGAAAAGGCTTGCCAAAAGAAAAAAAAAACACACCACAACATCTCTCCTATTGGTGGAAAACTTCACCACAACAACCAATCCAAAATTATATGGTGACTGATTGACAAGGGGCGGGAACTTACGTTCTTCCTGCAATATGAGAAGGGAGGGAGGGACTCTCAGCAGGGATGCAGTCTGGGACACGTAGTTGCAAACCTAGCGACTTTGTTGTTAGATTCAATGACTTTTCAGACCCCCTAACGACTTTTTTTTAGAAAGAAAGGGACTTTTATCGACTTCTTCTGGAGTTTAGAGACTCTGACATGAAGCAGGCTTTCCTTACTGAGGAGTTAGCAACGCTGCTAAGGGTGCAGAGCCACACATGCGCTCAGAGCTCTGCATGGGAGACTGAAGCTGACAGAGCTGCAGCAGTTAGCAGGTTTCACCCTCAGAGACCACCAGGGGTTCATGTTGAGGCATTTTAAATTTTTTTTTTTTTTGTGCCATAGACACTGTCAGCACAATCTGCAGTTACACTAACAAAAATGCTGCAAAAAACAAAGAATTATGGAAAAATTACACATGGACTGACATAGAGGAGGATCTACACAAGTTTTTTACATCATGTTTTATATCATGCATCATTTACATCATGTTTTTTTGTAGTGGCATAAATAAAAAGTGACATTTGTGAGACTATACAGTGTTTTGTAAATAATTTTACAAAGAACGCCTGGGCCATTGCCTGCATTTTGATGTAAATAGAGGTAAATCACTATGTTCTTTGTTAAAAATTTGCATATGTTTTGAAGTTTACAATTTTTATTTGAAGTTTAAGTTTTAAAAACAGTTCATCACACATATTTGTGGTTTAATTTCACATTAATTTCCATATTGTATAAATGACTGGAAAAAACTTGAGCCCCTGCCCCTGTATAATCATGTGCACGTCCCTGTTCTAGCTCCAAGGTGAATCTTCACTGCTCATGTTCTCCTCAGAAATAGTCACCTCACTCCCCTCAGGTTACTGTACACATGCACCAACTATCTGCTTCAGGTTTGAAATGGAGCTTCATGGTTGTCTTTTGGAGAAATGAACAGTCAAGTTGTGTTTGAAATTTGATTTTTTTCAGGGGCAAAAGGAAGCCTCTGCATTCTTGTCAAATATGTAAACAGCATGTTTTTGCAGGTGCTAAAAAACAGACTCTGAGTGTGTGTGTGTGTGTGTGTGTGTGTGTGTGTGTGTGTGTGTGTGTGTGTGTGTGTGTGTATGTTGGCGTGTGTGTATATGTGTGTGTATCCTGCAGTACTCTGTACTCCTGCAGTGGCCAAAAAGACTTTTAAGAATGTGGATTTTTGGGTCATCTTTGGCGCCCCCTAGAACTGCAGTACTCTGTACTCCTGCAGTGGCCAAAATGACTTTTAAGAATGTGGATTTTTGGGTCATCTTTGGCGCCCCCTAGAACGTAAACCGTGGGGTGCAGCGTCATGATTTTTACAACTTTGAATGGCCATGGGGTGTAGATTGCCCTGAGCAAATTTGGTATCGGTGGGACGAAAGCCTTAGGAGGAGATAGCCACATTCCAATGTGTGCGAATCGGCAAAAAATGCAAAATAGCCCTTTAACCGTACATTATACAGATACGCGCTCTTTGACTTTTTCGTAGATCTAATTGAGATACACATGATTGTCAATTTTTGTGTCAATATGACAAAGCGTTCAGGCGTGACACTCAACAATGTGTATTTTCATGTAAGGGGACAAGAAAAAATTGACTTTTTTCTCCTACCATGGGGGGGCGCTCTTTTGGGGAGTAAAAATTCCTTCACAAATGTGTTGATGGCTGGACATTGCATCATCCTAGAAAACTTGGAGGCCAGTGAGGACAAAAATAAAAAGTTATAAAACATTTAAGAATGTGGATTTTTGGGTTATTTTTGGCGCCCCCTAGAACCTAAACCTTGGGGTGCAGCGTCATGATTTTGATAACTTTTAATGGCCACGGGGTGTAGATTGGCCTGAGCAAATTTGGTGCCGGTGGAACGAAAGCCTTCGGAGGAGTTAGCGAAATTCCAATGTGTGCGGATCGGAAAAAAATGCAAAATAACCCTTTAACTGTACATTTGACAGATACGGCCGCACTGACTTTTTTGTAGATCTTATTGAGATACATATGTGTGTCAATTTTTGTGTCAATATGACAAAGCGTACAGGCGTGACAGTCAATAGTGTGAATTTCTACCTTAGGGGGCGCTATGGAGCCATTTTGCATTTTATTGTTTGGGCGACTTCAGAATATCAAATTTTTCACCAGGCCCGGTCGTCCTGCCAAATTTCATGAGTTTTCGCCAGTGGGAAGTGGGCCATTTTCCAGTTCAAAGGGGAGGAAAAAGAAAAACTAGGACCCCGTTGGGGCACTGGCGGGCCCGAGCCGTGTCGCGTCCCCCCCCCCCAACGTGCTGCCTCCCCGTCCCATTTGTGTCCTCTGGCCATCGCCCTCTCTGGTAACGCCCATCACTGCAAAGACCCTTTTCCTTCATCGGCGTTTGCTGTTCTTCCTGCCAGTGCGTGTTGCTTTCACTTACACTTGCCACAGCCAGCCTCGTGAGTGCCTAGCCTATTGGATATCACTGTCACCTACACAGGACAGTCATTACCTTTCTATTAATACTTTGTGTTTTAATTTCACATTAATTTCCATATTGTATAAACGACTGGAAAAAACTTGAGCCCCTGCCCCTGTATAATCATGTGCATGTCTCTGTTCTAGCTCCAAGGTGAATCTTCACTGCTCATGTTCTCCTCAGAAGCACTCACCTCACTCCCCTCAGGTTACTGTACACATGCACCAACTGCCTGCTTCAGGTTTGGATGGAGCTTCATGGTTGTCTTTTGGAGAAATGACCAGTCAAGTTGTGTTTGAAATTTGATTTTTTTCAGGGGCAAAAGGAGCCTCTGCATTCTTGTCAAATATGTAAATAGCATGTTTTTGCAGGTGCTAAAAACCAGACTCTGAGTGTGTGTGTGTGTGTGTGTGTGTGTGTGTGCGTGTGTGTGTGTCTGTGTGTGCGTTCAAGTCACATGACATATTTAACCGGATGTAGCTGCAAGACGGAGCCTCGTTGACTCTCCGTTTCAACTTATCTCAAAAGTGAGGACCTCAACCTATATACCAGTTTTTAAATTGTGTTGATAGGCCAAATAAAACCAGAGTTATGATAAATTATGTCCGCGATACTTTTTTTCTGCTTATTTTGATCACGTTCGGCGCTCGATCGCGCTGTATGAGACAGGAAAACATAGCATGCAGACATTAGCGACAGGTCTTACAGGCGGAAAAGGCTTGCCAAAAGAAAAAAAAAACACACCACAACATCTCTCCTATTGGTGGAAAACTTCACCACAACAACCAATCCAAAATTATATGGTGACTGATTGACAAGGGGCGGGCGCTTACGTTCTTCCTGCAACATGAGAAGGGAGGGAGGGACTCTCAGCAGGGATGCAGTCTGGGACACGTAGTTGCAAACCTAGCGACTTTGTTGTTAGATTCAATGACTTTTCAGACCCCCTAACGACTTTTTTTTAGAAAGAAAGGGACTTTTATCGACTTCTTCTGGAGTTTAGAGACTCTGACATGAAGCAGGCTTTCCTTACTGAGGAGTTAGCAACGCTGCTAAGGGTGCAGAGCCACACATGCGCTCAGAGCTCTGCATGGGAGACTGAAGCTGACAGAGCTGCAGCAGTTAGCAGGTTTCACCCTCAGAGACCACCAGGGGTTCATGTTGAGGCATTTTAATTTTTTTTTTTTTTTGTGCCATAGACACTGTCAGCACAATCTGCAGTTACACTAACAAAAATGCTGCAAAAAACAAAGAATTATGGAAAAATTACACATGGACTGACATAGAGGAGGATCTACACAAGTTTTTTACATCATGTTTTACATCATGCATCATTTACATCATGTTTTTTTGTAGTGGCATAAATAAAAAGTGACATTTGTGAGACTATACAGTGTTTTGTAAATAATTTTACAAAGAACGCCTGGGCCATTGCCTGCATTTTGATGTAAATAGAGGTAAATTACTATGTTCTTTGTTAAAAATTTGCATATGTTTTGAAGTTTACAATTTTTATTTGAAGTTTAAGTTTTAAAAACAGTTCATCACACATATTTGTGGTTTAATTTCACATTAATTTCCATATTGTATAAATGACTGGAAAAAACTTGAGCCCCTGCCCCTGTATAATCATGTGCACGTCCCTGTTCTAGCTCCAAGGTGAATCTTCACTGCTCATGTTCTCCTCAGAAATAGTCACCTCACTCCCCTCAGGTTACTGTACACATGCACCAACTATCTGCTTCAGGTTTGAAATGGAGCTTCATGGTTGTCTTTTGGAGAAATGAACAGTCAAGTTGTGTTTGAAATTTGATTTTTTTTCAGGGGCAAAAGGAAGCCTCTGCATTCTTGTCAAATATGTAAATAGCATGTTTTTGCAGGTGCTAAAAAACAGACTCTGAGTGTGTGTGTGTGTCTGTGTGTGTGTGTGTGTGTGTGTGTGTGTGTGTATGTTGGCGTGTGTGTATATGTGTGTGTATCCTGCAGTACTCTGTACTCCTGCAGTGGCCAAAAAGACTTTTAAGAATGTGGATTTTTGGGTCATCTTTGGCGCCCCCTAGAACTGCAGTACTCTGTACTCCTGCAGTGGCCAAAATGACTTTTAAGAATGTGGATTTTTGGGTCATCTTTGGCGCCCCCTAGAACGTAAACCGTGGGGTGCAGCGTCATGATTTTTACAACTTTGAATGGGCATGGGGTGTAGATTGCCCTGAGCAAATTTGGTATCGGTGGGACGAAAGCCTTAGGAGGAGATAGCCACATTCCAATGTGTGCGAATCGGCAAAAAATGCAAAATAGCCCTTTAACCGTACATTATACAGATACGCGCTCTTTGACTTTTTCGTAGATCTAATTGAGATACACATGATTGTCAATTTTTGTGTCATTTTGACAAAGCGTTCAGGCGTGACACTCAACAATGTGTATTTTTATGTAAGGGGACAAGAAAAAATTGACTTTTTTCTCCTACCATGGGGGGCGCTCTTTTGGGGAGTAAAAATTCCTTCACAAATGTGTTGATGGCTGGACATTGCATCATCCTAGAAAACTTGGAGGCCAGTGAGGACAAAAATAAAAAGTTATAAAACATTTAAGAATGTGGATTTTTGGGTTATTTTTGGCGCCCCCTAGAACCTAAACCATGGGGTGCAGCATCATGATTTGAATAACTTTTAATGGCCATGGGGTGTAGATTGGCCTGAGCAAATGTGGTGCCGGTGGAACGAAAGCCTTCGGAGGAGTTAGCGAAATTCCAATGTGTGCGGATCGGAAAAAAATGCGGAATAACCCTTTAACCGTACATTTGACAGATACGCGCGCATTGACTTTTTCGTAGATCTTATTGAGATACATGTGTGTGTCAATTTTTGTGTCATTTTGCCAAAGCGTACAGGTGTTACACTCAACAATGTGTATTTTCACCTTAGGGGACAAGAAAAAATGGACTTTTTTCTCCTGCCATGGGGGGCGCTCTTTTGGGGAGTAAAAATTCCTTCACAAATGTGTTGATGGCTGGACATTGCATCATCCTAGAAAACTTGGAGGCCAGTGAGGGCAAAAATAAAAAGTTATAAGACTTTTAAATATGTGGATCTTAGGGTTATCTTTGGCGCCCCCTAGAACCTAAACCGTGGGGTGCAGCGTCATGATTTGAATAACTTTTAATGGCCATGGGGTGTAGATTGGCCTGAGCAAATGTGGTGCCGGTGGAACGAAAGCCTTCGGAGGAGTTAGCGAAATTCCAATGTGTGCGGATCGGCAAAAAATGCGAAATAACCCTTTAACCGTACATTTGACAGATACGCCCGCACTGACTTTTTTGTAGATCTTATTGAGATACATGTGTGTGTCAATTTTTGTGTCATTTTGACAAAGCGTACAGGCGTGACAGTCAATAGTGTGAATTTTCACCTTAGGGGGCGCTATGGAGCCATTTTGCATTTTCTTGTTTGGGCGACTTCGGAATATCAAATTTTTCACCAGGCCCGGTCGTCCTGCCAAATTTCATGAGTTTTCGCCAGTGGGAAGTGGGCCATTTTCCAGTTCAAAGGGGAGGAAAAATAATAATAACAAACTAGGGCCCCGTTGGGGCACTGGCGGGCCCGAGCCGTGTCACGCCGCCCCCAGCGCGACCGCCTCCCCCACCCGATCGCGTCACACTCAAGGTCCAAAGATGGTGTGCGCACTTGTTTGTGGTCATTTACCATTATAATGAACGGGAGGCGCAGTTTCTACCAAAACGCTCGCTGCAGAAAAACTCCATGTCCTATTTGAAAAAAGTCTGGACCATGAGTGAGGGCACAAACACAGCTAAGATATATCCAAATGGCAAGTTGCTCCTCCTTTCGCTTTTGCCGAGAGAGCAGTGCGTTTGAGCCATTGAATGATGAACAGGAAAAACTTGACTTTATTCTCCTGCCATGGGGGGGCGCTCTTTTAAAGAGAAAAAACTCCTTCACAAATGTGTTGATGGCTGGACATTGCATCATCCTAGAAAACATGGAGGCCAGTGAGGACAAAAATAAAAAGTTATAAGACTTTTAAATATGTGGATTTTAGGGTTATATTTGGCGCCCCCTAGAACCTAAACCGTGGGGTGCAGCGTCATGATTTGAATAACTTTTAATGGCCATGGGGTGTAGATTGGCCTGAGCAAATGTGGTGCCGGTGGAACGAAAGCCTTCGGAGGAATAAGCGAAATTCCAATGTGTGCGAATCTGCAAAAAATGCGAAATAACCCTTTAACCGTACATTTTACAGATACGTGGCCATTGACTTTTTCGAAGATCTTATTGAAATACACGTGTATGTAAAATTTTGTGTCAATACGACAAAACATACAGGCGTAGCACTCAACAATGTGTATTTTCACCTTAGTGGACAAGAAAAAATTGACTTTTTTCTCCTGCCATGGGGGGGGCGCTCTTTTGCCGAGTAAAAATTCCTTCACAAATGTGTTGATGGCTGGACATTGAATCATCCTAGAAAACTTGGAGGCCAGTGGGGACAAAAATAAAAAGTTATAAGACTTTTAAATATGTGGATTTTACGGTTATCTTTGGCTCCCCCTAGAACCTAAACCGTGGGGTGCAGCGTCATGATTTGAATAACTTTTAATGGCCATGGGGTGTAGATTGGCCTGAGCAAATGTGGTGCCGGTGGAACGAAAGCCTTCGGAGGAGTTAGCGAAATTCCAATGTGTGCGGATCGGCAAAAAATGCGGAATAACCCTTTAACCGTACATTTGACAGATACGCGCGCATTGACTTTTTCGTAGATCTTATTGAGATACATGTGTGTGTCAATTTTTGTGTCATTTTGCCAAAGCGTACAGGTGTTACACTCAACAATGTGTATTTTCACCTTAGGGGACAAGAAAAAATGGACTTTTTTCTCCTGCCATGGGGGGGCGCTCTTTTGGGGAGTAAAAATTCCTCACAAATGTGTTGATGGCTGGACATTGCATCATCCTAGAAAACTTGGAGGCCAGTGAGGGCAAAAATAAAAAGTTATAAGACTTTTAAATATGTGGATCTTAGGGTTATCTTTGGCGCCCCCTAGAACTTAAACCGTGGGGTGCAGCGTCATGATTTGAATAACTTTTAATGGCCATGGGGTGTAGATTGGCCTGAGCAAATGTGGTGCCGGTGGAACGAAAGCCTTCGGAGGAGTTAGCGAAATTCCAATGTGTGCGGATCGGCAAAAAATGCGAAATAACCCTTTAACCGTACATTTGACAGATACGCCCACACTGACTTTTTTGTAGATCTTATTGAGATACATGTGTGTGTCAATTTTTGTGTCATTTTGACAAAGCGTACAGGCGTGACAGTGAATAGTGTGAATTTTCACCTTAGGGGGCGCTATGGAGCCATTTTGCATTTTCTTGTTTGGGCGACTTCGGAATATCAAATTTTTCACCAGGCCCGGTCGTCCTGCCAAATTTCATGAGTTTTCGCCAGTGGGAAGTGGGCCATTTTCCAGTTCAAAGGGGAGGAAAAATAATAATAATAATAATAACAAAAGAAGGAAACTACAGGAACAAGAGGGCTCTCGCAGCTGCTTAGCAGCTACGCTCGGGCCCTAAAGAAGGAAACTACAGGAACAAGAGGGCTCTCGCAGCTGCTTAGCAGCTACGCTCGGGCCCTAAAAAAGAAAGAAAGAAACAAAGAACTAGGACCCCGTTGGGGCACTGGCGGGCCCGAGCTGTGTCACGTCCCCCCCCCAACGCGCTGCCTCCCCGTCCCATTTGTGTCCTCTGGCCATCGCCCTCTTTGGTAACGCCCATCACTGCAAAGACCCTTTTCCTTCATCGGCGTTTGCTGTTCTTCCTGCCAGTGCGTGTTGCTTTCACTTACACTTGCCACAGCCAGCCTCGTGAGTGCCTAGCCTATTGGATATCACTGTCACCTACACAGGACAGTCATTACCTTTCTATTAATACTTTGTTTTTTAATTTCACATGGATGGAGCTTCATGGTTGTCTTTTGGAGAAATGACCAGTCAAGTTGTGTTTGAAATTTGATTTTTTTCAGGGGCAAAAGGAGCCTCTGCATTCTTGTCAAATATGTAAATAGCATGTTTTTGCAGGTGCTACAAACCAGACTCTGAGTGTGTGTGTGTGCGTGTGTGTGTGTGTCTGTGTGTGTGTGTGTGTGTGTGTGTGCGTTCAAGTCACATGACATATTTAACCGGATGTAGCTGCAAGACGGAGCCTCGTTGACTCTCCGTTTCAATTTATCTCAAAAGTGAGGACCTCAACCTATATACCAGTTTTTAAATTGTGTTGATAGGCCAAATAAAACCAGAGTTATGATAAATTATGTCCGCGATACTTGTTTTCTGCTTATTTTGATCACGTTCGGCGCTCGATCGCGCTGTATGAGACAGGAAAACATAGCATGCAGACATTAGCGACAGGTCTTACAGGCGGAAAAGGCTTGCCAAAGGAAAAAAAATACACACCACAACATCTCTCCTATTGGTGGAAAACTTCACCACAACAACCAATCCAAAATTATATGGTGACTGATTGACAAGGGGCGGGAACTTACGTTCTTCCTGCAATATGAGAAGGGAGGGAGGGACTCTCAGCAGGGATGCAGTCTGGGACACGTAGTTGCAAACCTAGCGACTTTGTTGTTAGATTCAATGACTTTTCAGACCCCCTAACGACTTTTTTTTAGAAAGAAAGGGACTTTTATCGACTTCTTCTGGAGTTTAGAGACTCTGACATGAAGCAGGCTTTCCTTACTGAGGAGTTAGCAATGCTGCTAAGGGTGCAGAGCCACACATGCGCTCCGAGCTCTGCATGGGAGACTGAAGCTGACAGAGCTGCAGCAGTTAGCAGGTTTCACCCTCAGAGACCACCAGGGGTTCATGTTGAGGCATTTTCAGTTTTTTTTTTTTTTTTTTGCCATAGACACTGTCAGCAAAATCTGCAGTTACACTAACAAAAATGCTGCAAAAAACAAAGAATTATGGAAAAATTAAACATGGACTAACATAGAGGAGGATCTACACAAGTTTTTTACATCATGTTTTACATCATGCATCATTTACATCATGTTTTTTTGTAGTGGCATAAATAAAAAGTGACATTTGTGAGACTATACAGTGTTTTGTAAATAATTTTACAAAGAACACCTGGGCCATTGCCTGCATTTTGATGTCAATAGAGGTAAATTACTATGTTCTTTGTTAAAAATTTGCATATGTTTTGAAGTTTACAATTTTTATTTGAAGTTTAAGTTTTAAAAACAGTTCATCACACATATTTGTGGTTTTCACAGTAAAAACGTTACTTTTTTCCACTCGGATTTTATGTTTTGTGTGTGAATTTGGGTCCAATGTGTAAATATAGTATGTCAAAATGATAAAATAACTGTAAATTGACACAGGTGAGGTTGTGCTGAAAAAAATGATACCAGGCAAGGCAAGGTAAAAATTTTGTAAGAGGAAATATAAAGGTAAAATCTAAAGTAGTCAAAAACGGCCAATAGTGACTCACAGACTCCACAGACAAGTCCCTTTGGCGCCACTCAGTGGGCAAAACTACTTTGTCTACTGTAATGTATATTTGGGTCATCTTTGGCGCCCCCTAGAACGTAAACCGTGGGGTGCAGCGTCATGATTTTTACAACTTTGAATGGCCATGGAGTGTAGATTGGCCTGAGCAAATTTGGTGTCAGTGGGACGAAAGCCTTAGGAGGAGTTAGCGAAATTCCAATGTGTGCGAATCGGCAAAAAATGCAAAATAGCCCTTTTACCGTACATTATACAGATACGCGCTCTTTGACTTTTTCGTAGATCTAATTGAGATACACATGATTGTCAATTTTTGTGTCATTTGGCCAAAGCGTACAGGCGTGACAGTCAACAATGTGTATTTTCACCTTAGGGGACAAGAAAAAATGGACTTTTTTCTCCTGCCATGGGGGGGCGCTCTTTTAGGGAGTAAAAATTCCTTCACAAATGTGTTGATGGCTGGACATTGCATCATCCTAGAAAACTTGGAGGCCAGTGAGGACAAAAATAAAAAGTTATAAGACTTTTAAAAATGTGGATTTTTGGGTTATCTTTGGCGCCCCCTAGAACGTAAACCGTGGGGTGCAGCGTCATGATTTGAATAACTTTTAATGGCCATGGGGTGTAGATTGGCCTGAGCAAATGTGGTGCCGGTGGAACGAAAGCCTTCGGAGGAGTTAGCGAAATTCCAATGTGTGCGGATCGGCAAAAAATGCGAAATAACCCTTTAACCGTACATTAGACAGATACGCGCCATGGACTTTTTTGTAGATCTTATTGAGATACATGTGTGTGTCAATTTTTGTGTCATTTTGACAAAGCGTACAGGCGTGACAGTCAATAGTGTGAATTTTCACCTTAGGGGACAAGAAAAAATGGACTTTTTTCTCCTGCCATGGGGGGGCGCTCTTTTGGGGAGTAAAAATTCCTTCACAAATGTGTTGATGGCTGGACATTGCATCATCCTAGAAAACTTGGAGGCCAGTGAGGGCAAAAATAAAAAGTTATAAGACTTTTAAATATGTGGATTTTAGGGTTATCTTTGGCGCCCCCTAGAACCTAAACCGTGGGGTGCAGCGTCATGATTTGAATAACTTTTAATGGCCATGGGGTGTAGATTGGCCTGAGCAAATGTGGTGGCGGTGGAACGAAAGCCTTCGGAGGAGTTAGCGAAATTCCAATGTGTGCGGATCGGCAAAAAATGCGAAATAACCCTTTAACCGTACATTTGACAGATACGCCCGCACTGACTTTTTTGTAGATCTTATTGAGATACATGTGTGTGTCAATTTTTGTGTCATTTTGACAAAGCGTACAGGCGTGACAGTCAATAGTGTGAATTTTCACCTTAGGGGGCGCTATGGAGCCATTTTGCATTTTCTTGTTTGGGCGACTTCGGAATATCAAATTTTTCACCAGGCCCGGTCGTCCTGCCAAATTTCATGAGTTTTCGCCAGTGGGAAGTGGGCCATTTTCCAGTTCAAAGGGGAGGAAAAAGAAACTAGGACCCCGTTGGGGCACTGGCGGGCCCGAGCTGTGTCGCGTCCCCCCCCCAACGCGCTGCCTCCCCGTCCCATTTGTGTCCTCTGGCCATCGCCCTCTCTGGTAACGCCCATCACTGCAAAGACCCTTTTCCTTCATCGGCGTTTGCTGTTCTTCCTGCCAGTGCGTGTTGCTTTCACTTACACTTGCCACAGCCAGCCTCGTGAGTGCCTAGCCTATTGGATATCACTGTCACCTACACAGGACAGTCATTACCTTTCTATTAATACTTTGTTTTTTAATTTCACATTAATTTCCATATTGTATAAACAACTGGAAAAAACTTGAGCCCCTGCCCCTGTATAATCATGTGCACGTCTCTGTTCTAGCTCTAAGGTGAATCTTCACTGCTCATGTTCTCCTCAGAAGCACTCACCTCACTCCCCTCAGGTTACTGTACACATGCACCAACTGCCTGCTTCAGGTTTGGATGGAGCTTCATGGTTGTCTTTTGGAGAAATGACCAGTCAAGTTGTGTTTGAAATTAGATTTTTTTCAGGGGCAATAGGAGCCTCTGCATTCTTGTCAAATATGTAAATAGCATGTTTTTGCAGGTGCTAAAAACCAGACTCTGAGTGTGTGTGTGTGCGTGTGTGTGTGTGTGTCTGTGTGTGTGTGTGTGTGTGTGTGTGTGCGTTCAAGTCACATGACATATTTAACCGGATGTAGCTGCAAGACGGAGCCTCGTTGACTCTCCGTTTCAACTTATCTCAAAAGTGAGGACCTCAACCTATATACCAGTTTTTAAATTGTGTTGATAGGCCAAATAAAACCAGAGTTATGATAAATTATGTCCGCGATACTTGTTTTCTGCTTATTTTGATCACGTTCGGCGCTCGATCGCGCTGTATGAGACAGGAAAACATAGCATGCAGACATTAGCGACAGCTCTTACAGGCGGAAAAGGCTTGCCAAAGGAAAAAAAAAACACACCACAACATCTCTCCTATTGGTGGAAAACTTCACCACAACAACCAATCCCAAATTATATGGTGACTGATTGACAAGGGGCGGACGCTTACGTTCTTCCTGCAATATGAGAAGGGAGGGAGGGACTCTCAGCAGGGATGCAGTCTGGGACACGTAGTTGCAAACCTAGCGACTTTGTTGTTAGATTCAATGACTTTTCAGACCCCCTAACGACTTTTTTTTTAGAAAGAAAGGGACTTTTATCGACTTCTTCTGGAGTTTAGAGACTCTGACATGAAGCAGGCTTTCCTTACTGAGGAGTTAGCAACGCTGCTAAGGGTGCAGAGCCACACATGCGCTCAGAGCTCTGCATGGGAGACTGAAGCTGACAGAGCTGCAGCAGTTAGCAGGTTTCACCCTCAGAGACCACCAGGGGTTCATGTTGAGGCATTTTCAGTTTTTTTTTTTTTTTTTTTGCCATAGACACTGTCAGCACAATCTGCAGTTACACTAACAAAAATGCTGCAAAAAACAAAGAATTATGGAAAAATTACACATGGACTAACATAGAGGAGGATCTACACAAGTTTTTTACATCGTGTTTTACATCATGCATCATTTACATCATGTTTTTTTGTAGTGGCATAAATAAAAAGTGACATTTGTGAGACTATACAGTGTTTTGTAAATAATTTTACAAAGAACACCTGGGCCATTGCCTGCATTTTGATGTAAATAGAGGTAAATTACTATGTTCTTTGTTAAAAATTTGCATATGTTTTGAAGTTTACAATTTTTATTTGAAGTTAAAGTTTTAAAAACAGTTCATCACACATATTTGTGGTTTTCACAGTAAAAACGTTACTTTTTTTCCACTCGGATTTTATGTTTTGTGTGTGAATTTGGGTCCAATGTGTAAATATAGTATGTCAAAATGATAAAATAACTGTAAATTGACACAGGTGAGGTTGTGCTGAAAAAAATGATACCAGGCAAGGCAAGGTAAAAATTTTGTAAGAGGAAATATAAAGGTAAAATCTAAAGTAGTCAAAAACGGCCAATAGTGACTCACAGACTCCACAGACAAGTCCCTTTGGCGCCACTCAGTGGGCAAAACTACTTTGTCTACTGTAATGTATATTTGGGTCATCTTTGGCGCACCCTAGAACGTAAACCGTGGGGTGCAGCGTCATGATTTTTACAACTTTGAATGGCCATGGAGTGTAGATTGGCCTGAGCAAATTTGGTGTCAGTGGGACGAAAGCCTTAGGAGGAGTTAGCGAAATTCCAATGTGTGCGAATCGGCAAAAAATGCAAAATAGCCCTTTTACCGTACATTATACAGATACGCGCTCTTTGACTTTTTCGTAGATCTAATTGAGATACACATGATTGTCAATTTTTGTGTCATTTTGCCAAAGCGTACAGGCGTGACAGTCAACAATGTGTATTTTCACCTTAGGGGACAAGAAAAAATGGACTTTTTCCTCCTGCCATGTGGGGGCGCTCTTTTAGGGAGTAAAAATTCCTTCACAAATGTGTTGATGGCTGGACATTGCATCATCCTAGAAAACTTGGAGGCCAGTGAGGACAAAAATAAAAAGTTATAAGACTTTTAAAAATGTGGATTTTTGGGTTATCTTTGGCGCCCCCTAGAACGTAAACCGTGGGGTGCAGCGTCATGATTTGAATAACTTTTAATGGCCATGGGGTGTAATTTGGCCTGAGCAAATGTGGTGCCGGTGGAACGAAAGCCTTCGGAGGAGTTAGCGAAATTCCAATGTGTGCGAATCGGCAAAAAATGCGGAATAACCCTTTAACCGTACATTTGACAGATATGCGCTCATGGACTTTTTTGTAGATCTTATTGAGATACATGTGTGTGTCAATTTTTGTGTCATTTTGACAAAGCGTACAGGCGTGACACTCAACAATGTGTATTTTCACCTTAGGGGACAAGAAAAAATGGACTTTTTTCTCCTGCCATGGGGGGGCGCTCTTTTGGGGAGTAAAAATTCCTTCACAAATGTGTTGATGGCTGGACATTGCATCATCCTAGAAAACTTGGAGGCCAGTGAGGGCAAAAATAAAAAGTTATAAGACTTTTAAATATGTGGATTTTAGGGTTATCTTTGGCGCCCCCTAGAAACTAAACCGTGGGGTGCAGCGTCATGATTTGAATAACTTTTAATGGCCATGGGGTGTAGATTGGCCTGAGCAAATGTGGTGCCGGTGGAACGAAAGCCTTCGGAGGAGTTAGCGAAATTCCAATGTGTGCGGATCGGCAAAAAATGCGAAATAACCCTTTAACCGTACATTTGACAGATACGCCCGCACTGACTTTTTTGTAGATCTTATTGAGATACATGTGTGTGTCAATTTTTGTGTCATTTTGACAAAGCGTACAGGCGTGACAGTCAATAGTGTGAATTTTCACCTTAGGGGGCGCTATGGAGCCATTTTGCATTTTCTTGTTTGGGCGACTTCGGAATATCAAATTTTTCACCAGGCCCGGTCGTCCTGCCAAATTTCATGAGTTTTCGCCAGTGGGAAGTGGGCCATTTTCCAGTTCAAAGGGGAGGAAAAAGAAAAAAGAAACAAAGAAAAACCACTTGGGGAATAATAGGGCTCTCGCAGCTGCTTAGCAGCTACGCTCGGGCCCTAACTAGGACCCCGTTGGGGCACTGGCGGGCCCGAGCTGTGTCGCGTCCCCCCCCCAACGCGCTGCCTCCCCGTCCCATTTGTGTCCTCTGGCCATCGCCCTCTCTGGTAACGCCCATCACTGCAAAGACCCTTTTCCTTCATCGGCGTTTGCTGTTCTTCCTGCCAGTGCGTGTTGCTTTCACTTACACTTGCCACAGCCAGCCTCTTGAGTGCCTAGCCTATTGGATATCACTGTCACCTACTCAGGACAGTCATTACCTTTCTATTAATACTTTGTTTTTTAATTTCACATTAATTTCCATATTGTATAAACAACTGGAAAAAACTTGAGCCCCTGCCCCTGTATAATCATGTGCACGTCTCTGTTCTAGCTGTAAGGTGAATCTTCACTGCTCATGTTCTCCTCAGAAGCACTCACCTCACTCCCCTCAGGTTACTGTACACATGCACCAACTGCCTGCTTCAGGTTTGGATGGAGCTTCATGGTTGTCTTTTGGAGAAATGACCAGTCAAGTTGTGTTTGAAATTTGATTTTTTTCAGGGGCAAAAGGAGCCTCTGCATTCTTGTCATATATGTAAATAGCATGTTTTTGCAGGTGCTAAAAACCAGACTCTGAGTGTGTGTGTGTGCGTGTGTTGTGTGTGTGTGTGTGTGTGTGTGTGTGTGCGTTCAAGTCACATGACATATTTAACCGGATGTAGCTGCAAGACGGAGCCTCGTTGACTCCGTTTCAACTTATCTCAAAAGTGAGGACCTCAACCTATATACCAGTTTTTAAATTGTGTTGATAGGCCAAATAAAACCAGAGTTATGATAAATTATGTCCGCGATACTTTTTTTCTGCTTATTTTGATCACGTTCGGCGCTCGATCGCGCTGTATGAGACAGGAAAACATAGCATGCAGACATTAGCGACAGGTCTTACAGGCGGAAAAGGCTTGCCAAAGGAAAAAAAAAACACACCACAACATCTCTCCTATTGGTGGAAAACTTCACCACAACAACCAATCCAAAATTATATGGTGACTGATTGACAAGGGGCGGGCGCTTACGTTCTTCCTGCAATATGAGAAGGGAGGGAGGGACTCTCAGCAGGGATGCAGTCTGGGACACGTAGTTGCAAACCTAGCGACTTTGTTGTTAGATTCAATGACTTTTCAGACCCCCTAACGACTTTTTTTTAGAAAGAAAGGGACTTTTATCGACTTCTTCTGGAGTTTAGAGACTCTGACATGAAGCAGGCTTTCCTTACTGAGGAGTTAGCAACGCTGCTAAGGGTGCAGAGCCACACATGCGCTCCGAGCTCTGCATGGGAGACTGAAGCTGACAGAGCTGCAGCAGTTAGCAGGTTTCACCCTCAGAGACCACCAGGGGTTCATGTTGAGGCATTTTCAGTTTTTTTTTTTTTTTTTTGCCATAGACACTGTCAGCACAATCTGCAGTTACACTAACAAAAATGCTGCAAAAAACAAAGAATTATGGAAAAATTACACATGGACTAACATAGAGGAGGATCTACACAAGTTTTTTACATCATGTTTTACATCATGCATCATTTACATCATGTTTTTTTGTAGTGGCATAAATAAAAAGTGACATTTGTGAGACTATACAGTGTTTTGTAAATAATTTTACAAAGAACACCTGGGCCATTGCCTGCATTTTTATGTAAATAGAGGTAAATTACTATGTTCTTTGTTAAAAATTTGCATATGTTTTGAAGTTTACAATTTTTATTTGAAGTTTAAGTTTTAAAAACAGTTCATCACACATATTTGTGGTTTTCACAGTAAAAACGTTACTTTTTTCCACTCGGATTTTATGTTTTGTGTGTGAATTTGGGTCCAATGTGTAAATATAGTATGTCAAAATGATAAAATAACTGTAAATTGACACAGGTGAGGTTGTGCTGAAAAAAATGATACCAGGCAAGGCAAGGTAAAAATTTTGTAAGAGGAAATATAAAGGTAAAATCTAAAGTAGTCAAAAACGGCCAATAGTGACTCACAGACTCCACAGACAAGTACCTTTGGCGCCACTCAGTGGGCAAAACTACTTTGTCTACTGTAATGTATATTTGGGTCATCTTTGGCGCCCCCTAAAACGTAAACCGTGGGGTGCAGCGTCATGATTTTTACAACTTTGAATGGCCATGGAGTGTAGATTGGCCTGAGCAAATTTGGTGTCAGTGGGACGAAAGCCTTAGGAGGAGTTAGCGAAATTCCAATGTGTGCGAATCGGCAAAAAATGCAAAATAGCCCTTTTACCGTACATTATACAGATACGCGCTCTTTGACTTTTTCGTAGATCTAATTGAGATACACATGATTGTCAATTTTTGTGTCATTTTGCCAAAGCGTACAGGCGTGACAGTCAACAATGTGTATTTTCACCTTAGGGGACAAGAAAAAATGGACTTTTTTCTCCTGCCATGGGGGGGCGCTCTTTTAGGGAGTAAAAATTCCTTCACAAATGTGTTGATGGCTGGACATTGCATCATCCTAGAAAACTTGGAGGCCAGTGAGGACAAAAATAAAAAGTTATAAGACTTTTAAAAATGTGGATTTTTGGGTTATCTTTGGCGCCCCCTAGAACGTAAACCGTGGGGTGCAGCGTCATGATTTGAATAACTTTTAATGGCCATGGGGTGTAGATTGGCCTGACCAAACATGGTGCCGGTGGAACGAAAGCCTTCGGAGGAGTTAGCGAAATTCCAATGTGTGCGAATCGGCAAAAAATGCGGAATAACCCTTTAACCGTACATTTGACAGATACGCGCGCATGGACTTTTTTGTAGATCTTATTGAGATACATGTGTGTGTCAATTTTTGTGTCATTTTGACAAAGCGTACAGGCGTGACACTCAACAATGTGTATTTTCACCTTAGGGGACAAGAAAAAATGGACTTTTTTCTCCTTCCATGGGGGGGCGCTCTTTTGGGGAGTAAAAATTCCTTCACAAATGTGTTGATGGCTGGACATTGCATCATCCTAGAAAACTTGGAGGCCAGTGAGGGCAAAAATAAAAAGTTATAAGACTTTTAAATATGTGGATTTTAGGGTTATCTTTGGCGCCCCCTAGAACCTAAACCGTGGGGTGCAGCGTCATGATTTGAATAACTTTTAATGGCCATGGGGTGTAGATTGGCCTGAGCAAATGTGGTGCCGGTGGAACGAAAGCCTTCGGAGGAGTTAGCGAAATTCCAATGTGTGCGGATCGGCAAAAAATGCGAAATAACCCTTTAACCGTACATTTGACAGATACGGCCGCACTGACTTTTTTGTAGATCTTATTGAGATACATGTGTGTGTCAATTTTTGTGTCATTTTGACAAAGCGTACAGGCGTGACAGTCAATAGTGTGAATTTTCACCTTAGGGGGCGCTATGGAGCCATTTTGCATTTTCTTGTTTGGGCGACTTCGGAATATCAAATTTTTCACCAGGCCCGGTCGTCCTGCCAAATTTCATGAGTTTTCGCCAGTGGGAAGTGGGCCATTTTCCAGTTCAAAGGGGAGGAAAAAGAAAAAAGAAACAAAGAAAAACCACTTGGGGAATAATAGGGCTCTCGCAGCTGCTTAGCAGCTACGCTCGGGCCCTAACTAGGACCCCGTTGGGGCACTGGCGGGCCCGAGCTGTGTCGCGTCCCCCCCCCCAACGCGCTGCCTCCCCGTCCCATTTGTGTCCTCTGGCCATCACCCTCTCTGGTTACGCCCATCACTGCAAAGACCCTTTTCCTTCATCGGCGTTTGCTGTTCTTCCTGCCAGTGCGTGTTGCTTTCACTTACACTTGCCACAGCCAGCCTCTTGAGTGCCTAGCCTATTGGATATCACTGTCACCTACTCAGGACAGTCATTACCTTTCTATTAATACTTTGTTTTTTAATTTCACATTAATTTCCATATTGTATAAACAACTGGAAAAAACTTGAGCCCCTGCCCCTGTATAATCATGTGCACGTCTCTGTTCTAGCTCTAAGGTGAATCTTCACTGCTCATGTTCTCCTCAGAAGCAGTCACCTCACTCCCCTCAGGTTACTGTACACATGCACCAACTGCCTGCTTCAGGTTTGGATGGAGCTTCATGGTTGTCTTTTGGAGAAATGAGCAGTCAAGTTGTGTTTGAAATTTGATTTTTTTCAGGGGCAAAAGGAGCCTCTGCATTCTTGTCAAATATGTAAATAGCATGTTTTTGCAGGTGCTAAAAACCAGACTCTGAGTGTGTGTGTGTGCGTGTGTGTGTGTGTCTTTGTGTGTGTGTGTGTGTGTGTGTGTGTGTGTGTGCGTTCAAGTCACATGACATATTTAACCGGATGTAGCTGCAAGACGGAGCCTCGTTGACTCTCCGTTTCAATTTATCTCAAAAGTGAGGACCTCAACCTATATACCAGTTTTTAAATTGTGTTGATAGGCCAAATAAAACCAGAGTTATGATAAATTATGTCCACGATACTTGTTTTCTGCTTATTTTGATCACGTTCGGCGCTCGATCGCGCTGTATGAGACAGGAAAACATAGCATGCAGACATTAGCGACAGGTCTTACAGGCGGAAAAGGCTTGCCAAAGGAAAAAAAAAACACACACCACAACATCTCTCCTATTGGTGGAAAACTTCACCACAACAACCAATCCAAAATTATATGGTGACTGATTGACAAGGGGCGGGAACTTACGTTCTTCCTGCAATATGAGAAGGGAGGGAGGGACTCTCAGCAGGGATGCAGTCTGGGACACGTAGTTGCAAACCTAGCGACTTTGTTGTTAGATTCAATGACTTTTCAGACCCCCTAACGACTTTTTTTTAGAAAGAAAGTGACTTTTATCGACTTCTTCTGGAGTTTAGAGACTCTGACATGAAGCAGGCTTTCCTTACTGAGGAGTTAGCAACGCTGCTAAGGGTGCAGAGCCACACATGCGCTCCGAGCTCTGCATGGGAGACTGAAGCTGACAGAGCTGCAGCAGTTAGCAGGTTTCACCCTCAGAGACCACCAGGGGTTCATGTTGAGGCATTTTCAGTTTTTTTTTTTTTTTTTTGCCATAGACACTGTCAGCACAATCTGCAGTTACACTAACAAAAATGCTGCAAAAAACAAAGAATTATGGAAAAATTACACATGGACTAACATAGAGGAGGATCTACACAAGTTTTTTACATCATGTTTTACATCATGCATCATTTACATCATGTTTTTTTGTAGTGGCATAAATAAAAAGTGACATTTGTGAGACTATACAGTGTTTTGTAAATAATTTTACAAAGAACACCTGGGCCATTGCCTGCATTTTGATGTCAATAGAGGTAAATTACTATGTTCTTTGTTAAAAATTTGCATATGTTTTGAAGTTTACAATTTTTAATTGAAGTTTAAGTTTTAAAAACAGTTCATCACACATATTTGTGGTTTTCACAGTAAAAACGTTACTTTTTTCCACTCGGATTTTATGTTTTGTGTGTGAATTTGGGTCCAATGTGTAAATATAGTATGTCAAAATGATAAAATAACTGTAAATTGACACAGGTGAGGTTGTGCTGAAAAAAATGATACCAGGCAAGGCAAGGTAAAAATTTTGTAAGAGGAAATATAAAGGTAAAATCTAAAGTAGTCAAAAACGGCCAATAGTGACTCACAGACTCCACAGACAAGTCCCTTTGGCGCCACTCAGTGGGCAAAACTACTTTGTCTACTGTAATGTATATTTGGGTCATCTTTGGCGCCCCCTAAAACGTAAACCGTGGGGTGCAGCGTCATGATTTTTACAACTTTGAATGGCCATGGAGTGTAGATTGGCCTGAGCAAATTTGGTGTCAGTGGGACGAAAGCCTTAGGAGGAGTTAGCGAAATTCCAATGTGTGTGAATCGGCAAAAAATGCAAAATAGCCCTTTTACCGTACATTATACAGATACGCGCTCTTTGACTTTTTCGTAGATCTAATTGAGATACACATGATTGTCAATTTTTGTGTCATTTTGCCAAAGCGTACAGGCGTGACAGTCAACAATGTGTATTTTCACCTTAGGGGACAAGAAAAAATTGACTTTTTTCTCCTGCCATGGGGGGGCGCTCTTTTGGGGAGTAAAAATTCCTTCACAAATGTGTTGATGGCTGGACATTGCATCATCCTAGAAAACTTGGAGGCCAGTGAGGACAAAAATAAAAAGTTATAAGACTTTTAAAAATGTGGATTTTTGGGTTATCTTTGGCGCCCCCTAGAACGTAAACCGTGGGGTGCAGCGTCATGATTTGAATAACTTTTAATGGCCATGGGGTGTAATTTGGCCTGAGCAAATGTGGTGCCGGTGGAACGAAAGCCTTCGGAGGAGTTAGCGAAATTCCAATGTGTGCGAATCGGCAAAAAATGCGGAATAACCCTTTAACCGTACATTAGACAGATACGCGCGCATGGACTTTTTTGTAGATCTTATTGAGATACATGTGTGTGTCAATTTTTGTGTCATTTTGACAAAGCGTACAGGCGTGACACTCAACAATGTGTATTTTCACCTTAGGGGACAAGAAAAAATGGACTTTTTTCTCCTGCCATGGGGGGCGCTCTTTTGGGGAGTAAAAATTCCTTCACAAATGTGTTGATGGCTGGACATTGCATCATCCTAGAAAACTTGGAGGCCAGTGAGGGCAAAAATAAAAAGTTATAAGACTTTTAAAAATGTGGATTTTAGGGTTATCTTTGGCGCCCCCTAGAACCTAAACCGTGGGGTGCAGCGTCATGATTTGAATAACTTTTAATGGCCATGGGGTGTAGATTGGCCTGAGCAAATGTGGTGCCGGTGGAACGAAAGCCTTCGGAGGAGTTAGCGAAATTCCAATGTGTGCGGATCGGCAAAAAATGCGAAATAACCCTTTAACCGTACATTTGACAGATACGCCCGCACTGACTTTTTTGTAGATCTTATTGAGATACATGTGTGTGTCAATTTTTGTGTCATTTTGACAAAGCGTACAGGCGTGACAGTCAATAGTGTGAATTTTCACCTTAGGGGGCGCTATGGAGCCATTTTGCATTTTTTTGTTTGGGCGACTTCGGAATATCAAATTTTTCACCAGGCCCGGTCGTCCTGCCAAATTTCCTGAGTTTTCGCCAGTGGGAAGTGGGCCATTTTCCAGTTCAAAGGGGAGGAAAAAGAAGAAACTAGGGCCCCGTTGGGGCACTGGCGGGCCCGAGCCGTGTCACGCCGCCCCCAGCGCGACCGCCTCCCCCACCCGATCGCGTCACACTCAAGGTCCAAAGATGGTGTGCGCACTTGTTTGTGGTCATTTACCATTATAATGAACGGGAGGCGCAGTTTCTACCAAAGCGCTCGCTGCAGAAAAACTCCATGTCCTATTTGAAAAAAGTCTGGACCATGAGTGAGGGCACAAACACAGCTAAGATATATCCAAATGGCAAGTTGCTCCTCCTTTCGCTTTTGCCGAGAGAGCAGTGCGTTTGAGCCATTGAATGATGAACAGGAAAAACTTGACTTTATTCTCCTGCCATGGGGGGGCGCTCTTTTGGCGAGTAAAAATTCCTTCACAAATGTGTTGATGGCTGGACATTGCATCATCCTAGAAAACATGGAGGCCAGTGAGGACAAAAATAAAAAGTTATAAGACTTTTAAATATGTGGATTTTAGGGTTATCTTTGGCGCCCCCTAGAACCTAAACCGTGGGGTGCAGCGTCATGATTTGAATAACTTTTAATGGCCATGGGGTGTAGATTGGCCTGAGCAAATGTGGTGCCGGTGGAACAAAAGCCTTCGGAGGAGTTAGCGAAATTCCAATGTGTGCGAATCTGCAAAAAATGCAAAATAACCCTTTAACCGTACATTTTACAGATACGTGGCCATTGACTTTTTCGAAGATCTTATTGAAATACACGTGTATGTAAAATTTTGTGTCAATACGACAAAACATACAGGCGTAGCACTCAACAATGTGTATTTTCACCTTAGTGGACAAGAAAAAATGGACTTTTTTCTCCTGCCATGGGGGGGCGCTCTTTTGGGGAGTAAAAATTCCTTCACAAATGTGTTGATGGCTGGACATTGCATCATCCTAGAAAACTTGGAGGCCAGTGGGGACAAAAATAAAAAGTTATAAGACTTTTAAATATGTGGATTTTACGGTTATCTTTGGCGCCCCCTAGAACCTAAACCGTGGGGTGCAGCGTCATGATTTGAATAACTTTTAATGGCCATGGGGTGTAGATTGGCCTGAGCAAATGTGGTGCCGGTGGAACGAAAGCCTTCGGAGGAGTTAGCGAAATTCCAATGTGTGCGGATCGGCAAAAAATGCAAAATAACCCTTTAACCGTACATTTGACAGATACGCCCGCACTGACTTTTTTGTAGATCTTATTGAGATACATGTGTGTGTCAATTTTTGTGTCATTTTGACAAAGCGTACAGGCGTGACAGTGAATAGTGTGAATTTTCACCTTAGGGGGCGCTATGGAGCCATTTTGCATTTTCTTGTTTGGGCGACTTCGGAATATCAAATTTTTCACCAGGCCCGGTCGTCCTGCCAAATTTCATGAGTTTTTGCCAGTGGGAAGTGGGCCATTTTCCAGTTCAAAGGGGAGGAAAAATAATAATAATAATAATAATAACAAAAGAAGGAAACTACAGGAACAAGAGGGCTCTCGCAGCTGCTTAGCAGCTACGCTCGGGCCCTAAGAAAGAAACAAAGAAAAACCCCTACAGGAATAACAGGGCCTACGCCCGGCTGCTCTGCAGCTGGCTCGGGCCCTAACTAGGGCCCCGGTGGGGCACTGTCGGGCCCGAGCCGCGTCGCGCCGCCCCCAGCGCGACCGCCTCCCCCTCCCGATCGCGTCACACTCAAGGTCCAAAGATGGTGTGCGCACTTGTCTGTGGTCATTTCCCATTATGATGAATGGGAGGCGCAGTTTCTACCAAAACGCTCGCTGCAGACAAACTACATGTCCTATTTGAAAAAAGTCTGGACCATGAGTGAGGGCACAAACACAGCTAGTATATATCCAAATGGCAAGTTGCTCCTCCTTTCGGTTTTGCAGAGAGAGCGATGCGTTTGAGCCATTGAGCGATGGGCAGGAAAAACTTGACTTTTTCTCCTGCCATGGGGGGCGCTCTTTTGGGGAGAAAAATTCCTTCACAAATGTGTTGATGGCTGGACATTGCATCATCCTAGAAAACTTGGAGGCCAGTGAGGACAAAAATAAAAAGTTATAAGACTTTTAAAAATGTGGATATTTGGGTCCTCTTTGGCGCCCCCTAGAACGTAAACTGTGGGGTGCAGCGTCATGATTTGTACAACTTTGAATGGCCATGGGGTGTAGATTGACCTGAGCAAATTTGAAGCCGATGGGACAAAAGATTTAGGAGGAGTTAGCGAAATTCCAATGTGTGCGGATCGGCAAAAAATGCGAAATAACCCTTTAACCGTACATTTGACAGATACGCCCGCACTGACTTTTTTGTAGATCTTATTGAGATACATGTGTGTGTCAAATTTTGTGTCATTTTGACAAAGTGTAAAGGCGTGACAGTCAACAATGTGTATTTTCGCCTTAGGAGACAAGAAAAAATTGACTTTTTTCTCCTGCCATGGGGTTGGCGCTCTTTTGGCGAGTAAAAATTCCTTCACAAATGTGTTGATGGCTGGACATTGCATCATCCTAGAGAACTTGGAGGCCAGTGAGGACAAAAATAAAAAGTTATAAGACTTTTAAGACTGTGGATTTTTGGGTTATCTTTGGCGCCCCCTAGAACGTAAACCGTGGGGTGCAGCGTCATGATTTGTACAACTTTTAATGGCCATGGGGTGTAGATTGGCCTCAGCAAATGTGGTGCCTTTGGAACGAAAGCCTTCGGAGGAGTTAGCGAAATTCCAATGTGTGCGGATCGGCAAAAAATGCGAAATAGCCCTTTCACCGTACATTTGACAGATACGCCCGCACTGACTTTTTTGTAGATCTTATTGAGATACATGTGTGTGTCAATTTTTGTGTCAATATGACAAAGCGTATAGGCGTGAATCTCAATATGTATTTTCACCTTAGGGGACAAGAAAAAATGGACTTTTTTCTCCTGCCATGGGGGGGCGCTCTTTTGGGGAGTAAAAATTCCTTCACAAATGTGTTGATGGCTGGACATTGCATCATCCTAGAAAACTTGGAGGCCAGTGAGGACAAAAATAAAAAGTTATACGACTTTTAAGAATGTGGATTTCTGGGTTATCTTTGGCGCCCCCTAGAACGTAAACCGTGGGATGCAGCGTCATGATTTGTACAACTTTTAATGGCCATGGGGTGTAGATTGGCCTGAGCAAATTTGGTGCCGGTGGAACGAAAGCCTTCGGAGGAGTTAGCGAAATTCCAATGTGTGCGGATCGGCAAAAAATGCGAAATAGCCCTTTAACCGTACATTTGACAGATACGCCCGCACTGACTTTTTTGTAGATCTTATTGAGATACACGTGTGTGTCAAATTTTGTGTCATTTTGACAAAGCGTACAGGCGTGACACTCAATCATGTGAATTTTTCACCTTAGGGGGCGCTATGGAGCCATTTTGCATTTGATTTTTTGGGCGACTTCAGAATATCGAATTTTTCACCAGGCCCGGTCGTCCTGCCAAATTTCATGACTTTTCACCAGTGGGAAGTGGGCCATTTTCCAGTTCAAAGGGGCAGAAAAATAATAAGAAGAAGAAGAAGAAAGAAGAATCCATCAGGAATAATAGGGCTCTCGCAGCTGCTTAGCAGCTACGCTCGGGCCCTAAAAAGAAACAAAGAAAAACCACTTGGGGAATAATAGGGCTCTCGCAGCTGCTTAGCAGCTACGCTCGGGCCCTAAAAACCACTTGGGGAATAATAGGGCCTACGCCCGGCTGCTCTGCAGCTGGCTCGGGCCCTAAGAAGGAAACTACAGGAACAAGAGGGCTCTCGCAGCTGCTTAGCAGCTACGCTCGGGCCCTAATAATATTCCTGGTAGGGCTGGTGATACTGTTCCTATGAAAACTTCTTTTCTCCAGCTCTTTGAACAGATTATGATCAATTCCAGGAAAGTTTGCTCAAGATTTGATGAAATGAACTTGAGTTCACTGCTCTGTTCCTGTTTCTAAATTCCTACTAAAAAAACAGGTATGAACAGTCCAATTCAAACTAAACAGAAAAACACTGAGTAGTAGAGCATTAACTGTTTAGCACAAAGGAGCTGCCTTATACACTATAAAGACTAAATATCCATCATGCAATATCCAACTACTATCAACAACAACGATCTTTATTCTGACCACTCAGAAGACTTCAGCGCAGAGGACTTTCCTTGTTCATGAATAGTCAAGATCCAGAAAACTGACAGTTGGTCAAATTTTTGCAAATCATCAGGAAACAGGAGCGAACAACCTTCACAACATGGTATTTAACAGTCATTTTCTGGATTTTTAAGAGATGGGTTCCATGTTTGGTTGTAACAGGTCACTAAGCTTTTCAAAAGACCCAGTAATGCCGTCTGGTTCTGTTGATAGTATTTCGGTTTTTGTCTGGGTAAATTTAAAAGACACAACCAAGAAAGGAGGACAATATTTCAGGTTATTTGTTTTTGCATTAATATAAATCTGAGTGTCGTCAGCATAACATTGATACAGTACATTGTTTTCTCTGTTTATTCAAGGATTTAAATCAGGTAGAGCTACACTTGTTAGACCTTTAGAGACCAGAAATAGAGGGCTGTGTAGCATAATGGTAATCATAATTACAGTATAGATCACCTCAACAGTGAGACCTCATCTGGCTCTGTACTTATGTTCAGACCTCTCCTCAGTAATTGAATTACTGCAAGCTGTAGGTGTGACTCTCTCATCCATAATCCTCCTACATCCTTCACTTTAATCTGGACAGGATCAGCCGAACACTTTGCTTACAGTTCTTAACAGTCTTTTAAATTAGGAAATACACGGACAAAAAGATTTGCCATTAAATCATTTAACGTTCAAGTGAGTTAATAATTTCAGGACAAGAGAAGGGTGATACTCCTGCAGATTCACAATGGGATTATGTTATTACTGTCACATGAACTAGCTCTCTAAAAATTGATTGTATGGAGGAACCATTTAAAGGTCCAAAATCATTTTTAAAAATACCCAATTTGTGAATAATGCACCTGTCTTTTACCAAAGTCCCTAAAAAGAGGAAACCGTCTGTCCACTACACTAACATGCTGCTTTTGCATCATACTGGACAACATGTGAACTTTGTTGGTTATTTTTAACCATCACATGAGATGGGTAATGCCAAACCAGCTATCAGCTACTGGTCGCCGCCCTCTGCAGTCAGTGAGTCCAGAGTACCATGACAGAAGAATGAACAGCATGTTTCCACTCAATTGTTTTCTCAGTCACAGCTCCATTACCTCAGGGTCACAATGTTTCCAGGAAGAGATTTGGCTGTCAGGCCAAGTTTGTGACAATTACAACCTAATTTATAGATCTGCATTTTTAAAATCTGCTCATATTTCCTCCAAAAGTTTCAGAGGTCAATATAGTGCAATATATTACAACTGCTGCTATGTGAATCCTACCTCAATATGTGGTAGGATCCTACCTTAATATTTATCTCCTTTCCTATTCTTGTATCAAATTTTTATTTTCATTGCTCTGTCTACACTGCATGAGTGGATTTTGTCATGTATATAGTCTGTACCAAAATCACTCAGTTGTAATGCATTGTTCAATTCTTCAAACAAATAAAAACTCAATCAAAATGATTCAAACCTTTCTGATACTTCAAAACTTTAAAAAACCTTTATTCATGCATTATTCAATCCCTTAAAAAAATCCCACTTCTACTACTACAACTACTGCTGAAACAATTAAACTAGTACTTTGACTTCTACTTCAACTACTATTGCTACTATTTCTACTTTCTCTACTGCTACTACTACCACCATGAGCTCTACTACTTGCACTTCTACTTCTTCTATTCTCAAACTACTTCTACTGCTTACATGACTACTAATATCACTACTATGACTACTCATCATACTACTACAATTTAAGTCATTTTTTCAGCCTCTTTAAGCATAAATAAAATTTCAATTTATGGAGCATATTCAGACTATTTGTCCTTCAACCATTTTCACAATTATCCAATTTCTATTTCTTTTTCTTTTTTATTTTCTTTTTTTGTGCAACAAAAATCTGCATGCCTTTTCTAATTATGGTCCTTAATCACCTTTAAATAACCATAGTATTACTGCTACAGTCTGGATTTAGTTTCCTACAGTCTGCAAAAATCAGACTGGACACTGTCCCCACCTCAACCCTGAACATAAGATGAGCAGAGTACATATGACAGCAGCACATGTACTGTAACATCATTAAGTCATAGTAAAATCAGTACTCAGAAAAACAATGTCATAATTTAGGGTTTATTACACATCTAATCTGACTCTTTTACTGCCTTTAAAACCCCTGAATTACTTGGGCAGGGCAGCCAATAAATGTACAAACTCTAAATTAGTCTTTCAGAGAGAGTAACATGTAATTGAAGCGGTAATATGTGATTTAACTATGTAATAAATGTGGTTATGATCGGTCAAACTCCTGTTGCTAAGTGACAGTCTGCTAAAGTAAGGAGCTAGCATTAGCATTAGCCACTTACTCCACTACGAGTTTGCATTACATAATATGAGAGCGAGTTGAATTTCAGGCTGTAAGGAGATGTTTTTTAAAGCAGCACCGACAGTGTCAGTGATGGACACTCACCAGCCGTCACACCACAACCGCACGACCCTCTTCCTCTTCTCCGGGCTGCACGCTGCACCTCCCGGCTTACTATAACCGGCTTCCTCCCGCTGGTCGTCGGTCGCATGGTGTCCGTTTTTGATCATATCGCCAAGTTTAGGAAAATTTTGAGATAGCAGAGTTAAAAATAAGATGTTAAAATGTCTTCTTGTGATAAGAGGTGATTTGAGAGGTCGTCTCGATGTCCGCCTCAGCTTCTTTAACTCGAACAGACAGACAGCAGGGACACTGACCGGCCAACGCCTCCGACAACACGTCACATCGAACGAACCCTCTGACGCTGACGTACAGATGGCGTGTTCACTCCAGTCACGTGATCACATGTAACCTATATACAAAACACATTCCTGGATGTGCTCGTGCATTTCTCAAGCTCTGTCAAAGCTTGAAGCTACTTGGAACAAAATGTAATAAAACATAAAAGCCTGAACTGGGCATGAAGTCTGCCTGCCAATACACGAAACTGATGATAAATAATGAAAAAAATAATAATGAAAATTATAATAATAGTAATAACAACAACAAAATATTAATAATAATAAAAAAAAAATAATGATGATGATAATCATAATGAAAATAATCATAATAGTAAAAATAACATAATCAATACTACTAATACTTCTGATAAAATAATTAAAAATAAAAATATTAACAATAATCATAATAATAGACAATATAAATAACAATAATAATAAAACAACAATACTACTACTTTTAATAATAATAATAATTATTATTATTATTATTATTACTATTATTATTATTATTATTAGCTTATCAGCTTTGAGAACTAACTGCAATATTTCAGGACAAATAGAGAAAGCAGTGAAATTGTTGGATCCCTCAGATAACACTTATATTATCAGATTGGAGCAAAGCACATTATATCCTGGACTTGCTCGCATATATAGCTGCTTGAGAATTTTTGATAGTATTCTGCAAAACACACCGTTTCTCTCAACAGCCAACATGAGTACATTTACAGAAAAGAACTACAGGTTTAAAGTCTTGGTAATTAAATATCATGCACATAATGTACATCCAGAGCTTACCATGCTCTGTTTTGACTAACTTATGAGTTGGTGTCTTTATCTATCTTTTTTCACTCTTTGTAATGTAAAGGAAATCTCAACATTTGTATTTCAAGGGCCTTTCAAAGTCACAGATGAGATTCTTAAATCTGAGAAACAAAAGTTGGACCAAGCTCCTGCTATGTGGTCATAAGACTTATTAATCTCTATGTGTACTGAGCTTTACACAGCATTCAAATGGGAATAACAGTCTGAATAAACCGCCTCATTAAGAACTTAACTTCCATATAAAATGTTTTCAAATCAAAGTTTATCATATAAAAAAAAAGATTGACATAATATGACAGTACATTGTTGGAAAAAGCAAACAAAAATACAACCCAGACACTGGCAGAAGAGCAGTAGGGGGAGTGGTGTCTCAATGGTTTCTTTTCAAGTAGAATCTATAAAGTGGACGTGATGTATTTTTACATCAGTGAATCAGATATTGATTATTACATTGATGAAAACAAGTTTCAGTAGTTAACTTTACACTGTGCCCCTTAATAAAACTTTATCACTGAACTGAAATTGCTACAATGATTTTTTTGATGCACAGACAAAGTTTGTAAGTAAGGTAGGTCATAAGCCTCTAAAGCAGCTACACGATATCATCTCACGGGTCATCTAGTTTCAATTACAAGAAGAGATTAATTTTTGATCAATCTTTAGGAAACATGAAGGCACAGACCATCACCTTTTGCATGACTGAGAACAAATTGCAAAATAGAACAGGTTAGTCTAGGGTGCTGTCAAGTCTACTGATGAAGTGTGCAACAATAAAAATACTGCAAATATAACAAAGCATATGAATTCAAGGTTTATGGCATGTACAATTGTAAACTCTGGGAATAAAAAACAGAAACAATTTACTGTTTCAGAAATAGAACACCTTTTTTAAACAAAATACAACAAAACCAGAGTATTCACATCCAGTTTGACCTCTGGCTCGAGCGTTAGGAATGCTTAACACAGACACATAATGACTTTTGTGGTATCTAACACAGTAAAGAACGATGACATTATTATTAACGCCAATTCTTCCTGAGACATATTAAGAGAACAAACAGTAACTGACAGAAGGAAAACAAAGAACTTAAAGTTTGAGTAATATTTTCTCATAAACTGACTTCTTCTTACACTGCTGTACATAAAATAAGCGACAACAGCAGAGCATCTGCACCATGTTTTAGATGTAAACATACGGTAGGAAAATTCAATAATCTGAGTAAACAAAAACGTGCAAAGTAGTAGCTGTACTACAGAGCCTGCAAACCTGAGGTGAGGTGACAGTGAAGCTAAGGTAAATGTTAGCTTAGCTAATCATTTCAGTAAACAAATTCATTAAAACAAACATCAACACAAAATGCTACATTCAGCAACATTTGAAATCACCTGTAAAAATTAAAAAATGTCTGGCGCTCAAAAAAAGAACATGTATAAACTGACTCTCTAACCAGTTAAGGCTGTACAGCTCAGCGGCAGGAACTGGTCTCCAGTTTACTGCTGATTTTCTTCTGGTTTCTTCCACCTCTTCACTTCAATTGAACAAAAAAACAATATCCTCCTGCATCAGAATCAACATCTAGATAGTGTTAAATCCAGCAGCATGTTGCACATCAAATAAGTTAAACATATAACTAACAGAGTTCAACCGTCTCTGAGCTCTGCTGTCATTCTTTCAGGAGTCAGTGTTCAAACACTGCTTTTACTTCAGCAAACACAAAGCAGACGGCTGGAAGAATGTAAGGGAGTGTTTGTTGAATTTGACGTAAAATTGTACTAGAGCGACATGCCCCAGGTTACACTGCTAAATGAGGTTGTATTTTGGTATCAGCCGCCCAAAGCCACTTTGAGATGTGGCTGATTAATCTAAACTGTAGGATGAATATGTTGATGTTGCAAAGTGTCATCTAAATATCACCGTTTCTTTCTCACACACGCTTCAAAACACACAAACTGCATTTGGCAAATTGACACCAATGCGTAACAGCACCCTGGAGTTTGTCTCATCCTCATGATGAGCCTGAAATCTTCATATACGTCATCATTTGTGTCCTTAAGATGAGGCAGCTTTCTTCTTCTTCCGCCCTTTGCCATAACCTCGTCCAAACCAGCCACCCTGCACAGCTTGGCCTTCCTCCGCCAGCTCCCTGCAGTCAGGTGAACCGTCTTCCTGGCCATCAGGGGGAGCTATGACCTCACGAGTGTAGCTGTCAACTTCTTCTGGCTGCAGGGGTGTAGCGAGACTGAAGATGGGGTCCTCCACTCTACGGGGACAGAAGTAGACATCTTAAAGCTCAACATGTCTGTTTTATTTGTCTGAGTAAGCAAGGGATACTGCAGAGACCTTAGAGTACAAGTAATGTCAGAGTAAAAAGAACAATGTTTTACTATTTTCCATCTTCTCAAATAAATAAGTTGTGCAGCAAGAACAGCCTAGTCTATTTGAAAAGCTATTCCCCAAATAACTACATAAAGTCCTTACCTGTCATATACAGGAATCTGAAGGCTCAGCTCCTCCATTAGAAACCTCATAACGTCATCACACTTGCCATTAATTTTCAGCACAGCCAGGTCATCCTTCGGAGTCCACTGGAACAAAGGTAGATCCACGTGTTTAGCCACATATAAGACAGAAATACATCTGCATCTTGCTCAGCTTAAAAGAGAAAGCTTAAAGGGATATTCCAGCGTAAAATTAAGTTAGGGTCAAACACACCAGAACACTGAGTTAGACACCCCCTTGAGAGATGAATGTTGTCGACTGCTTGTTTCTCTAGTTATACCAACTTCACCAACGACTGCACGATAGCAATACACGGCGGTCTATGTCTCCATGTGTAAACCTCAACCAAAACGCCACTCTGTAGCCACAAAAAATGCTCAGAACAGCACCTAACTTCACCAACAGGACATATAGGGTCCCAGCCATAGAACATCTTTTTGACTTTGCCTGGTTTCTTTAGCAAAGAGACTAAACACAACTCACCCACTCTCTTCCAGCAGCTGCTTGTTTGTATGGAGACCTCAGGCCAGTCCATTACGGACTACAGTGGGGTTACACAGCTCAAGGAAGAACATTTATGATCATTTCTTCATGGAAATGCAATCAGACTGAGACGCTAAGGCAGAAGAACTTCCGTGTCTGCAGTGCAAAATGATTGATATGATGATTAATACTTCATGGAAATGATCTGCTGCACTCAGTGATTGACTCGTCAGGCCCCCCCCCATAAACAAGCGGCTGCTGGAAGAGAGCGGGTGAGTTGTGTTTAGTCTCTTTGCTAAAGAAATCAGGCAAAGCTAAAAAGATGTTTGGTGGCTAGTACTATGGCTGGGACCCTATATGTACTGTTGATGAAGTTAGGTGCTGTTCTGAGCATTATTTGTGGCTCTAGAGTGGCGTTTTGGTTGAGGTTGGTATAACTAGAGAAGCAAGCGATCGGCAACTTTCATCTCTCAAGGGGTTGTCTAACTCAGTGTTATGGTGTGTTTGACCCTAACCTAAATTTACGCCAGAATATCCCTTTAATGTACCTGGAGGTTTACAATGTAGAGTTTTGGCCTTTTGTTTGCTGGTCTGTTCATGCACCACAGACACGCATATTTCTTCAACACCTACAAAGATAAGAAACAGAACATAAGGAGATCATTAATCTAGTGTTTCACAACATGCAAGTTTAGCTGGACAAAACGCACCCTTATGGTTATATTATTAAAAGTGTTTATTGGGCGTAGGTCTATATCTACCAGTATAAGAGTGAAACAGATGTATTCACTTTCTAGGTAAATTATTTTATTAAAGAACAATTCTGCCTAAAGGGAAATTAAAATTTCAGTATGAGTTTAAGGAAATACAACAGTATTACATTTCAGTTCTTGAACTACATTTGGCACATTGTGGTTTATACCCCCTACCTTTAGACTGGAGCCCAAACAGAGGATAACATCCGCCATCTCGGCAGCCTCTGCAGCCCCCTTCCAGTTTAGAGGTTGCTCCAGTGTCCCGCGTTCCCCAAAGTGCACAATGGTGTCCCTGAGTTCATCTCCACAGTGTCTGCAGCTGCGACCTGTTCCGTGTCTGTGCAGCGACGTCCGTTCTGTTACGTCAAATAAACGTACATACTCCCTAACCGGAGAGCAGGACGTACACACCTGGTGAGAAGACGAAAAACAGCGTGTAAGGGTCACCCAATAAAAGAGGCAGGAGCAGTGTGTGTGTGAGTTAACGCCTGAAAGCTTGAAGATGAAGAATATGAGTGTGTCTTACCTCAATGAACATGTTTCCATGAAGCTCAGACAGGGCTTGTCTAGACAGTCCGCTACGTAAGTGAAGTCCATCACAGTTTTGAGAAACAACATGTTTTACCTTGAGAGCAAACATACAGGAAACATGAGGATACAAGAGAAATAATGACACATCCATCAGTGTAGACCACATGAACAACCAAGGTTTCACATACCAGCTTTTCTTTGTGCAACATCTTTATACACATGTGTGTGAGGGTCGGCGCAGCTTTACTCAGGTCAGAGGAACTGTTTCAAACAAGATGACAGCGGCAGTCAGCATTTAGAGAATACACAGCATTTATCAAACCACGTACAGGAGATTTGATCTCTCACCTGACTGTTCGCCCCTTCTGCAGCAGAGTCCACACCCCGTTAGGGCCCCTGTAGTCTGGGATGGAAGCAGCCTATAAAAAAAAAGACACCATCAGTCCAAAAAATAAATGAATTAATTAAAGAAAAGGGGACCTAAAGAGGCAGAGCTTGACATACTGTACTGATTCCGGCTCCAGTGTAAACGACCAAGTGTTTGGCTTCTTTGACTGCATCAGCAAGCTGCTTGACTTTATTTTTCAAGTCATCAGCATCATCAAACACCTGCAGAATACACAAGAAATAAGACATTTAATGCTAACAAGCAAATGTTTCTGTCATATTAAGTAACAACTACAATACGTTTGTTTTTTTTCCCCTCTTTCTTTTCTAACTCATGGTCCGGGTCCACGGCAAATATGAACACTGAAAGCATAGAGGTGGCTTTGGCTCAGTGGGACAGTTAAGATGACTTTAACCAGAACGGTTGATGTCAGCACCCGCAAATACATGTCAGAAAGTTTTATGCAAGACGCTGAACCCCAAATCGCTCCTGGTGAGATAGCCAAGTGCATACAAGTCCATGCCTCTTACGGACAATCATTTGGTGTGGGATGAGCCCAGTTTGCTCCATTACAGGCAACAGCATTAAAGTTAATTAAAACCATCATTATTCCATATCTAAAGAGACATAACCAGTGAGATGGTGGTAGTGTTCTCATGTATGTACATTATCACACGTTCATGTTAATACAAACTTTGTGTTACTTTCACTTTAGTAGTGTTTTCATGACTCTGTAGTTTTATTACAGGCACTTTTGGAGTCAGACATCACTGAATTATCCTGACTCTTTGACTCTGAGAGTATGGACCTCTGTGGATCAGATCCATCTTGATCACACGGTCCTTGTTTCCTTCACCTCCTCCTGCTTCCTCTTCAGCACATTCCTGCGGACTTGTCTCCTGCAGAGCTCCTCCACTGTGTCTCTGTGCAGCAGCAACACCGCGGCCTCTTCCTCCGACCGCTCAGCCTCGGGTTTCTTCAGCACCCGTCCAACCTTAAACCAAGTCGAGAGGAAAAAACCTGGTCGAACTGACTGATTTAAAACACCTGAGCCACAGTGAACAACAGCTACTTTAGCCGGTTAGCTCAGTTCTTCCAGCTCTTGCGTTAACTCGTCTTACCAGTCTGAATGTTTTCCTCTCGCTCTCTCTTTGTAGGATTTTCGCTTTTTCCAAAGCTTTCCTCTCCGCTCGCTGAGATAAACTCGGCTCTGCCTCCTCTGCCATCCTGGAACAAATCAGCTGAGAAGTGGTTCACCATTCAAAACACAAGAAACAGCAGTGATCAACGACAGAGGAGCTCGAGCTTTACCGTGGAAATCAGAGGTCAAACGCCTCACAGCGCCCCCTGCTGCCGGGAGTCCACACATGTTTCATTAAAAACTCTACTTTCATAAATGTCAAGACAAAGTTCACGTTTCAAAATGTTTTATTGCAAACCATAAACAAATAAATAACTTATAAAACAGGTACAAAGTCCTTCACACTAAAAATACAAAGGTCTCGATGCGTTTGGGTAAAATGAGAGTCAAATCAACAATAAAAAATAGACTCCAGGCCAAACTTGGAGAAACACTCAGTTCAAGTAACACTAAGATTTGGAACTGGATATGAACACTTCTGCTGTCTCCAAAGAAATGATAACAGTGCTGATGCAAACTAGGAGGGAGCATTTTGATGTATGACAGCACCATAAGCACAGGCATCATTTTAAGGTTTAGTTAGACATTCATGGGATATTCCGGCGTAAAATTAAGTTTGGGTCAAACACACCATAACACCGAGTTAGACAACCCCCTCGAGAGATGAATGTTGCCGACTACTTGCTTCTCTAGTTTTACCAACTTTAGTAACAACTGCATGATAGCAATACACAGCGGTCTGAGGAGCCATAAACAAACCTCAACCAAAAAGCCACTCTATAGCCACAAATAATGATCAGAACAGCACCTAACTTCATCAACAGTACATAGAGGGTCCCAGCTATAGTCCTAGCCACCAAACATCTTTTTAGCTTTGCCTGATTTCTTTAGCTAAGAGACTAAACACAATTCACCTACTCTCCTCCAGCAGCCGCTTGTTTGTAGCGAGACCTCAGGCCAGTCTATTACAGACTACAGCGGGGTTACGCATAGACTGGCCTGAGGTCTCGCTACAAACAAGCGGCTGCTGGAGGAGAGTTGGTGAATTGTGTTTAGTCTCTTTGTTAAAGAAATTAGGCAAAGCTAAAAATATGTTTGTTGGCTAGTACTATGACTGGGATCCTATATGTACTGTTGATGAAGTTAGGTGATGTCCTGAGCATTATTTGTGGCTATAGAGTGGCGTTTTGGTTGAGGTTTGTGTACGGAGACGTAGACCGCTGTGTACTGCTATCTTGTGGTCATGACTAGAGAAGCAAGCGGTCCGCAACATTCATCTCTCAATAGGTTGTCTAACTCGGTGTTACAGTGTGTTTGACCCTAACTTTATTTTACGCCGAAATATCCCTTTAAGTTTCTTTGTGTTGTCTGAAGTGTTCATTGTAGGAAACATGTAAACCCTCTATAACACTGCAAACTCTATGTATAACTCAAAGCCAGTTGTTGCTGGTCAAAGCCAATACGTTTTTATATTTCCTCTCTATTTAGATGGATTTGAGTTGTTCCAGAGATAACACTTCGTTCCTGCACAAACACGTGGGTTGTGTACCACTGGCCCACTGAAAACCAAAAATAAAACAGGCCCTCCACACGATAAGATGTGCTTTCCTGATGGGACGTGTCATCAATGTGCAGCACACAGAGTTTTTCTAATCAACTCATATTTCCACAGCTTACATCTGCAGCATCACTATTTTAAAGATAGCGGAGAAGACCTGGTGAGCTGTGGTGGTGGTTCAACCCTCCATGAACATCCACTCAATGTGACATCTGCTCTGAAACTTCTGAGACGGAGGCTGAGCTGTAATGATATTACACTCGGGCCGTAGAGTGTAAAAGAATCGCAGCACATGAGCCGCAGAGCTCCCTTTGTGTCAAATTTGGATTTAGTAACTCTCAAATGATTAGTTATGCAGTATTCATGTAACCGCTAGAGGCTTTATTAGAGGTGCTCACTGGGGCCAATTAGGGGAGTGTCATCGGGGTCTAGAGGAGTAAGTGCTCTTGGGGACCCTCTGAGGATTCGCTCTGAACTGTCCTCGTTTGGTTTCCGGTGGCTGCTCAGCAGAAGACCCAGCGTTATGTCCAGCCTTCGTCACGGCTCCCATGGGTCTTCCCGCTGCCTTTTTTTGCATCCTGTAGGGAAGAGAGGACGGCTTTTAGTCACCATTAAAGGAAGAGCTTGTGAAAAAGATTTGCTTAGCTTGTGGTGCATAATGATCAAAAAGGTTACATGCTGCTGTAAAAAAAAGAAAGTCTCCTGAAAAGGGCACATGGTGGTCATTATTTACTTGTGTTTAGAAAATGTACAAAAAATGGCAAATTCAGACTTTAAACATCTATGTGCTTGTCTTTCAGCTGACTACTCTGCATAACGTCACTGTTGGGCAGAAACTTTGCATCTACATATTTCATCTTCTGATTTCTCTTCCATTAGCTAAAGCCACTGAGTTCTCTATGAGCCTGACAGTCGGCTTTCTGACATTTAGCAGATGAAAAATATTTAAATCAAAGGTTCCGTGTTCATTATACTGAAGCGTATTGTATTCACTTACAAAAGGAAAATGTTTTTTTGAGTATTTTGATTTTTTTTTTGCTGTTGTGCGGACTAAATTTTTTATTCTTTCTGTTTTTCTGACTATATATTTCAACTGTTTTTTTTTTTGTACTAATATTTTTAACCCCTTTTTCTGTTTCTCGGACACATTTTTATTATGTTTTTCAGACTTCTTTTTCTTTTTGTTTTTCTGGTTTTTTTTAAACTATTTTTTCTGGGGTTTTTTGTACTAGTATTTTTCCCCCTCTTTCTGTTTTTCAGACAATTTTTTATTATGTATTTTGGACTTTTTTTTCCTTTTGTCTTTCCGTTTTTTGACTATTTTTTCTGGGGTTTTTTGTACTAATATTTTCCCCCTTTTTCTGTTTTTCGGACAAGTCTTATTCTATTTTTTGGACTATTTTCTTTCCTGACTAAACGAGACACTTTAAAATCCTGCAAGAATCTCATACAATCAGATACCGTTAACCACCACGGCTGCTCCAAATCAGCGGATTCTCCAGCTCCTAAATAACTTCAACTATGGGGTTAATGAGAGTAAGGCAGGTTATTAGTTAAATATAGGGTATGTAAATCCTGAGGTGCCTGCGCAAAGTAGACAAACTTATGACAATTCTATCTCTCTGACTTAAAGAAATAAGTATCTCCCAGTGTCTCAAACCCAAAAGAAATTAGAACTTGATTAAATTAAACAAGTGGGCCATGTTTGCTTCCAATAAATCAAGCAGATGGGGATGAAAGCGTCTGTTTTTAAATGATCATGAGCCCAGAGATTAGGAAAAACAATTAGTCTGAAAAACAAAAAAATCAATGTAAAAAAAAACAGGGGAAAAGATTACAAAAAATAGAAAAGAAAAAAAAAAATACTCTGAAAAACAGGTTTTTTCTTTTTTTTTCGGTGAATGCAATACACTTCTGTAATTTTAAGGCATTGTCATGAAAAATGTAAAAGACTTCTTTAGCAGCTCATTTATAAACTCCGATCTAACAGCAGCAATCTCAGGCGTTAGGATAGGGAAGTATCTCCCTCTCTGATGCTGTTGTTTGCTGTGCAAGATCATTTCGAGGTGTCAGAATCATTTTCATTTTAATTCATATCCTAGACAAAACCATAACTGTGATCAGATCAGCGGTGAGACATCACTTTAACATCTGACGCACAAAGACTCCTTCATCTCTTGTTGTGATTGTATATGTAAGAACTGTGTCTAAGCAGGAAAATAATAACTGTAATCTGGAGTCACAGAGGAACTCACATCATTCTTCTTTTCCTCTCCAGTGATTTTTGTGTCGCAGCTGACAGTGAACTCTTTCCTGGAGGATGGCCTGTGTGCCCGCTCTGAATGAGCACAAGAAAAAAACAAGAGAAAGGATCAGAGCTGTCACCAACAACGATGTCAGGAAATGTGTAAACGATGAACCATACAGAATCAATATCATGTCTACATACAAACAACAAACCAGTCATAACAGTGTATTATATATACTAGTTCTGTTAATTCCAGTAATAAGATTTGATCACTTCTGCTATCAGCTGTGATGCAGTGGTTTTAAACTGTAATGCTAAGTTCTGTTTATAGTGTTGCTGTTCATATTAAACAACCACTATTCCTTCCATTTACATAACCTCTCAAGTTCACACACAGTCTCTGAAAAGGTTACCTGTCGTCTGAGCTCTCTCTCCCTGACGAGCTCTCGGTCCCAGCTGATCAGCTGCATCCTCTCTCTGCCTGACAGACTGAAGAATATGTCGTTGACCTCATAACGTGCTGCGCGCAGCTGGAGCAGGAAACAATTACAGAGCAGACGACGGCTTGAATGAATGTGTGTAATCACACTATTTGTGTGGTAACTGCTAATGGAGGGAGTAATTGCTGCGGGTGCGCTGGAGTGGGGAAGAGGATGGAGGTTAACAGATGTTTACAACATGTGTTTGCTTTATTACCTGCAGAGCGACTCTCTCCTGCAGTAGAAGGTCCTGTTCGCCGCTGAACTTTCCTGCGCTGGTGTTCTGCTGCTGCTGCTGTAAGGCCTGCAAGAGCTGGCGTGTGTCCTACAGGTCCAAAATACACACACACACACACACTCATAGCTTCAAACCATAAACACATAACGTTCTTTAAAATAACTTCTCCAAAAATAAGACAAAGTGCTGCTGGAGACAGATGTACCGCTCCAGTGACCACTCACCCTGACGGTTCTCACCAGCTGAGCCACTCTCTCCGTCTTCAACAGCCTGCGAGTCAGAAAACCCTTCACGGCTGCTAACAGCAGGGGGCGGCAGCGCTCCGAGAGTGTACCGGAGGGCTGAGGAAGAGGAGAAGGGAGTGATGAAAACGGGGGTGAATAATGAGGAGCAGAGGGGAAGAGAGAGGAGAATGCTAATTCCATCAATGACAACCAATTAATTTCCCGTGCAGATTCTCAAGGTCTTTTGGTTGGCATCTGTTTAGCGAATCAACACAAGTGGACTCGCTTCTCATCGTTATAATAGAGAATAATAAACAGAATAATAAGCGGCTGATCTACTGTCAGTCACTTGTTGATTCTGAAGCTGTTGCGTTAAAGCCACGTTTGTTGAACAAGTTAAGCTGAGCTGCTGGATTGAATACAAATTAGAGAGAAATAACAGATGACGGAGGTTTAAGATGAAGATAAAGACATTTAGGAGCAGGTGGTCTTTTACATGAATGTGTCAGCAAACTGCTCCAAAAGATTTCAAGTCTTTTGGACGCAAGGAGAACCGGGACGAGCTTTCTTACATCTCTGACATCAGTGAGGAATGTGCTGTGATACCTGAGAGAGGCTGGTAAAGGTCAGCGTGTCCCCAAGACGTGAGCTGGACATGGAGCAGGGGAAGGACACGCTCTGGAGGAGGCGGAAACGCGCGGCCAACGCCTGAGAGACAGAGAGGGGAGAAAGTGTGTGAGTGTGCGCGCGCACGCCGGGCACATTTGGGAGCGGGCAAGGTTGGAAAATATTGAATTGGAAAGGACAGCAAATGAGGCAGGAGGAAGAAATTAATTGAGGGTAGAAAGGAAGAGACAGAAGGGGGGAGACGGGGCACAGAGGAGAGGGATGAGATGATAGAGGGAGCACAGGAGGGAGAGGAGAGGGATGACAGGGATGATGAGACAGGAGAGATGGAGGAAATTAATACAGCTAGAGAGTAAAAACGACTCCGAATAGGAAAGGGAGAAAACAAAGCGAGGTGCGCAATTAGACGGAGAAAAAAAAGAAATAGGAGAGGGGACCATTAGCGGTGGCACTCGGCAGGACGATATGGCACTTAACCACAGACGCTCATGAATTAAACAAATTATCCTTCCTTTTCTGTGTCAATTCCCTCGCTTCCCCTCTTCCCCCTTCCACCAGAGAGTCCAGCCAGCTCGCTCTCACACGAAATCACAAATGATGGAAGGACAGAGGGGAGGCGGAGAGAAGTCTTTTTATTAAACAGCTTATGTTAATTATATTGTTGTTAAGGATACATAAATTAAACGGAGACTGTGATTAATAGGGCAAGGACACCGGCCAAGAACAAATACAGAGACAAGCTGAAGGAACGGGAACTGGCTGCCAGAGAGCAGCAGGCGTCCTTGAAGTCTGGCATGTGCCCGCACACACACACACACGCGCACACACACTAACACACTCAGAGAGAGCGGCGACCATGCCAGCTCGCCTCTTAGGGATGTAATGAAACATTTATGGTAGAATCCCTGTGTGTGTGTGTTTTTTTATTTAACTGAGGAGAGTCTGAAGGTCTCTTGTAATGAACAGATGTCTGTAGTCTGCCCACGACCCAGGTCTCCAGAAGCACGCTCTAACAGGTAGAGCTACAACATGTGTGTGAGTGTGTGTGTGCGTGTGTGTGCGTGTGTGTGTGTGTGTGTGTGTGGGGGGGGTCTATATATAGATACAGAAATATACACAGAACAGAAACACAGATGTTGAATTCTAATTTTAAAAGAACATTTTTCAGTATTTCATTATTCGATATTTTCCGTCATTTTTGTTCCTAATTTGAAAGCAGCAGGAAACAGAGAGAGAGAGAACATTCATTCTTTTCTTTCAAAGGTGACTTTGGGTGGAGTCAAAACATCGGTAGGGTGAATTATAGTTGTTGTACAGGAGCTACGCACTAGAGCTAGATCTGTACAGCAATAAGTGATGCAATCCGGTGCAAGACGCGGGCCAGTGGGATGAAAATATCAGTATGACTTTGTCTGAACCGTATTTAGAAAGAATAAATGTCTGGGAGCTTTAGAGACAAATTTCAGGTCTTTTTTGTTGTTGTTGTCGTGCTGCTGTGTTTCTTTTTTGAGTGAAGATACACACTTTCATGAAAAGTCTACACAAAACTTAGAGAGTGTAGTCCTGGGTGTTGTAGAGGGAAAAGGGGGACCAACTACCCAGGGTCCCAGTAGAGGAAAGGGCCCTTAATGATCCGACATGACAATATAATTTTTGTTTTTCATTTTTTTACTTTAATTTAAAGGGATATTCCGGCGTTGATTTAATTTATGGTCAAATATGTCATTTAAAGCCTTTGTTTGAGTGACAATAGAGCAAAAACAACGTCTCAAATGTAGAATAACTCAGATTTTATCATCAGTAGTTCACAAAGAGTCTGAGAATCTCGATACAAAAGCAACAAGATCCAAAAGTTTCTGGATGACCATGACGTTTGGGTCCTTAGATGGCGCTACATTAGTAACAGAAAATCAAGCACGGGCCCAAGTCACATCAAAAAACCACTGTCCGTAGATGCAGACTAAAACCGTGATGGGTCTGAGCCCTTCAAAGATCAACAAAGGTGAGGAGGAAAAACGTCCCATGGTCGGACATTCTTTTTGGAAATCATGGACACCTCTTCCTCTGCTCTAAAGAGGAGCGGGACCACCGGGCTTCTCATCAGCCCACACTCCAAAAGACGACATTTATGATGATACTGGGACGTTTAAGAGCCCACAGCATCAGGCCCACACATCTGGAAAGGAAACAATTATGCTGAAGTTTAGAGCAAGATATGCTGCCAAAGCCTTTTAAGGGGAAGAGCTTACATTTAAGAGCCAGAAGATGCAAAACAATTTTCATACATAACAACATTATGGCTCTAGAAGGATCTGCATACTTAATTGGCCTGCCTTCAGTACAGAACTGTCACCGAGGGAAACATTTGGAGCATCAGACACAAAAGGAAGGGAAATCGGAACCTTTTAAACTAACTTTAAATCAATCTTTATTTGTAAGTAACATCAATACATTTTTAAAACCTTTCAAATTTGTATTTAAGACATTTTATGAGATTTTAAGAGGATTGAAGACATTTTAAGGCCTAAATTCTAATTATTGGATTTTAGATGTTTAAAGATTTTTAAAGACCCAACAGAAACCCTGGTTTAAATGATTTTTCAAACCATCAACGTTTGGTTTATTAACATTTTTCACTGTTTCAACTTCTTTGGATTTGGCATTGGATCATCACAAAAACTAACCCGAGCACCTGCCTCCTCCTGTTGAATTCACACATCTCAATGTGAAACTTTCTTTTGGTTTCAGGTGTATTTAATAACTTTATAATAATGATTTAGCAGATCGTCCATCTGTGCTGTCTCACCTGCAGCAGTTCCTCCTGCTGTCTCCTGTGCTCCTCCTGCAGGGCTCTGACCTGAGCAGCGTGGGCTTGTTGGAGTTGTTCCTGCCTTTCTTTGAGACTGTGGTGGCCTTCGTTCCATCGCACCGCAGCTAGAAGCAGAAACATGAGGAGTGATTACATACTATGGTAGTAAATACTGTTAGCAAGACAAAAAAAAAATAGACTCTTTCAGGCTCATTCACCAACAGTTCTTCAGAATAAACTTCTCCATAAAACTCATTTTTGCTGTTTTCATGCAGACTCAAATGTCTTCATATCTGGTAGGGGTGGGAGTCACTAGTGGCCCCACAAAACAATATTATCACGATATATGGGCCACGATACAATTATCACAATACTTGTAGCACATCTTGCAAACCTTATATTATATATATAATTGTTGTACTAACTTTCTCCTGCTCTATGACGTCTCCTCTGCCAACCTCACTGGACAAACAGTTGATTTTATTTTTCCATTATCATAGGTTTGACTTCATATTAGCAATTAATTTGAAAAATCGATTCTTGGTAGACGAGACGATACGATACATCACCAGACAAAATATCACGATACTACACTGTATCAATTTTTTTCTCCCACCCCTAATATCTGGGGTGTGTTTTGAGGTAGGAAAAAAAAACCTATTAAATTTATTTCAGAACTGACATGATGATAAAAAATACTGTTCAGAGTGTTTTGATGTTTGATCATGTAAATAATCTTCCCCATACACAGCTTTTATTTGTCTTATTTAATTAAGAGCAGTTAGGTTCCCTTATTTTAAAGCAGCAGATTTGAGGAGAAGTGTGTTTGTAAAATCAGTAAAATTCTAAAATGTGTCTGTTTCTGGGCAATCCTTTCCCCCTCAGGTCTAATTATTTACTCTATTACACATGTTTGCCTCCTCCTGATTACAGCCTTCTGATTATATCTGATTATAGTTTATATCCTCACTCTAAAACTGACGCTTCCAAGCTCTGTGCGATAAATCTGTCTGTTTTTCATTTTCAGCTGCACTTCCTCCTTTTCAGCACTGATAAGTTTTCTTCTACATCCAAAAAAAGAAGGAGAATCAATTTTATTTCAACCTGGTTATCCCTGGATTATCCTTACTCTTCTTTTGATTCCTGTGTGGCTTCTGCATGTGTGTGTGAGTGCAAGACCCTGAATTTAAAAAAGACACGAGCTTCAAACTAATGAAGGCACAACATTCATCAATTTAGGAACACAGGTGCGATCACTGCTGAGGTTTTAGAGAAGAATATTGAAAAGATACCAGAAAGACATCTGAGACCCATTTCTCCTATTCTTGGCTGTTAACTGAACTTCTGTGAAGGGGAGTGGGAAGCAGAAGTCTCAAGTTTAATACTGCAAAATACTCTCTACTAGGGCTGGGCGATAAACTGAAAATTTACCGATACTGAGATTTATGACAACAACCGACGTCATGTTGCCCATGTCAATATATTCGATGTCAAAAAAATAAATAAATAAAATTTGGTTTTGGATGTGTGTTGGTAGGCTATGGTCTCATGTCCCTTCAATACGCCTGTCCTACGTTAGAGACCTGACTCCACCCCAACCAGTCCATAACAAAGAGGGAAAGACAGGTGAGGAGATGGAGGACAAAAGTTGTAGAAGCTGAAGTAGACAAAGTTAATCTGAAAGGGGGTGAGCAGCTTGTGGAGTAGTTATCGTCCATTTAACATAATTGAGGTGAACTGCTCAAAATATCGTGATATTGATTTGAGGCCATATCGCCCAGCCCTACTTTCTACCTCTTTCTGCTCATGTTTGACATCTCTATCTGAATAAATCTGGTCTTACCTCGAGGGGTACTGGAGTTAGGTCTGACCACAGAATCTGCTCCTCTAATGCTGTCCGTGCCTCTTTGTGGTATCTCTTCCGTTGTGTGCATGAGCAGCCTGCGTTTAACCCTGGATACCCCACCTTGACCCTCACCCTCGCTCTCTGGAGTTAAGTCTATGTCCTGGAGAAGATGACCTCTTGGGCCTAAGTCGAGTCCTAACCCTTCAAGCAGCCACAGGCCGGACGGGGCATCGACGTCATATGACTGGTTGAGAGATGGTGAGCGTGTTGCGTTCAGACGTTCTTCGGCTTCCTTGTTCCTCTTTTCCACAGGATGGTTACTGGTGTCTGACAGAACGGAGGTGTTACATGGAGCAGCAGCTTTAGAGGCAACATTTCTGAACATGTCGGGAATCTTTTGGCGCTGTGCTGCAGAGAGGAGGCACTTAGCTGTCGGCTGTTGTTTTTTAAATCCACCATGATGTCCAGAACTCTTGGAAAGTCCACCTTTAAAACAAATTTTCTTACTTTCTCTCTCTGTAACTAAAGTTTTTAGAAGTCTGAGCTCACTGTCGTTCACCTCCTCAGTGCTTTTCTCCTGCTCTGCGATGGGAACATTATCAGTGCCATTCAAGCTGAGTGCAGATTCTGAATCTTCAGAGATAATCTTGAAATCGTCTGATGATTGTCTTCTCTGTGGCTCCTTTGGGTCTAGGTCTACATCCCGGCTTTCTTCATCATCACTTTGCATCAGACTGTTCTCAGTTTGACTCTGATTCTTGAAGTTGCCTGTTAGTGTGGACTCCAGATCTGAGATGAGGATTTTCAGACCGCATAGATTGGACTCAAGCTGATCTATTTGCTGTGAACTCCTGATGGGTATTCCTCTGAAGTCACACTCATCCAAAGGCATCACTTTGGGTGAAACTGCTCTAAGACCGTTTTGAGACCCCTGATGAACTTTTTCATTGTTCAACAAACCAGCACTGATTGGAACTTTTGAGGTCCCTGTATTGTCAACATTGTCTTCATCTTGGAAACCACCTTTGCTTTTGCAGCGAACAGGACTCTTGCAGAAATTTGGAGCTGGGATGTTTTGATATTTCCGTCCTTTTTGAGAGTCTGTGGGGCTTGACTTGCAAAACAAGGTTTCTGTGGACAAGGACTGTTCCTGAGCAAAGGTGCTGATTCTTTTAGGCTCTGCCATGAGCTCTTGTGACGTGTTCATCTTATTATTTCTTAAAGTAATTGCTTTATCATCATCACCACTTCTCCCCTTTGTCTTTTCATCTTCTGATGAATTTGTGCTTTCATTTTTATAGTTTGTCTTTCCGTTGTAAAGCTCACTCTCAGTCGCCCTCTCGTTGTCCCAGGAGTTCTTTGGTGACATTTGCACAATCGTGCCGCTCGTATCTTTAGTTTTCTTCCTCTCTGCAGTCGAGTTGCCCTTGTGAGGGAACTCGTCATTCTCTTTATCGGAGAGGCTTGGCTCCTCCACCCTAACTCTTGGCTGTTCTTGGGTCCCCTCTTGGATTTTACTGTTTTTGGCTTGGTTCCTGAGCATTCGCTGGCGCCGCCGATACTCCTGAGATTTCTTCAGCAGCGCCTGGAGACTCAGACGATAAGGCTCCTCTGATGACTCTTCTTCATCTTCATGGTTGTCTGCTCGTTCTTTCTCTGTGGGGTCCTGCTGAATCTGCAGCTCTGCTGTTGGACAGTGCTGGACACTAATTGTCTGTGACTCTGGATCGCCTGAAAACTCTCTGCTTTCTGACAAAGATTCTTGTCCCTCCTTTGAGTCAGACTTTTTATCTTTTACAGGGTCAAGAATTGTAGGAACAGAGAGGTTGGCTTCACTCTCTGAGCTGCTTTCTGATTTCTCTTCCTGTAAACTGTTAGATTTGACTGAATCCTCCTTGAGTGCAGAGCAACAAATGTCTTCTGCGACAACAAAGTCATTACAAAAGGAGGATTCTAGTCCACTCCTCTCCAGCTCCTCTCCGTCAATGGGAGGATAGCTAATAATATCTGGCATTTTGATGATTGTGTTTGAAGTGTTGTGAAGAAAAAAGGCACCCAAGCTATGAGCTCCCTCTGATGGGACATAGTCATGGCTTTCCATCCCTGTATCAATACCTCCAGAGACACTGGAAGTGTTTGCAACATTCTCGTAGGTCACATAACCTGAGGACTGGTGGCTAACACCATTAAGGGGACTTGGCAGAGATCCGTGTTGGCTGGGATGTGGATCCGTAAGGCATTCCTCCAGATGAGGTGTCATATTAGTGGCAAGATAGGCACTATATGTTGTTGATGTGAATGGAGGGAGAGGAACACCATCCTTTGCTTCACTGTTAAGAGACGATGGAAGTAGAGGATCATCTTTTGTTCCTCTGAAAAGGTTGCAATGGGTCCCTGATCCAGTGCCGGTGTGATGATGTTCTGAGTCAATTTCAGACTCTTGAAGCAACTCCTCCAGTGTCGGCGTCTTCCTTAGCTGCAATTTAATGTAGGAAAAACATCCAGGATGTTAAATTACTTGAGTAAAGTAGTTTTCTTAGTTCATAAACAAAAAACAATCTGAAAGAGAGATTAGTTGTTTTCTCGATTTCATATTCATAATGTTCTACATCGTCTTCCTTTTTTGTTTTGTTTTTTCTCTGTAAAGCATTTTGAATTGATCTTTGTATGAACAACACTTTAAACATAAACTTGCCTTTTCTGTTCTTTCTTGATTATTCAAACAATTTAAGCAAAACCAAATGAGACTGAGTGAGCTGTGAACTCAAAACAGTGTGGCAATGTACAAAGAAATTTTAAGGAACTCATCTTGGGATTTTTGTTTATTAGATACCAAAAAAGGTCTGTGTTTTCCTCTAAACCATCCCTTTTACATGCACAATAATGACGACACGGGAAATATTCAAATGCATGATCTACATGGGGATGCAATAGCAAAGTGGAGATGGGCATCTAAGGGATATCGTGTACATAACTTGACAGAACATAGGAGAAGAGTCCAGTTGATAAGACCAGAGATGTTCTTTTAATGATCTATTTACATAATCTGGGTTGCATGACATGGGTTTGAGTAGGTGGTATTCTCACTACCTGGCTGGCTCACATAAACAGAGCCTGTGTGTGTTTAAGGTGGGACTGCTGTTTGGAATCGTAGTGGTCATTGATGGACAGGTGATAGGTTATATAACTGATGAGAAGGGCACACAGGGAGAGAGAGGTTTCCTCGCTGAGCTCTGATCCTTTATGTTAGAGCACATGTATCTTGTGAGATTTCAAAAGCAAATCTGAAAATCAGGGCTTACCTGAACACTGTGCAGAATAGTTTGCACAAAAGCCATTCGTGAATCATTCTGGAACTTTCTGTGGACAGCAGCTTTCTGCGCTTCATCTCTGTGCCTCTGCATCTCCTCCCTCTGTTCCCCTGAGAGCTGTAAGTATCAAAAACAACGAGACATGAGATGGACATTAACCCGGAAATGAGCAACGCGAGTTACGATGCGGAGGCACCGATCAGCAGGGGTAAGTTGAAAACGCTTCTTTGGTCCGAGTTTGATTCATGATAAATACGTGGAATAGTACTGAGATAAATATTACTGAGAAGTGTTTGAAAGGCTCAAAACCAGCCATTTAAAAAAAAAAAAAAGTAAATATGTAGATATTTTAGTTAAATAAACAAAATTTAAAACTTCATTAAAAAAATTTTTTTTAAATCGATCCATTAATTAGCAATCAGATTTTTTTTACACCCTAATAATCGGTATTGGCCCCAAAAAATCCATATCGGTCGGGCCCTAGTACACACTCTCTGAAACAACAAGCCCCGGTCTCCCCTATTTTTTTGTTCTAATTTCTTAATACTTGCATTGGTCGACCAAGTGTCACATTATAATGCATTTCCACCACAAATTCCCAATGTCCCCAACTCTTACAAACGTAAAGATTCACCAAATACACAAAGATGCTGCAGCTGAGATGAGAGGGTTTGTTAAAAGGACATTTTCAGTCCTCAGACAGCTACACAGTAAAAAATTAATCACATATCCGGTAAAAAGTAGTCTTTAAATTATGTTCTCTGATAGATTACACAGATAAATTAATATTCGGGTCCAAATGCTCATGGTTCTGTCAGAAACAAGAGTTAATACCAGAGGAGGGAGGATGGGTCGTCCATAGAAGCAGATGAGAGAGGATGAAGGTGAAGGTTTGTTATCTTCTTCTTTCTTTCTCAGAGAAGAGAGGTGATGCTGTACAAACGTGGCGTAGTCCTCCATCAAGTTGCATCAGGATAATGTTGGTGTTAAAGTATAAAGTAAAAACAAAGTAACAACAAAACGCTGAGCACTACAGCCAGCTCGCTAGCTAACAGGTTAGCATGGGTTATTCTGTAAACTGCAGCGTTTTAACTGCTGCTGGATTAAACAGCTGTTTACAGAAGGCACTAAGAGAGGCAAATGACTAACCCTGTGATGTTACCTGTGATTAAATGTCAAAAAATATGTTTTAACTAAGCTAACAAACTCTCTAACTCCATCAGGACAGATCAGTGTTTACATCTTTACCCGCCTCTCCTCCCGGAGCAACCGACTCTGACAGTTTGGATCCCACACAAAACCAGGAGTGGATTCACAGGACGGACATGGATTTTCCGAAATGAACGAAAAATATACGGAGATTGTTACACAAAAAACACTGACAAATATGTATAAAAGTGGTTTCAGATGAAACTCACAGGAAAAGTATTCATTATCGTCAATATTTATCAGCCGTTATAGTATTACTGATAATTAACTCGTAGCTCCACTCCATGTTTTCAAGAGATCCAGGCGCATTTGAGGTGATGCCGGTTGATAAGAACTTGCTAGCACCACCTACCGGCGGATCCTGGACAGATACAGTGAATGAAGACAAATGGTGATTCACATTTCTGCTCAATTTCTGCCCACAAATTTAACGTGAAGTTATTTTTTATGTACGGTGACCAAACGTCCTGTTTTCCCAGGACATGTCCTTTGTTGGCCGTCCTGGTTGTTTTTTATACAGTGATTAAAATTTCTTTGTTTTCATTGTCTTTCATTGAACCACTAGTATGAAGGGAAAAACAGAAGATATAGATATTCTTTCTTGTTAGTTTTTGTAAATTAAGGTCTCATATAATCTGTATATATAAGGTCTTTGTCTCAGTATTCCTAAAATTCTGGAGACATGCAAAAGGTCAACGAATAGGAGGGAATGAGGTTTGGTACAAATAAGCCAAATAGCTTCTACCTTCTCCTTTTTGATCTCCAAAAAATAGGGAATTTCTTGTCTAAAATTGTACTGTATGCTAATTTGATCGAATAAACAATTTCTTTCTCTCTCAAGTTTGCGAGAGCTATTTTTGTTAAAGCTGGATTGCTAATATAGCAGAGGTAATTTTTATTTATTTATATATTTAATACAGAAGAGACATTATTTCTATCATTATTCTATTTCTTATTTTTTAAACTTGCATAACCTCTGAAAAGCCTATCTGAATTTGTGTCTTTGGTTATTGATAGTATTTGGTAATATACCCCATATAACCCCCTACTCCCACCCTGCTGCACTGTGCTCCTGTTTTTACTGTTTTTATTACTATTTTTTATGTATAAATAAAAACATATATCTTTTTATATATACTTTTATTTATTTGCTTTTTATTCCACTACCACTCCACCTCCAGAAAGTGCACTATTACTCACCATGCTGCTATTTTACCCTTAGTTTTTCTTATCTTTATTTTTTTCCTGTATATTAAATTAAGCATCATCATCATCATTTAAATGTATTTTAATTAAAAGGCATCTTTGAGTAAACTATCATATGAGTATCTCAAGTGTCCTGGTTTTCGGTAATCAAAATATGGTCACCCTAATTTTCTATGAAATTCAGATCAGTTTAATCCACGTTTAGACCTTGACTTCCTCTGAAGTTGATTGTTGTGAGTAGATATTTGGCGATAGTTGTCCTTTGGCCTCTACCACATCAGAGTTACAGAGAAGTTTGGTTCTTTGTAAACCATGAATACAGGTTTCGAGCCATGACTAATTTACCGCCCCTGTCCCTGGTTAGGTTTCCAGAAATTACAATTCCAAAATGAAATTACAGAGAATTGAATGTAACATACTGTAGCCATTAAACATACAAAATAATCAATCTTTATGAAAAATACTATCATGACCTTGATAGTGGCTGCAAAATCATGTTCAAACACATTATTGATCTGCTTTATAAACTTTTGCAGAAAAATAAATGCTGATCTATATAATTATTGATGAGATGATTGAAAACTTTTCAAAGTATTACCCTTATTTTCTTAGATAATAGTGACACACAAAAGCAGCCCATTTTGAAAACATTTTATTGGTCATATACAAAATAAAGTAAGCTGTTTATCAACAAACATACAGTATATACATCAATAAATTAAAAGATACATCAGACCGATGATGAAACAGTTAATTCAAGATTACCAATACCTTGTCATCATCACTTAAATATCTACAAATTGAAAAAAAAAAAAAAGTACAATAATTTAGTTGAAGATAAATACTTACAAAGACTGTCACATTTTAAGTATTTTCCCATAGAAAGTACTGTCATAGAATAATTTATTACACCCCATACAGAAATATTACAAAACACAGAATTTTCTACGGGCTTGTCTGAATAGGCTGTGCCATCTTCACACAAACTCACTACTATTGTATGTCTTCAAACTGACCATTTTTCACTTTTAGAGATGCAAAAGTCCAACTTAGACAAGTGCTCACCAGTACACAAGTGGTTTAAAGGAAAAAAAACAAAAAAAACTATAGGATTAAGATTAGACAGAAGGTGGAACATACAACAAGTTAATGTGGTGTGACACCTAAAAGCCTCTTTGTTTGAGGCTATACACCGGATACAAACAGGGGAAACAGAGAGAGTGAGAGAGAGCAGCAGAGGGGGGGACTTGAGAGGAAAAACAAACATTATTATTGATGAAATCCCCAAACAAATGATCAAAGGAATCCTCGGTTCATTTACTCTCATCGATTGGGGTTTGAGGTGGGTGAAAGGGCTTTTAGAGTGCGGTGGCGTGATTCAGTGGACAGGAAAACAACCGAAGAACCTCACACTGATTGGCCAAGCAGTCAGATAAGGAGTTAATGATTTGCATCTTCCAGAAGATTCGGGTGTTTTTTAAGAAGGGCTTGGCTGCCTGCTGAGTTAACTCCACAACACTTTGTAAAAAGGGGCCGGGATAAGTGGAGTGAGACGAGGTTTTATCAGATGTGTTTCCACCACTCCTCTCTGCCTCTGTAAAATATTTATAGATGTGGTTTAGGAGCGGTTGCTTGGATTTGCGATGAAAAGCCTTTTGATAAGGAGGGTATGACCCCTGTAAAGGCAGCTGGAAAATAAGGTCAGCATGTCTTACAAGCAAGCAGACCGTCCTGTCTGATAATCAGGAAAGGTCACTGTTGTCAGCTGATCATGTCTGCTAAGTGAAAATCAGGTGGAAGTTTTTATCTCACCTCATTTGTTTAGAAACGTTACACCCAGGGCAAAGTGAAACCACAACTCAAGTCTGGAAGACAGACATCATATATATTCCTCATTTTGACTAAATGTTTTTGCAGTCAGATTTTTTTTTAGCAACTAAAAAGATAAAAACAATCAAAACATTTGTGTTAGTAATTCTAATACAGCTACAACACAAATTACACAAGCATAAACAAACCTCTCTAGACAGTGCACACATACTTTTAAACTCCATCACTGAACATTGTACCAGTAGTTCTTCACACACAGCTCAACACGACCACTGTGACAGCTTCAGCATTCCTGTGTGGCTCTAATTTTTGCCTAAACAGTTAACAGAACATCTAAAAGCATCTTTCACTCAGGAGATGACACATTCAGGTTCAAACTATGAGTTTCAGTGGGAGTAGTTCAGCACAATGTGGGAGCACCAAGAAATTCAACTTGACACAACCTCGTCCCGGCAAAAGTTTCTTCCTATTTTATATCACTCACACAGAACGACACGGCACGAGACCTTGACTGGTGAAATACCATTCACAAAAAAGTAAAGACTCACAGTAGTAGTGATCGAAAGAAAAGAACATAAAAACGTCCAAAGAAAAAACAAAAAGTCATGTATGTATATAACATTTTGTAAAGAGCACCCAAATAAAATGGGTTTAAAATCTGGATTACTCTCTTTGAAATGAATCAGATATTTTCCCTTGACAGTTCAGTATCTCTGGTTGCTATGGAAGAGGATTAGGGCCACTGGAAAAAAAAAAAAAAAGGTCTGATATAATTTTTAAATTATTATTCTAAGAAAATAGTCAGAAATTTGACTTTTTTTCTCAGAATAATAATTTTTAAAAAATTATATCAGACTTTTTTTTTTTTTTGTCAGTGGCCCTAATCCTCTTCCGTAGATTTCATCTTTGATAAATGTGCACGACAAAATAATCGGACAAACTTTTCAGCCCCTTCCTCTTTCTATGTTTTTGCTCACTGTTTAACTACTCGGAATTGAAGCTATAATTATGCAGGTTATATGGAGACACACTTCATTGATGATAATAACTGCACAGCAGTAAGTTAGCTGACTCCTCTCTCATCACAGTGGAAAAGTAGCAGTTCACATTAAAGGCTGCATGTATGTATGAATGAATGAGCTGTTAATCAATGTAAATTACTTCCATCTCGACAAAGAACTCAAATGGACAACCACGTATCGTTATGTGAAAACACTTTGAGGCGATTCTATTTTAGAAGGTTACAGACAAACTATTAGATAGCAGAATATATTTTTTCACTCCATGAAGACCAAGAACATTTACAAATTGCTTCACTTCCCTGACACATAAAAACAGTTTAAAAAAAACAGGAATAAAATCATTTACACTTAACAATATATAAAATGTATAAAACAAAAAAAGTACCTTACACACTACAAACAGAAGGTGGTGAAGGAACAGGGCGATGCAGGTTTACAGGTCTATATTTCAGTTTCACAGTGACCCTTCCTTATCTCAGCAGTCATTTTATCAAAATTAACAACCTTTAAAGAATACAAGGGCCAACAAGAGTTACTCAAAAATCTGAATTTGGATCTGCCAAACTGAGCTTACATTTTAATGAACCAGCAGGGTGCGTAAAATGTGGATGAACACCTGATCTACGGCACTAAAAGACAAAAATAAATGAATGATTCTGTGAAGAAAGACTGCAGTTACCCTCGGTGTCATCACCCGCTTGGGCCTGAAATCAAACAAGGATCAAAGTCAAATCCATGAAATAGTGAACATTATAGTTACCTCGTCACATACCAACACGGCACAGCACACACTAGTTCACGGTCACACACACGTGCCTAGTCACTAGAGAAAAAACAAAGCTATTCAGTAGTTAAGCCACTTTTGGTACAATTGCAAAATAGAGAGATACTGTATATCAAACAGGTTTGTTATACTTTTTTACAGTCCATTACAAACAATGCAAAGATAATCGTCTTTATAAAACTCCAGACTCTACCATACACACAGAGATTCTTTGAGTATAGAACATCACAGAAGTCTACTTTCATGGGAAATCTCAAGTGAAATGACATCCATATGTGTGACTGGAAATTGAAATGCATCATTAACCACTTTGTGTAGAGGCCGAATTTTCCCATGGGTGTACTGATGCATGTTTGCAGCCAGACAGATACAGTCTATGCCTAATAAAATCTGCTTATTCTTGTTTTTTCCTCAGAGTTCATGAATTTCCAAGTCACATATTTGGGCGTTTCCAGTATGATCGACTTTGATGGGAACTACATAGCTCACACAACAACACACAGCAAGAGTTAAATGCTGTCAATTACAAGCTGATTCCTGATTGGTCAGTGTACCTCATTGAGCACAGGTTTGAGCAGACAGCCTGCACCGAGTCTTCACCGTCCTTTAACAACGTCCTCTTGTCTTCCTCTCAGTGCATATCCGTAAGAGACCAAGGCACTTGCCCATCCCTTCAGGAACCAGAGGACTGAGGATAAGTTGATCCTAGTTCAGCTCTGATGTTCAAACAACCACATCCCTGAAAAGTCTTACAAACTTGGAAAAGTTCCAGACTTTCAGTAACTTCACGTCCTTTCCTTTGCAGCAAGTGTTGTTTCCGTTTGTATTTTTTTATTTTTTTGGTTTTTATCATCTGCCTTTCCCGGCCTCTCTCTGTTTGATTCAGGAAGTACTCCGTGTAATAATTAGAAACCGATTCAAAAAAAGAAAGATGGAAGGACAGGAAAATAGTAGTCAAGAGAAAGAGTTCGACAAAGATAGAGAAGACCATACAAAAAATACAGCTAATTAAATATAGCAAATACCAAAACGAACACGCGCCACAGAATTTCACAGAATTCCTGATATATCACAAGTGACACACAGAGAATACACTTTGGACCTCATGTGTATGACAACACAGTACAAAACAGTAAAAATACAGTTACCACCGTTGTTTTATATACCATATATTTGACTAACATTATATTCTCAAAGTTCTTGGCTGGGTGGAGCATGGTGGGACTTCTTTACAGCCGCTGAAAACATCATGAAACGTCACGTTTTCTTTTAAGCATCAGGGTTACTCTTGGATCTAATTCAATGGTTGGTATCTAACTAACACAGGAAAACCATGTTTCTGATTCTAGTACCAATGTGTTTTCAGTGTCCTACATCTCGGGTCAGATCTGATGTGCAAATATGTGACAGTTTTGTTGTTTCTGTACTTGGATGTTTAACTCTATCAGCTGTTCACTTTACGCTGACCACTTGGCAACTGAGCAGATTGAACGGTTTCAAAGTTTTTCGGGATTCCCTTATTACTTGTTTTTCCCTTGGCATAATATTTATCCATAATTTCTTGTCTTTTTTGCTGGACTGTCGCATCATTGGAACCGTGTGTACATCTGTGTGTATCTGTCCTGTGCTAAATGACCATAATCTGACCATAGGCTTGCATCTTTATCGTCACAATGATCTCCCTCTGTTTCCATCCTTTCCTTCAGCTGCACTGACCTGCCATGGGGTGACAGGAACATGCTGAGGGGATGTGATCAAGGCCGCCCAGCTGTTTGGTTCAGTGCCGGTGGAGGATAGGGCAACAGAGAAGAAGAATGACTCCACCTCTTCACTCTTAGGGTTTCCTTCCCTCCCTCAAGACCGTGCATCTGTTTTTGACTTCACTATCGTGATCACGCTCGTCGCAGTCGCCACCTTCCCGGGTATGAGTGGACCGATAACTGTTGATGGCACCCCTCCCCCTCCCCCAACCCCTCCGCCCCTGACCCCAACCGCAACAGTGGGGCTCCGTGCCACAGTCCTGGCGAAGGTTTGTAACGCCTCGTACTTAGACCTCAGAGCGTCAAGCTCGACTCGCATCGAGGCGTTCTCATTGGCAAGTTTGTCCACCTCCTGCTGCAGCTGAGCCTTCTGCTTCTCCAGCTCCTCCTTCTGAGTGACTCGCTTCACCCGGCAGCTGGCGGCGTAGCCCCTGTTCTTCAGCGTGCGCCGTCGCTGTTTCAGCTGCAGGATCTCCTCTTTGGAGAGCCCTCGGAGGTGCTGGTTCAGCTCCCGCACTGACATGGTGACCAGCTCGTCGTCTGTGAGGCTGGTGCCATTCTCCCCCGGCTCTCGCTTCACCTGAGGGAACATGCGGAGGACGAGGAGTGAGAAAAAAACAGCCTTTCAAACACGGATAATTCAGAGAGCGTGTATTTTATTACCTTCAAGGCTTTATTTCCTTTGTTAGTCGTCGTCATACCACAAGAGCCTTGCTCTTCTGAACAGACCTGTGGAAAGGAAAAGAGCGATCATGAGCAAAGTACCATCACTGGATGAAACTAAACTTCTGCACGGAGCCGGTTAAAAAATAAACACGTCCACAAAAAAGTTTTTAAAAGGGTCAAAATAATAAAATACAAATATGTGATCTTAGTGTTTTCAAGTATGTGTCTACCTGCCTGGACTAGAGGAGGCACATCTGATGGAAATCTACTGCTGTCTCCACCTGCAGCCGTGTGCGTGCGTGTGAGCCACATTGTATGAGTGAAAGTGACAGACCTTTCTTAGAGCTTCCCTCACTTCCTGTTTCTAGCTGGTTGTACTCTCAGTGCCCACCACTTTTGTGTTGTTGAACTGTTATTGGTTGGTTTTAGGCCAATAAAAATAAAATAAAAGTGAAAGAAGAGGAAGTGGTAAAGTTTGTGGGAAGGACTCCAGGGGAAAACCAACTGTAAGATGCCAACGCACTTTAGAAGAAGAGCAGAGTGACAAATGTGCACCTACACCTGCCAGGAACTGTAATGAGAGCAAACCAAATCAAAAAGAAAGTTGTGTATGCGTTTGTCCCAAAGTGGAAACAAGAGACAAAAGCATGGACACAAACAGTGTGAATCAGAAGTCAACAAAGAGGGAGCCTGGAAGTGCAAAAGATGAGATCAGACCTTAGAGCGCACGGCTCCACAAAGAGCATCTCCACAAGCTCTCAATGAGACGCTTTGTGTGGTCTCTGCTCCTGCGCTCATCTCTCAGACCTGTGTGTGTGTGTGTGTGTGTTCAATAAAGTGCAGCTATTGTTGCTGCTGCTGAGCGATCATCATGAGACCAGTCATGATGACTCAGCAGATTCCTGATCTCACTCTCTCTCCTCCCTCCCTCCCCTCTCTAACTCTCTCTCTTTCTCTCTCTCTCTTCTTCCTGCCTAGCACATTTCGCTCTGCTCTGTCATTTCTAACCCCCACCCTCTGCTTTTACACCTTCTACAACAACCCTCTAACTCCTGTCCTTAGAGGTGACAGCTTAGCCATTATACAGGTGCAGCCTGATGAAAACCTGCGGGGCTTCAACAGGATCGAGCTTGTTTGTGTCTGATTAGTTGTCCAACAAACAAGTTGTATGAGCCATTTTATCTTATATTTATTATTTTATCATTTTATTATTTTGGGGCTTTTTTTGTTACTCGCACAATCACCACAAGGAGTTACTTAAAGGTGGAGCAGGCAGGATTCTGTTGAAGAAGCATCTTTTTTTGTGGTGTATATACAAAAAAAGCTTTTAATATCAGTCAATAGTTATTAGTTATTGATGACATTTGGTAATATAATGATATTGCTGTGTTCTCTTGTGTCTGTGTAGCATCAATGCTTTTTACTTTCACGTTGACTGGGCCCCATTTGTAATCATCTGGAGTATTTATCTGCATTATATCTGAATTTAATTAGAACGATACAAACGAGCACTAGCGTAAATCCACGTGAGACAAACTCGAAACTTACGTACAAAACTGCAGACATTTGTAGAATTTTATAAACTTCTTCAGACAAACCAGGACAGACCTGGACAGCACCCCCGGGTAAAAGAGGACATATGTTCATCCTAGTAGTGGCCATTATGACCTGAATTTTCGTCACCGTTTGAGTGCCACTCAGTCTGACCTGAAAAACTTTCAAAATCAACTTTGTGCGACTCCATGACACCGCCCCCGCGTAGTCGTGTCCTCTTTTTGGGAAGTCAGAATATGATCACCTAAGTAACTACACAAGTAAATGAAGTCCTTAAAGCAAACCAGCACACCTGACACTGTTGAATCTGAAGTTACACTACACTTATTTGCTGCTTTCCTCCTTTTCAGTTATTTCAACTGGGAAAGTTGGAAACCAGTTACATATTCAGACACTCACAGGTTGTGTCATTTTAAAGCTCTTTGTTTTGAGTAGAGATGACATTTTAGTGCAAAGAGGCGGCATGTCACTCCTTGTTTCATTCAATTTCTTTTCTGTCAAAAGGCGAGCCAGCAAACCTCCCCCACAATGCACCTCTGTGTGTCTGTCTGTAAGGGCGCTTGAGTGTTCAGCAGGTGCTGCTATGAATCCTATAAATAGATGTAGATCAAAGAATAACATCAGTTACCACAATGCACGCACACAATGTAAACAATTAGACACACAGCAAACTAGAAAATCTGTCAAGAGTAAAACATTTAAAATGTGAGGAATGAGGTTTAATATGACGGATAGAGCAGCACGCACTGGTTAAGGTCAGTCACTTATAAATGAACTTTTCTTTAATTGCGCACATAAAGCGTTTGTTGTACATCTGCAATCTTGCGTTTTGTTGGGATGCAGCCTCCCACAGCTGGAGGAGCAACATCACACAATAGCTGGATCAAAGACATGAAGGCAGAGGAGGGGGGGGGGGGGGGCTGTTTGGGGTGGGGGTGGTGAAGAGAGGGAAAACATCGGGGCAAAAAAGGAGGCTGTTTTCCTGCCAGGCACTGGTTTATTTCCCCTGTGCCCAAAGCCCCCCCAACCCCCCTCCTCATCTCCATCTACATACAAACAAAAAGCACGTTGGCAGCACATACACATTCCCCTGCTGCCATGCCAGTGGGGCACAATAAAACACACACGTAAAACGCTTGGCTGCAAGTACACAAACATGCAAATGGTGTTATGTGTAAGTGCTTAGCTATGCTTGATACACAGAGAAACTGAGCTAATGTCCCTGCATGCCTCTGGACCCGGAGAAACATGATTCAAACCCGACTGAATTTTTGTTGACTTTGATGATAGAAACAGGCATTAAGAAAAAAACATGCAGTTTCACGTACAGCACTGAGGAGCATCCTTATCCACATCATACGGACATTTCAGCATAACTAACAAAACTGTGGTTGCTGATAGTAAGTACCCAAATCTGGTGTGTAATTGTGACCAGAGTCCAGGCGCTTGAAGTTTCCACAGTCTGTGATGGTTTAAGGTGTCGTGTCATCTGCTGCTGTTGGTCTACTGTGTTTTGTCAAGTCCAGAGTCAACGCAGCCTGAGGTCTACCAGGAGATTTTAGATTACAAGATTACAATGTCATCTAGCAGACGCTTTTATCCAAAGCGATGTAAATACAAATGGTACACCAGCGGAGGACACACACACTGGGAGAAAGGTAGGTTAAGGGTCTTGCCTCAAGACACAACTGACAGACAAGGGGTAGAGGGGATTCAAACTGCAAACCTTCCAGTTGTTAGGTGACCGCTCTACCTCCTTGGCTACTGCCGCCCCAGAGACCTTCACGCTTCCATCTGCTGAGCAGCTTCATGGAGATACAGATTTACTTTTCCAACAGGACCTAGCACCTGCCCACAGTGCCAAAACTGCCAGAAACTGGTCTGCTGATCATGGTATTACTGTGATTGATTATCCAGTCAACTGGTCTGACTTGAACCCCACAGAGAATCTCTGAGTTACCCCCAAGGGAAAGAGAGGAGACCAAGTACTTGATCGTAACCCCAAGGAAAAGATGAGAGTCAACAGAGCGACAATACAGCTGAGCTGAAGGAGCTCTCAAATAGACCTGGACTTCATAAGTAGAGACTAGGGACGGGCAATATGGGCTAAAATGTAAAAATATTACAATTCCGGTCTATATTTTTGACTCATTTTGTCTTGAGAACACCAGTTAGAATAGTCAAATAAGATACTTAACCACAAGTTTGAGTGGCAGGTTATGGAGGAAACTATTGACATCAAACAAGTCTCAAATGTGAAAACATTTTCAACATTTATTGAAAACTCTTATCACACAGAGTGAACAGCAGCAGATCTACTGTCCGATGTCAGGCAGACCTGATTGAACTAATCAAAGTCCCAATCTTGAAGGAAATCCCTCATGTGGAGCCTCGTTCAGTAACAAGCTGCCCAGAAACGTCTTCTTCATGACCTTCGGCCATGTTTGTTTGTTATTCTGCTCTGTGTGGGCTATGGCTGCGAGTCCGTCACTCGCACTTACGACATCAAGTTGCATTTATCGTATTTATCATGAGATGGCAAATATTTATCATGGAGGATTTTTCTGACAATATATCGTGAACGATAATTTATCGCCCATTTCTACTTATCGCCTCCATGCTACGACACACTGATGCTGTAATTTGTGTAAAAAGAGCTGGTGTATAAAGTTCTGGTTTTCCAAAAGGTCGTCATTTCTGTGTGATCAATCCTTGTTTTTGGATTAGCGTTTGAAAATGTTCTATAATGTTATAAAATAAAGGATTTTTGTGAGCTCAATAAGATTTAAACAAAAAAGGTTTTCAAATATTTCACTTGTGTGTGATAATTATAGTATAGAAGTTTCACTTTTTTGGTTAAACTGCTGTACCTGTAACATCATGGATCTTTTACTCCAAGAGGAAAACGCCAAGAGGAAACAGAAGTGATAGAAGTTCACTCATAGAGACCAAGACAACCTGGTTCCTGGTTTGGGCCGATTTCATCAAGGTTAGGAGACAAAGTACTTGATCGTCTCATAGGCAATAACTCTGACTGCAGTGAACTAATTTGTGTGTGTGTGTGTGTGTGTGTGTGTGTGTGTGTGTGTGTGTGTGTGAGTGTGTGTCTGTGTGTGTGTGTGTGTGTGTGTTTTCCGAGTACTCAGCTGTGTGTAAGTCACCCAGGTTAAAGATCATCTGCTGAGCAAAGGCATCGCCATTCATCTTGGGTGTATACACACACACACATACACATACACCCACACCAATACAGAGTGCCAGAGGTGTCCTTCCCACAATGCTTTGGGGGTGGTCGCTGCGGTGTGGTCAATGCCACAGTCACTGTTGCTACAACAGACAGCTTTTCTGCTGCGGCACGCTCTATTTTTATGGAGCAACCAAAAGAATGCTGACAACTCAAGAGCAGAGCTGCTTACGGTTACAGTGAAGACACAACACACACATACACATACACACAAAAGCACACGCACACACACAAACACAAACACAGAGGTGGGACATGAGGGACAAGGATGGAGGAGGAGGGAGAGGTGAGAAACAGCAGAAGTGAGTGAAACACAGGTGGAGGAGAAGAAAAGATAAGACAGTGGGGAGAAAGAAAAGAGGATGAGAAGTTGGTAAGATAGCAAGGTGAAGACAGAAAAGGTAAGAAAGGAGGAGAAAACGGAGGGAGGGGGGGAGGTGGAGGACTGAAAGAATGCTGACGTCTCCAGAGCTGATTAGCGTTACAGCGGAGACATCACACCCACAACCGAGAAAAACGCTGAGTATGGAGGGAGGACGGGCTGGGGGGTTGGGGGGGGTGGGGGGGTGCAAATGACAAGGGAGAAAGAAGAGAAGAAAAAGAGGGAGGATAGCGAGAAGGGAGAGGGAGGAGGGGGACAGAGGTGGGGATGGAAGGAGGGAAGAAAGAGAGGGGGTGGGATAGCGTTTGGGTGAAAATGCATCCTCAACACATTTGTAAGAGCTTAGCTGTTGGGTACTGGAGGGGGGGCGTAGAGGGGAGAGAGAGAGGGAGAGAGAGAGAGAGAGAGAGGACCAGGGGGGAGGAAAAGATGGAGGAGGATTGGGGGTAGAAAAAAAAAACCCTGAACTCAGCAACGACCACGACTAAAACCTCCAATTAGAAAAGTTCTGAAGCTGATCCAGTGCAATGAAACTACTGCTGACCATCACTCTCTCTCTCTCTCTCTCTCTCTCTCACACACACACACACACACACACACACACACACACACACACACAAAAGGAGCCTTACATCCCGTCCACCTGAACACAGAGATCAGGGGGTTTATAAGATAGATTAAAGAGCTCAACAAACTCTACAAGACATACAGCAGCACTCCTTTCTCTTCACGCTGAGCAGGAGAACAGCATGACGACGAGCTGCGTGTTTGTGTGTGTGTGTGTGTGTGTGTGTGTGTGTGTGTGTGTGTGTGTGTGCGCGCGCATGTGTGTGTGTGTATGTAGTTGGATTCAGACAGAGCTCTAATTAATCTTGTTTGAGAAAACCTTGTGCTACAGCCACTAGCGCCGCGCAGGGAGGAATTTCTTAGAAAGAGACTTACAACTTAAAAGCTGGTGGCATGCTGCACACACACAAACACACATAAATACACACACATACGCAGGCAGAAGAAAATAAACAGCCAGATTAACCGCTTCAAAAATGACCTGGGGGCTGGTGTGTGTGTGTGTGTGTGTGTGTGTGTGTGTGTGTGTGTGGGTGTACGCGAGCTTAAACAAGCGAGCATATAGAGAATGATCAGGAATAGATTGTAAGAGTCATAAGTCGTTTGTGATGCCTGTCTGTATTGAGTAATCCTGATACAACAGCTGCTTTAACTGCACAGCCTCCCTCAGGAAACTCTCCGAGCAATAACTGAGAACACAAAGGATGGCAGACGAGTAGTAAGACACAGAGAGAGAGAAGAGCGTGGAAAGACATAAAGAGAGGAAAACATAGAGAGCTGGGATTAAAAACCCCAGAGCGCCACGAAAAAACTCCACTCCACCTTGTCTTTGTTAAAAAACAGAGGATGCAGCTCTCGTGCTTATTGATCTCCCAAGTTGAGGGTGAAGAGGGAGTTGATTAATAATTAACATGAGCAGAGTGTGGAAGCTAATTGTGATTTAGGAATCAGATGGCCAATAATGACAACCAAGCAAGCTCACAACTGAGACGGAGAAGAAGAGGGAGGTGGGGGGGAAATGGAGGTAGAAGAGGGAGAAATGACACCCGTTTGATTTCGGGGGGGTGGGGTGGGGGTGTAGGGAAAGAGCAGGAAGCTATTAAGAGGGAGGTATGCAGAGCGTGAAATAAGTATGATAAGACAGACAGGGGCGAGAGGAGGAAATGAAGAAAACAAGGAAAAGTGAAGGAAAAGACTGACAAAAGGTGCAAAAAGCTGAGCCTTCATATACATATTATAATACACGCAGGGAGAAGAGTGATCACTTTCACACTCTTCTCTGAGTTCAAAAAAAGAGGATTGTGCGTGTGTACGTGTGTGTGCGCGCTGTTAAAGTGTGTGTAAGACAGTATTTGTGCAAGTGTGTTATTAAAGGCGAGAAAAAGTCCTGGCGTCGACACGTTTTTCCCATTCCAGGTAGTAAGTCGAAGTGTGATGACAAATTTCCCAACACAAGCAGAAAAACTGCACTGTCAGGCGATTGAGTGCTGGCTCCTTTTTTTTTTTTTCATAAGTGCTTTTTTTTTAAGAGGAGAGAGAGAGAGAAAGAGAGAGAGAGTATGTAGTGCGGGTTAAGTTGGTTCTATCTTTGTGTCAAAACCTGAGAGTGAATGTGTGTGTTTATGAGAGTGACAGGGATATGTCTGAGAACATGTCGAGTTTATTTGGACACGACCAGTCTGCAAAATTAACCCGAGACAAAGAGAGAGCATCACAGTGGGAGCAAAGTGAACTCTTCATTATCAGTTAAATTAATGAATGAGCATTTATAAAGAGGACTCAAGGACGAACAAACGAGCTCAGAGAGGAGTTAAAGAGAGCGGTGGCCTTTTGCACTGGAACATTCCTGTGAGCATTTTAAGGTATCCCACCTGCTGTGATTCATTTAAGGTGGTATGACTGGTGTCGTCACTCAAATATACACATGCACATGTATCTACTTTAGTGTGCTCTCTGTTCTAGTTTCCTATCAAGTCATGATAATGCATAAATCAAACATCTAATAAATATTTGAAGTAGGGGTGGGAATCAGTAGTGGTCCCACAATATATTATCACAATACTTGAGACACAATAAATATTATCGGGATACAATATTATCACGATACTTGGGCCACAATATGATATTATCATAATACTTGGGGCACAATGCGATATCATCATGATACAATATTATCACGATATGATATTATCATGATACTTGGGCCATGACACAATATTATCACGATACTTAAGCCACGAGACAATATCATCATGATACTTGGGCCATGAGATGATATTATCGCGATACTTGGGCCGAATACAATGAAATGTTGATTTTTACGATTTTGCAATACAGTGAGTATTGCAATACAACATATTGCGATTTACACAATTTTTCAACCGTTTAGCTAAATTAGCATTTGTCTTTCCTTTATGTTTGTCTTATTTACGCTGTATTTCATTTTCATGTAGCACTTCTTGGAAACCTTAAATATATTTGTTGTACTAACTTTTTCCTGCTCTATGATGTCAACTCTGCCAACTGGACAAACAGTTGATTTTATTTTTCTATTATCATAGATCTGACTTCATATTAGCAATTAATTTGAAAAATTGATACTTCGTAAATGAGACGATATGATGTATATCACCAGACATAATATCGCGATACTATACTGTATCGAAGTATTTTTTGGTGGCGATTTTTACCTTTTATTGACAGTACAGGGTGAAATGTGGGGAGATAGAGAGAGAGAAGGGAGGACATGCAGCACATGGTTGAGGCAGGACTCTAACCCACGACCGCTGCGGGGACCACGGTCCCCTTACATGGGGCGCGCTAACCCACTTGGCCATCTGCGCCCCTCCCCTGCCTAATTTTAAGGCTAAACAATGGTGAAATAACTCAAATTAAACACCTTAATAGAGTAAATATTTCAAATAAGTTCTAACTATAAAGAAACGCAAGAAATAGATAGGTGTGCCACAAAAAGGTGGCGTCAAAAAAGACCTCTGCCTCATCTGAGAAAGTGGTCGATTACATTTTAATGAAGTATTTGTGTGACTTGGTCTTTAAAACACAACAACTCTTTCTCTGAACAGTTGGCGGTAAAAACAATGCGTAGTTGCAGCTCTAATCATCTCAGTCTACAAAGAACAAACAGACAAACAAAGGGAATAAAAAAGAAGCTTTTGTAGCATTCGGCAGGCATAACAAACAGGTTTGATGGTGAAGAGTGATTCAATGTTAAACCAGGCACCAGAACAGCCAATACGACCACAGTCAATTACAACCACTCTGTCGATAGTTGGAGATCAGCCGGGATTTTAAAGATACTTGTTCCTTGATTCAGAGCAGTTTTGATGCCCGGTCCTTCACACTGCTTTTTAGTGTGTGTGTGTGTTGGAGGGGGATACTCAAACTCTGTGGAGGACTGTCTCTACATGAACATAATTCAGCGCCACAGGTGAAGACAAAGAGTCAGTGCCACATTTCTTCATCAACCTCTCTTCCCTTCTCAGCAACGATCAAAAATGTGTGCATAAGTTTTTTTCCTCTAAATCAAAAGGTTTAGAAAATCAAACCACAATTCTGGTATCGTCACACTGCAGTTAAAAAATGCGGCAATTTGGCGCATAGAGATGATGCAACTGGTAGACAACCTCTGTTACGAATAGTCCTGTTACCTTGCATCTCGAAGACTACGTTTGATAGCTCCACACACGGCATGCAAAACAAAATTACTGCTAGTGGGGAGTGTGTGTATGTGTATGTGTGTGTTTGTGTGTCTATTTGTGTTTGTGCGGGAATGAGCAACCTTTTTAAACCACATGGATTCCACGAAAAAGAGCCAAAACAAACCCAAAGGTCCTCAGAGGAAAAACATGAGAACTGGAGTCACACAAAGCCGATCATGGAGCAGTTATTGATACAGAAAAGCAGCTTTGTGATATGGCTCTATAAACACACACACTCACCACATCAGTACACACAGTAATTTGAGACAACTTCAACTTGTTTTCCATTTCTCAATCTCTTTCTCTTCTATTGCATGTTGCAACGGGATTGGTGTTGATTTCATACACTCTTTGGTTCTAGGGGAGGTTATGTAAATAAGGAGTCAAGACACTTGTGGAGGGAGGGAGCATTTAACAAACACACACATACACACACTCACAAAAAGTCAAAGTAACACAAGGACAAGCAGCACACTTACACGGAAGCAGGAAAAACAGTGGAGCACAGCAATGATTATGCACCAGATCTGCTTACACCATATTTCATCATTACTGTGGAGAAAAAACACTCAACTATTGATCTGCCCCACTGCTTCCTTTTCTCTCTGCCTCTCTCACCCACTCTCCGAGGCTGTCGTTTAGTCCTGCTTTTACTTCTCTCTTTCTACTTCTCAGAAATTTGCGAACATAACAAGACTTCGCCGAAATGGATCCCAGAAGTCAACAAGATCATAAGCATGCGAGCGCTACTTGGAAAACATCTCTAAAAAACACCAAAGCCTGTAACACGCACACATACAGACACACACTCGCACACTTGAGGTGGACATGATTTTGTGAGCACCTGCGCAATCTAATGCAATCCAGGACTCTAAGTCTGCAATGGATTCTGCTTAAGCAGAGCCTCTTCCTTAACCTCATCATGGATGCACAGAATTAATCCAAGAAGAAGGTTTTAAACATAGCAGTATAAGAACTCCATGAACTCCACGAACTCCACATTATAGCACAGACTTCCATGCATCCTTCTTCACTGACAGTTTTGGGCAACTTCATGTTATTTTAGTACAAACTAGGATGTGAGTTTTTAAATTAAGTATCCAAATTTTATACTCTTTAGTCGTTTTAGTTGGATATACATTTTATCCATCATTACAGCAATGTCTTTTTAGTACTACCAAGTATCAAAAATAAATTTGGACATATTCTATATGTTTGATTTCTTAGTTAAATGGAGAAGGGCTTGTTCTGCAGGACAAGGAAAAACTATTATAAAGGTGAAATATTGATGAAATGATGTAGCAGTGCCTTGACCAAGTAATATTATTAGTTCATGCAACAAAAAGAAAATAATACACATGAAATCCTGGAAAAATCTGCTCTGATTCACCAATAACTATTGTTAAATACCACGATAATGTGATCCACACATACCTACCTAATGACAGGAACTTTTAAAACAAACATTATGGGACTTTATGACATCCGTAAACCATCCTATGTCGACTTTAAAAAGTAGAAGTAATAGTTACAAACTTGACTAATTGACTGATTGACCAATTGACAGAAAAATATCTAACTATTTAGATGATCAAGTTATTTTAGTATTTGTTTTATAAATGACAAAATTAAAACGTACTACTCTAGGATTTTAATGGTAAAGTGGAAATTATGGACAAACTTAACACCACAAAACTTATTGAAAAAAAACTACATAATTTTAACATAACTGGGATTGCAACTTAAGCTTATTGTCATCAAGCTTATTCTTATTGGAAATCAATTGACCAATAAGAGTCAAATAAATACAGGAGTATGATTTCCATTCCTACCAAATCATACCAGAAGGGAAAATACATCTTTTAAGTAGTTAAATAACAAGTATGTTTTCATAAGTATTGCTAAATGAATCAGTTAATCTCTGCTTTTAACATGAACATATCTCTCTGTTGGACTGAGCACTTATCTTATACCTCAGATTCGCCTGCATCCTGCCTTTCTTACACACCAGCCAGAGGTTTTGCACAGTGTTACATCAACTTGACCTCTGTGCATGCTGAGAATCAATCATGTTTGTATGAGCACACACAGAGAAATAAAAACAAGCGCTTATTGATGTGAAAAACAACTACTTTAGGTTTCCTTGAAGAGAGAAGCTTCAGGTCACAGGTGCAGGTTTTAGCTGTCAGGATAAACTGAGAGTAAAATCACTTTCCATTGCTGAATCTTCTTTCCACATCTAGGAAAGGTACTTTACACGCACGCACGCACGCGCGCACACACACACACTGCCCCGACAGTAGGTTACAAGGGCTTAGCATCTTATAGGTATCTTATATCCCCTGCTCTCTTTGCTCTCTCTCACATGCGCACACACAGACACACATGCATAGGCCTACGACAAGGCAAAGAAACTAGCTGTGGTAAGTAACAAGTGAAAACGCCATCTGTCAAGCGAGAGCGCATTTGCTTCGCCTCAGCATTTTCAGGGGAATGCCTTGAAGACAAAAAGGTCCTTGTTCTCAATCTCTCCGCAAATCCCATCTCTCATTCTTCCACCCTCTTCCTTCATCCCCCTTGCTCTGTGCGCCTTGCTGCTCCGCCACCATCAGCAAAGTTGCACACATAAGCATTGGTCAGCGTTCAATTACCGTGAACACCAGGGAAGGATGGGGAAAGTACTTGACAGAGAAATGCACTTCAAGCACTGATTAAATACTGATACCAAGTATAAAAAGTTTAGCCCCTTGGTTGTGTGTGCGTAGAGCCAATGAAAAAAGGAAATGGAAGGAAAATGTGTGTGTAAGAAGGGTTGGGGGGTGCTCTTCTCTCCAATACTGATACAACTGTTTCATCATTATGACCCTCTATTACAGTACTTGCCAACTTGCTTACTACATACTTTTGATACACTCCACAGAGTGCTGACTCTAACTAAAGCTGCTGATACGGAGTCATTAGGGGGTGAAGTTTCTGTTTTTCTTGGGCCCACAGAGCTTCCCTATTACTCCTCAGTGTTTAAGAGTTGCAGCGCTCATAGGCTGCTACCAGGCAGCGGATAATGGCCCATCTACAAGAGATCAATCAGAGGATATTCTGTTGCAAAGCACTTCAGTTCAGTGAGGTACTTTCTTTTTTTAGCACAAGTCTCTGTGTGGGTTCATGAGCAATCAATGCTCAACATTAACTGCCATGGGAATATATCCTGCACTCCACCTTGTATCAGTTTTTATCAGAAAGGTGTTTGAATTTATGTGCAAGAAAGGTTTTTTTTTAATGAATAATATCAAGGACAGAAAGTTTTATTGATAAAAGGAGAACACTTTGTTTAAATCATAAGCTAAAAGTAAAACATTTAAGCTCCAAAGTGATTCATTTCTTTATCTAGTCTCTGTGCATATCTGCTTTGAGATCATTGTGAGTAAGAATGTAGAGTATGAGCCCAAACATAACAGACAAAATGAACATATTTAGCACTAATGACATTTTAACAGCGTTTCCTGAGCCTACACGAGCTGTAATTATCCCAATACACACGTCAACATTCACAGCATTGACATAAATAGGCCCCTATTTATTTCAGAGCCAAAACCCCAATATAAACCGAGCTCTTCCTTCCCTCGCGCCAGACCTTTGTCCGCCCGCCTGCCGCCGGTGCCATGTTGCCATGGCTCCCTCATGCCTCCGCTCTGCTCGCGCAAACGTTGAGAAATATCAACGTTGTGATGAATCAGCATCTCTGTCGCGAGCCCAGCCGGTGTACAACCGGGCACGCGAACGGAACAGACTGAGCCTCTTTGTTTGAACCGACGGCACGAGTCACTTAGACGTAAACCGTAAAATGTAACCCCCCCGGTGTTAAAACATACATGAACTGAGGGCCTGTCGGGGGGAACACAAAGCAAATGTCAAAACAGTCGCCCCGGTAGAGTCTTTCACGAACAGCTCGTTCACACTCTGGAGCTTACCGCCGGACGTACTGACAGATACGAACACACCACGATGACAGCCGCGGGATGTTCGTGTGCTCTTTCACACCTAAAGGTATTTCACTTATGTCAAACCGACAACCAGGCAAGCAAGCGGCCGTGGACGAAACGTTACCTCTGGTTTCAGTCAAGCCGACTTAACAAACGGCTGACTGGACGTCTTACCTGGAAGTATCGACTGACGAGACTGACAGAAGCGACCGTTGGCGTCCACCGCTGCCGCCGCTTCAGCACCTCGTTGAGAGGACAGTCAAGAGGAGCTACCGTGAAGGGATGTTTTTGTCGTGGGTTCCCGCTGCCTTAAGTTGCTACTCTACAACTGTTATATCACCCTAGCTCTCTTCTCTTTAACCTTTTATTAAACATCGACATTTACACAAGCCACCAAACAAGGGAATCCCCAGCCATAACACACCGGGCACGGAACGCCGACGTGCCTCGAACTCACCGCACGGTCTTTAATTCCGACACATGGCTTCTGTGAGCTTGACAACCATACGTAACGTACTCCCCCCTTTGTCTGTGTTATTATGAGAGCACCGGTTGGCTGATCGGCGTGGCCGTTCGAGCGACGAACCCGGTCCTCGGAAGAGCATGTATACATGGACTGGATGACGACTGAATCGTGATGATTCAGCATTACCAGCCCGCTGCTCTCTGAGTTCGGCCGAACGAACGGGACAGCGCGGCAGCGGCGGCGCACACCGGGACGAGCGGTATCTTAAGCACGCTTGTACTCAGCAGTGACAACAGTATGGCAGCGGCGGCGGTGGCCGTGCACACTCAGCAAAACACCAACCACTATATCAGCACTTTTTTAGGGTATTTCACTCTTGATTTCGACAAAGCTGACTCACCAGAAGTCAAACCGGCGTCTTTCGTTCGCCCACCGCACCTGCGAAGGTTCTGTTCGCCGTTGGTTCGTCGACCCGGTGTTGGAGTGAGACAGCCGAAGAAATGTTTTCCGCTCACGCGTTCTCGCTGCTCTCTAGATAAATCCACTCCTTCCTCGCTTGTTTTAGTCTATGGTCGGAGGCGCGAGACGTCAAATGATGTTTGGATCACATGGTTTCATTCATGAAGGATCAACGCAAACCGCATTTAAAGAGACATGAGACACTACTACTGTGTGATGGAGCGTTTAAACAGCAGTCAGAGAGGAGTGTGTGACAACACAGCCCCTCCTCTATGCAAATGTCTAAACTTAGAGCTTACATCTCAAGTACTGATTGGTTCTTACAATAGTACAGAGTGACAAAATAAAAAATTACATGTTTAGACGCCTGTTTTTCTCACTACCATCTGGATGGGGGAGTTTTTAAGTTTTGGGACTTTTGTACAACTTTCAAGAGACTTGTTGTTCCATGGTTGCGCTTCTAGCATTTTTGTTAAACTGCAGCTTTTTATTTGAGCTTCATGCAACTGAGGAGAAGTAAAACAGCAACTATTTAGTTCATCTAAAAAACAAATGGACATATATCCACTTAGAAACGGTGGGCTATGATATGTTATAGGGCTGGGACGATATACTTTTCTCCAGATTTGATTCGTCAACAATTTTTTTTTAATGCCATTTCGATTTACATTGCAATTCTTCGATATTGTCAATTTTCTCGATATTTAGACTGCATTTGAATGATTATAACTGTCTACTGACTATTCCAGGAACCATATTTCCCAAAAAAATACACATCACATGTAAGTCCGTTTTTAAGTAAAAGGTCCTTACACACCGGGAACGTTTTTGTCCTGCGATTATTTCGGACGTCATTATTTTTTTTAGAACCCGTATCCTGTCAATACAAGCGTTCACATCAGCAATGTTTTCCTGTCCTGCAATATTGCGGCATTTATTTTTTCGCATAACGGTCGAATTTCCTAAAGTTTAGCATACTGTGTGTCCACTTCTGACCAATCGGATTTCATGATGTTGAGACATCAGATTCACCGGTATATCCAACATGGCCAACCGGCTGATTGTTTACGTGTCGGAGAACAGAGTGCTTTTTGATAAAAGACACAAACATTACAAAGATAACAACATGAAGGACAACTTGTGGAGAGTCATGGTGTCGGATCTCTTATATAACGATGTTTTGTGTGCTTTAACAGTTTGCTAAACAGTTTGCTCTTTGTTTTAACTTTCATCTGTGCTAAGTAACAAAATAGCATCGCGCTTGATGTGTAAAGTCAGGCGCGTCAAAATTCACCTCCGAATATTTCGTAATTTTGCACCGTATATTTGCATCGTTCCCGGTGTGCAAAGACCTTTATTCTTAAATTTGAAAATAAATCAATTTAAAAATCTTAAAAATAAAAATCGCAACACTTACATGAATCGTTTTTTTCTCCCAACCCTAATATGTAGTTCAGAAGACATTTTGATGCCCCCCCAAGTTGATGGGCTTTCAAAGAGAAAGGAACCATCTCACTGACACACAGATTTTTATCACTGTTGAACTTCCTTTTTAAGGACGACATGATATTGCATGTTTTAAATATGCTTAGTTTCCAGAGAATGAAATTTCTCTTTCGAAACATCCTTACAGTAGCTTTTAGATGCGTAACAAGCCTTGCAACTTTCAAATCAAACTTCTCAGATTGTTTTTTAATTCAGAAACTAGCTTGGACGATGAAATTCCATGAATGCACAATCAATCATAGATAATCTGTCCTCAATTAGAGCACGTCTTAAAAGCAAAACAACACTATTAGGACCAATATACTGTAGTTTATCAGTACTCTATTTCCATCTTTGAAAAACTAATGACGTTCAACGGAAGTACACAAAGCACTCAAACAATATTAGCAGCCTATTTCCAGATAATGCCTCTCAGATTTAAAACATAGTCAATGCCACATATTCATTACTGTTATCTCATTCGCAGGCCTTTAAAAAATCAAAGTACATCTCCACCAGGCTGCTGCTGAGAGTGCAATGTTTTTAAGAAATGATGAATAGCTCAAATGTAATCTTACAGCTCAGTGCAGGGTGGGGTTTCAATTTCTGTTTTCAGGGTGTCTTGGCAATTTTTCAAAGTAAATCAAAAAGCAATTTCTACAGTTTTTCATCCGAAGACATTTTATCAGCAAAGACTTGATAGCAATGGAAGATGTGATGTGTTTCTTATTATTTCATGGGAAGCCACCCATGAAAAGTACTACTGATGAATGCAAACTTTCAGGGAGGAAAAATAAATACATGCCTAAATGCTAATCAAACAGTGGTTGCTTCATGTACTCAATCACTACAGTTGTCTCAGACCTGTACCTCACTGATCCGTTCCAGTAAAAGATATTCCTAAAAACTTTACTACAACATATTTTGTTGGATAATACTGCATAATATTGCACAATTACCTGACGGCCTCTGTTAATCTTATTATAGAAATTGGATTAGTTTTACGAGATGGCTTTATGATCTGATATTTTCCATTACGCCTTCTGGCATTATATAAAGTAGCTAGTTAAATTTAGCCCCTCCTTTTTCAGCAGCAACATTAAAATGACGCTCACGCACATCAATCAATAAATATGAGCCAGTGTTATATTTCTCTGGGACGGTACAAACTGCACAATGAGCTCCCTGAATTGCAGAGATTGCATTTGGAACCGAGTGTTTCTACGGCTCAACTTTGTTTGTAGTGCCGTGGGGAAGCAGCACACCTGCAGAACTGTTTGGGAAAGTGAAAGTCACAGTTGACACAGAGAGCATTTACTCAAGAACGGCATACAAATGATACAGCGGCAATAAAACTTACAGATATTAATACAAATATCTCTATTTGAGCTTAAAAAGCAAACAAGTTATTTAGAGTTGGTTAAACGTCCATAAAAGCTGAGCACACAGGGTTTGTTTCAAATGAGATGACCTGAAGTTTTTGTACTGTCACCTCCAAACGAGAAGGTTCCAGGTTAGAGTCCTGGTCAGGAACACGAACCCTCTAGAGTGGATTTTACATGTTCTCTCTGTGCATGTGTTTGACTCCCTTTCACAGTCTAAAGACATGCTCATTTGGGTAATTGGCGACTCTAAATTGCTCAGGGGTGAGTGTGTCTGATTGTTTGTCTCCATATGTCAGTCCTGTGATTGACCGAGATCAATCCTGAGTCTCCTCTGCCTGCCACTCAATAACAGCTGAAATGGCTTTAATAGATAGAAGTAAGTGCTTTGTCCACATGAGGCGCTAGAATTGACACAAATCAAAAGTTCCTCACAGGAGCTTTGAGGAAAACTGCAGAGTACTCATATTTTGTGCAAAGCTAAAACCTCCCGCTGAGAGTTGTGTGATCTCTGTCCTTTTATGTCTTTTATGGTCCTTTTATCACTTTTATGTTTTTATTTCATTTTAAATGTTTTTACCTGCTTTTATTTATTTCCTCTTGATGTTTTTCTGCAGTATTTGACCTTTTAATTTTACGGTGCAGCACTTGAATGTTGTTTAAAATGTGCTATATAAATAAAGCAGATTGGAGTAGATTGGATTGAAACTCCTGTACTCCATTGTCAACTTCATTTATTCAATTTTCGTAGTTATCATTATAACCATGTAGATTAGAAGATTGAGCATTTTACCTTATATTACCATATTGGCATCTTATCAGTAAAAGATGAGGGAAGCACTTTATGAGTTAGCAGATTTTTTCTTTTTGATATAAATAAAATCTAATAAAGATAAAAGTGATCCACGGAAATTACTATCACATTTTTCTACATAATCATCCACCACAACTACATACATGATTACAGTGCTTTTATTTTGATGTATGAATATATTAACAGCTCTATTGTGGAGAACTTTGCTCATGTTGTGACTCTTTTGTATGATTCGCACCTTTGATTTTGATACCTGACCTTCTCATGTGGATTTTACATCTGCATTATCTAACATTTACAATGCATTTATAATGAGGTAGCTTGTAATGACGCTATTGTTGCTGCTATTATGGACACTCTCTCTTCTGCGCACCTGTCAACAGGTCTGCTTCCCAGATAAGCATCAACAGACAAGAAAGTGTGTGTGCGTGTGTATGTGTGTGGGTCCTCAACCCTGTGAGCGAGCATGAGAGGGAAGCCCATACTGCACACTCACTACCTGTGTGGTAACTGTCAGAGCTTCCTCTTTCCGTGACTGTTTCACCGGACAGCTGCAACAAGCTGATACTGTATCAGCCTCAAGATCACAGTTATGCACAACACACACACACACACATACACACACAGTTGAAAACACAGCAAGGTGAGACCTCTCTCTTCACCCACAAACACTTCATCCCTACCTTCTCTCTCTCATTTAGGTAAGGATTTAGGATTAGGTGGATGTTTGGTGGTGCTGGTGGAAGAAAGAAAGAAAAAAAAAAAGGAAAAAAATCATCCATCCATCCATCTATCCATCCATTCACTCATCTGAGTTTGGTACACTCCTCCTGGCCCTGACACGATATGCAAACAACCATGTTGCTGCAAAGGTCGGTGATTACATTGATTGAATGGAGATGACAGGTAGCATCTGGCCCTACCTGTGGATAGAAACCCCATGCTGGTTCGAACTCAGCGCACACACACACACACACACAATCAAACACACTCACACACACATTATTCAAACTTCTCACTCAGGATTATCTGCCATTGAACTGCCATCTTAGACTGTCTTTGGTTTTAAGAATGATTGACACCGACGCACACCATCTTCACCTGAGGAGGGGGAGACGTGCTCAGAGGTGCAGACCACAGAAAGGTCACACAAGTCTAATAATGAGAGTCAAATGGAAGTCTCTCCAGGAACCGTTAATCTTAACGGACAGAGGCAGGAGCAAGCGGAGAATAACCTCTTAGAATAAAGGAGGGATTACCACGGCTCTTCAGCGGCAGAGGAAAAACCGTTGCACACACAAATAAACAGCCCGAGTGCACTTACAGCACGCCGAGCACAATTTAATCAAGGGACACTGGTTTAAGAAAAAAATAAAATAATCCTACAACAGCTACAAATTGCCCAATTATAATGAGGACATGGCTCTTCACAAACCATCACTTTTCTTCCATCACTTTTACTTTGCCATTATGCACCTGTGTGTTGTCTGAATAGACCCGCAGGCCAATCTCATTCCAGCGAAGAGTGGCATCTGTTAATCCCAAATGTGGCAGCCTGAAGCCGAGAAATGGGTCCAAATATTTTTAAAAAGTACTTCACAGAGTTTGAGTCATCTGCAGCTGAAAACACAGAACATGCTCTATTGTAACAGAAAGTCTGCCCTCTGCTATCGTAATTATTCACAACTCACTAATACTTCGTTTTTGTACTCAGGGTGTAAAAACGAAGTATTAGCGACATTCAGTCGGTTTCAGTGTTGAGGTATTTGTAATTGACTTGAGTCTTACCTCTTTGGCTTGTTTAAAAATATGACAAACTTCAAGCAAACAATGCAAGCTTAGTCTGTCCTGGTCTTTATCATCTTTTTTTGGTTTTGTGGCCTCTGTCAAATTTCAGATCCTATTTCTGAAGAATCTGTAGTTCAACCAAGGAGACATTTCCCCTCTTCAGGGTTTCACATTTCTTCCCTTGTACTACCCCCCTCTGATTTCTTTAAACTCCTCTTCAGTGTAATGCATTTTATGTTCCCTACACACTGATGAACAGCAGTCCAGTAATGTCATATATACAGGTGCATCTAAACAAGTTAGAATATCGTGAAAAAAATGAACATTAAAGAAAGTTAAAAATTTTTATAATCTGGACCAATAAAATAAACACTCATTTTTTCAGTCTTCTCTTTAAACATTGATTACACTATCCTACAGCTTGAAAAATGTCAAAATTATCTCCAAATTAGGGCTAGGCGATAAACCGAAAATTTACAGATATTTACAATATCATTTTGCCCATGTCAATATTTTCAATGTCAATAAACAAAAGTTGATTTTGGATGTGTGTTGGTAGGCTATGGTCTCATGTCCCTTAAAGACGTTGTCCGTAACAAAGAGGGAAAGACAGGTGAGGAGATAGGGGACGGTTTAAAAGTTGTAGCGGCTGAAGTAGACAAAGTTAATGTGGGAGGGGGTGAGCAGCTTGTGGAGTAGTTATCATCAATTTATCGTTATCAAGGTGAACTGCTCAATATATCGTGATATTGATTTGAGGCCATATCGCCCAGCCCTACTCCAAATATAACAAAGTGTCATTTTTAAGTTTGAGGAAATCACTCTTCAAACAGTACTGATGCCATGTATCTAATTTTGAACATGAAACCACAATTATGGGTAAAACTCCTGACCTGACAATTGTCAAGAAGACAATCAAAAGACACCCTCCACAAGAAGGATGAGCCTCAGCAGTTCATCACTGCAAAGGCTGGCTGTTTGCAGAGGCATGTTAATGGAAAGTTGAGTGGGAGGACAATGTGTGGGAGGGAAAAGTGCACAAGCAACATGGATTACCACATATATTTATACATTTGGAGCATTTCATTCAGTCATCTGCTGATGAGCTTTGAGATGATGCTTATTTCTTTTTCCAGCAGGAACTCGCACCTGCCCACAGTGGCAAAATTATACTAAATGATTTGCTGACTATATTACTGAGCTTGGTTGACCTGAACCCTGCTGAGAATCTACAGGATATTGGTCAAGGAAAATGAGAATCACCAAATTTAGTAGTGCTGCAGTCTCTCATCTCCATGCTCAGCAACACTGATGGTAAAGGAGCCCCAACTTTTCAGGGGCTGAACTTCTTTGTATTTCAAACCCTGTGATTGATTTAAAGGGATAGTCTAGCATTAATTTAAGTTATGGTCAAACACGCCGTAACACTGAGTTAGACACCCCCTCAAGAGATGAATGTTGCCGACTTGCTTGCTTTTCTGGTTATATCAACTTAAGGAGCGACCACACGATAGCGATACACAGCGGTCTACGTCCTCGATGCGCAAAGCTCAACCAAAACGCCACTCTATAGCCACAAATAATGCTCAGAACAGCACCTAACTTCATCAACAGTACATATAGGGTCCCAGCCATAGTACTAGCCATCAAACATTTCTTTAGCAAAGAGACCAAACACAACTCACCCACTCTCCTCCAGCAGCCGCTTGTTTGAGGGGGGAGCCCTGACAAGTCGATCACAGAGTGCAGCAGATCATTTCCATAAAGCCTCAGCGTCTCAGTCTGATTGCATTTCCATGAAGTAATAATCATAAATGTTCTTCCTTGAACTGCGAAACTCTGCTGCACTCTGTGATCAACTCATAGGGGCTCCCCCATGTGTATTGCTATTGTGCAGTCTTTGCTGAAGTTGGTATAGCGAAAAAAGCAAGCAGTCAGCAACGTTCATCTCTCAAGGGGGTGTCTAACTTGGTGTTGCCGTGAGTTTGACCATAACTTAAATTTACGCCGGAATATCCCTTTAAGACAATGTTCTCATGATGTGAGATACTAGATAATGTGCGATCAAACTAAATGCTTGAGAGCCCTGTTATTTTTAAGAACCTCCTATGTTATAGTAATGTCAAGTATCATGATCATGAATAGACTTAGCATCTGGGTTCACAATTAAACCCATAATTCTACTCACCAATAATATCCCTGACTTACCTAAAGCTGCTAAACTGGGTTGTCTTGTTTTTTTTTCTTAAACAGCCAATCACACAACAAAAACAGACCAATAAAGAGGTGATAGGAACATAATAAGGCTCAGGGAGGGTTTTCAATGAGGATTGGGGACATTTAACCGTGGCATTTAGGCTCCTGCTATTTCTTGTTTAGTCAGGTGATGCAGTTATACCTAATGGAAGTCCAGGGGCAATTTAAAGGCACTCTAAACCAGCAGCTATTTAAAGCAGGTAGCTTGATCTCTGCAGACATGTTTAAATGGGTCATTTAATCACAGGGCGCCATCTGCAGGTCAGGGTGAATCTGAAGCGCTCACTGACAGTTTGATCAGCCTGAGTCTATGAAAAAAAAAAAAAACACTCTGTTCAGGGACGGGTAAACAAACTTACTATAGAGCATGAGAGTTTGATTTGCTTCTGTAATGATTTATTGACTGACAAACCGGCTCAGCGGTCGTTACGTCCAAAAAAAGAAAACATGTATGTAACATTATTCAGATAAAAATATAAGGAGCAATAAAAAAGGACGGATTGAAGGCTGATGTAATTATCTTACATCATGGTCTGTATAGACATTTTCATTGTGTACATTATTTTCTTATAGCTCTTCTAAATAACAGCAAACCTGTTCCTTTACGACAGAAAGTGGAGAAATGGCTTTCTGATATAAAATACCAGAATGTACGGGGTAGCAGAACAAGATTTGGGGTTTCAGACCTATAATGTCCTCAAGCACAGAAACCAGCAGGAAGGTAGCAAAGGGATCATGGGGAAATGTTGAGTCAGGTGTTTTTAAGCTTGGAATGACCTCTGCATGAAAAAATTATGTATTCAGGACAAAATATTCCTGATGTGCTTGAAAATCGACTCTTTCACTGCAGAGAAGAAATGAAAACTGTAGTGTTTACTTCAGACAATGAAAATGACCAAAAATTAAAGGTATAACAAGTTTTGTTCAAACCATATTCAGTCTTGAAACAAACAATTAGCGCAGAACAAAGTGTACATGATGATTCACATTGTGGTTCCATTTTTTTAAAGACATACTTTAAAGACGTACATTAAAAGGGGCTTTGATGGTATACCAGAGCCATCTGCTGCCTGGTCTGAACCAGGATCTCATGATGGCCCACTGGGTCATTACGCTTAACAACCAGAATGAAGACAACAACAGACTGCAAATGCACTTTAGCTCTTCAGCGTGTGTGTGTAATTGTAAGGCTATAACTGTGAACAATGTACCCAGAACCCACCAGGCCCACTGATCATTTATCGGTCAAGTATATAATCAATTATTTGGCTTTTCTGCCAATTTGGGTGTGATTTCAGTCCAGTCCTGAGTCTTTTTCTTTGACATAGTTTGGCTGAACAGCTGTATGAGATGCATCAACATGTCGGTACAGCTGTGATGATGTGTTTGTGTGTATTCCTGCCTCTGTTCACTCAGTTCTTCTTGACTCCGGGGCTGCGATTGTTGAACAGGCTGAGCCCCGACCGGCCGCTCCCATTAGCCACTCCACTGACTGTGACTCCTGGCTGCTGGAGCACTTTGTCCAGTGTGGTTTTCTTAATGGCTGCTGGTGAGATTCGCTCCTGATCTGCCAGATACTGAAGCTCCCTGTGAAAGTGAGAGGGGAGAGGAGGGGGGGCGGCTCAAGATCAGTTTCACAGTACAGATGTTATTTGTGTGTCAGACACAAACAGGCCTTTCAGTTGTGAGTTTTCATATCGGAGCTCAATGTTCGGGCCAACCTGACATACAGTATCATCTGATATGAAGACATTTCTGTTGATCCCCTGTAAGCAAATACAGATTTATACACTCAGTTTTGGCCGTGGTCTAGATGTTGGATTTCTCACCGTGTCCTGATGCATGATGCCTCAACGGCGTTAATCAAGAGGCTACGGAAGCCGCCGCTCTCCAGGACGTGCAGGGCATGGATGGTGGCGCCCCCTGGTGAGCACACATTGTCCTTAAGCTGGCCAGGGTGCTGCTCAGAGTCCAGCAGCATCTTAGCTGCTCCCTGAAAAGCAATAGGACCATAAGAAATACACCTTTTCTTCACCCCTTCGTAGTGTGAGTTATGCTCGTAATTACACACCGCACATAATCCCTACGAGTGATAAAGCTGCTTCCAAAAATCTAACACTGAAATATAGTTAATAACATCTGTGAATGATCTTCCAGCTGTCCTACAATAAGCAGACGCAACTGTGTTTAAGTGCTCCGGAGAGTCTTTCTCTTAGATGAATGTGCAAAACAAGAGTAAACACTCAAACATTATTTACAACGAACAACATCCGAGAGACTCCTGCGGAAAAAAGGGAAACACAGAAGACAGCTCGTAAAGATGCAGAGAGAAGCTGACAAAGTGAGCCTGAAGCAGCTGCTTGATTACCAAACAGTTTGAGGAGAGTTATTACTGGTAATCTGTTTGACAAATTGTGATCAAAAGCAGCGCGGTGATTTAAAGAAAGAAGTGTTATCTTTTTTTGTATTTAATGGTTAAAAACGGCAGCATCCAAATATTGCTGCTTTGAGACGTTTTTTAATTACAGGCGTGAACCCTGAAGACAACAACTAGAAGCGCAGATTTATCTATTTTATTTTGGAAAGTCAGGATTCCCAGCAGGGTTTTATTTCTCCTGAGTTTCATCATTTTTAGTGAATTCAAGTCAGCAGTTATGAGATTGAAGAAATGTTGGGAGCGGTAGAAGCAATAACTAAATTTCTGTTTTATTTAGGCTCCGAAAACTACAGACAAGAAGAGGATGAGGATGACTCAATTGAGAGAAAAAAAAAACAGCGAATGAATAAATGAATGAAAACAAAATTCAGATAAAACAGACAGACGCACAAACACCACTGACCAGCAACGCCTGGGCTCCGAGTCTGACAGCCAGTCTCCTGGGGAGGCCCATCTTCACCCCTCCATCAGCGAGAGCATCCAAAGCTGTGAAGGCCTGTTCAAACACACACACACACACACACACACACACACACAGTTGTTAAGTTTTTTCCCCTCAAGGCAGGAAAACCATCACAAATATAGACGCTTCTCATCAGTCTGATTTAACAGGACTTTTTCTCATTGGATCAGTGATTAGCCCCATCACAGGGATTAAAGCAAAACAAAATGTTTTAATTGAATTGTTTTTTTTTTTCAGGCCAGTTCATATTCCTTCACAATAGGCTGTACCGTGCAATCATTTCCCAAAGCTTTCAAGTACAAAGGTTAAATGCTGTAGCCTATTGGCTCTTAAGTTTCTCTAATCCAGCATTTAAGTTGTAAGAAAACTTAAACCTACACTATTTAAATATTCAACTCGCCGTCCACTTCCCACAGCGCTCAAAACTGCTCTAAATCTCCTTGATCCTATACAATGCTATTGGTCTTGAATGAGTTTTCTCAGGACCCGAGCCGCACTGCGGGACAGACAGCAGGCGCAGACGGTGGTGGACGCCTCTGCCGGCATGGGCGTGCCTGCAGCCCGCAGCCCGCAGCCAGGTGCGCCTACTAGCCGCCGCTGCCACTACCACTAGCCATGTCATGAGACGAGGGGACGTTTCTCACTTATCTGTGCGCCATCGCAGCGAGAGGCACCAACACCCCGCTCCCCCTCTAGCCAGCTAAGGAGGGGGTGCTCATTTTAATTTTATTTTCAATTTTCTGGTTACATTGTCCATACCAGTGGTCAAACCAGTGGACCCATTCATACTCTTTTTTTTAAACACTGGAGCGGAATAGCTGAGAGAACCTCCAGTGGGCTACTGATCATGATGCTGGAGCCCACGTCGGTGGTGGCTATGATGCCCTTCTCCCGCCCGCCCTTCTCTATTTCTGATTGGCTCATACCAAAGCTCTGGCTGGCTTTATTGGTTGACAACAGCGTCATGATTTCATTGGATAGTCAAAACTGAATCACAACAAATGTACGTGCAACTTTTTTTTCCAGCTGATGGAAATCCGTCTACAGACAGAGAACTTTAATCCCGGCCCATTGTCTTTGACTCGCCTTACTATGTAGCCTCCAGTCTACACTGAAGAAAATAGAAACATAAACAGAATTTAAACACTGACATCCACTCAATGAAAGGTTCCTCCTGACGCTCAGGATGGCCAAATGAGAATGAAAAGTGCAAGTCTCAAAGTCCAGCTGTGAGAATTCAAATTCAAAGCTGAAAATTTTGAATTCAAAACCAAATTCAGATAAAATAAAAATAAGTTATTATCACAGCTGGGCAGCCTGGTGTTTTTTAAAGAGGGGCAACCAGACCTGTCATAACACAGCATTAGCATTTGTCATACCCCTGATTATGCAGTGGCAGGCAAAGTCACTGAAACATGTCATACTGCTACTGTTTGGCTGCAAAAGGAAAACTTAATCTGCAAGAGGATACCTCTAATATGACATTAAATATGCAACAGTTTCATCAGAGTGCGCTGACAGCTGCACATCCAGATTCTGTGTCTGTGTGCCTGTAAATATGCACAGCACAGGGCCACTGCAAACACGCTATGTTGGCTGAGCTCCAGGTAGGTGGTCCGTTACATGTGCCGGCTTTGTAATCAGCGAATTTCCGTTATCAGCTGTACCTTGTCCTGCTGCTGGTTAACGGTGTGACGACACTTAAAAAGACCAGAAAGGGAGAAGACGTGCCGCCAAGTGTTTGTTACTGGAAGCTATACACCTGCAGCACACGCAGACAGACAGTGAGAGGCTGTAAGCTTTCATTTCAAACAGTTACAGCTGGTAGAAATGAAAGATAACATATAAGAAATACAGCTGTAAAACACAAGACTATCTGTTGTGTCTACTAAGGAAAGTTTTGATCTTTCTGCATTTCCACCGAGCTGTACTGGACTGTCTGCAATTACTGAAGAGTCCAAAAAAGTCAGGAAAAGTATCTGAATAATGGATCTCTACCATCCTACTTTTTGGCACCAAGCACACCTTCCTGATCTTAAAGGGGAGAGTTGAAAAGAAAGGAGGCAGCAATAGAGATGGCACTGGATGATACCTCTCCTAAAACCTCTCACAGAGATGCAAAGAGAGAAATATTGCTGATTTCTAATCATCTAACAATTATTTAACTTACCTGCAGCCAGAATGACTCAAAAACTTTTTTTCCCCAAACTAAATTTCACTGCTTCAGATGTTTTACCAAATACCTGCCCTGGACACAACTTCAAAATAAAAGCATTGAGTGGAAAATTGTTATTTTCCCCACAGAAGAGAAAACTGATCTGTCATTCAAAAAGTGCTTTCAGCTCTAACTTTCTGAATGTAGCACATACCAAGCCATTCACTTTTTTTATTTTCAAGATTGGAGCACAGCTAACAGAAAAAAACAAGCATGTCCTCTATTCTATCTAAACATAACCGGCCCATGTTTGGATGTGAGAGGCCCTGTTCACACTGGTAGTCTAGACAGCAGCCGACACCCTTCCAGGCTGAAGCACCGGGGTACACTTAGCTGTGAAAATGCAAGCGAGATCTGGGTTTACTGTACCAGACTGTGCCAAACCAAACTGGTGGAAATGAGACTCCAGCACAGAGCTGAGCCAACAGTGGTGGTGAGGAAGGAGGTTAGTTTTGTTTGCATAAAATGGACTCCAAGTACCCTGGTAATATGTCGAGTGTATGTCATATATATTTAAAGCCTGAAAACTTGAACCAAAAAATATATATAGAGAGAGATAATGTTAATAATTAATGGTAGATAAGGCCCTGGCTGTGAGGCCTGACAGCTGCAGATACAGATAAGACCTCACAGCACAACAAAAACCTCCCACGTCCAGAGATCTCAGTCGCCCACTGAGGGCAAAACGAGGCCTTTATGAAGAAAGTAAATGATGACTTTGCTGAAAATACATTTAAATGAATTCTTGAAGTTGTTCAACATGTTACAGAAGAATCCGATCAATGCCTCCCTGAAGACCAAACCGCACAGTAAGGTCCACAACCCTTTGTTTGACACACATCCACAACTCACATTCACATACTCACATAGGCAGGCCCACTGCCACTCAGTCCTGTGACGGCATCGATGAGATCTTCCTCCACCTCAGTACAGTAACCCACGCTGGCCATCAGCTGCTCCAGTAACTTGCCGTCCTCCACCTGGAAGAAGAAGGACAACATCTTGGTATGAAGCGGAATAAGTTTTATTAAAACCCAGTGAAGTACGAAAACTGACATCCTGGAGATATTTATGCATACCTATAAGAAGGACTGACTCACTTAAAAAGCCATTTACCTCTGCATGTGTCCCAGTGGCGTACACTGTTGCTCCTTCTCTCACCACCACAGGAGTATTCGTCATACACCTCATGACTTTAGGAGAGGGACGGTACTGAAGCAGCTTCTGTAAAACCCCAAAAAATGACCACAACACAGGACAGGTGTGTAAAGACATGCTGGATACATGTGACAAAAGCTCAGTTATAAGTATTTGTCAAAGGGGGAAAATGACCTTCAAAAATTAACAGGAACAAGAGGAAAATGCAGTTTTATTCAAACACGGTTGTACAGCTTCCGTCTGTGTTTAAATGATTTTGGTTGATGATATGTGCAAATCGAATCTTGATGATTTCAGAGACGATAAAGCTGTGTGCTTGGGAAGCACTGAATCAGAGAGCAGACAAGCTTGAGGAGAAACAGTTAACAGCAGAGTTGTCAGTTTGGGCGTGAAGGAAGTTCAGAGAATCACTGGAAGGTTACAGCCAGAGCAGACATCAGCAGATTATCAGCTCGAGATTACAGAGCAAACTGACCTTCTCTATGGAGTTGATGGTGACACCTGCCGCGCAGGAAACGATTAGATGGCGATCCTCGATGTCTGGCCCAATCTCATCCAGGACGAAGGGGATGATGTGAGGTTTCACAGCCAGGAAAAGAACATCACTCTTATTCACCGTCTCTTTGTTGCTGGTCGTCAGATTGACCCCCATTTTCTGCACAAGGACAAGAGCAGAGAGTTAAAGAAAGATGAAAACAGGTGTAACAATGGAAACACACAAACTTTAAACCTCAGACAGACCTACACCTGCACACAAGCATGGACACACCACAAATTGTTCAATTTTTAAGACAAAACACACACACATACAAACACCAACTCGTGTTCTCACCCTCAGCCCTGCCACAGTGGGCAGGTCTGTATCTGGGGAGCTGGCTGTAATCCTCTGTGTAGCAATAACACCTGCAGAGAGAAACACAGGAGACAGTGGAGACAAAGACATGAGGATGTATAATAAGGTGGAAGTGAGAGTTATTATGTAAAACCTCAGTGTGCCCTGCGCATGTCGAAAGTGGCATACCTGCCAACACTCCCGTCTTTCCCAGGACTCTCCCGTATTTCAGACCTATCTCCCTCCCTCCTCCCATATTGTCATTTCTCCCGTAGTTTGATGGTCCACATTCATTCATGAATTGGATCACTATATTTGTCTAAAGTTTCCAGACAACTGAAGATCGTCCTGTGTTTCTGCTCAGCCTCACAGACACTGGATTGATACTTTTACTTTACAGTTTGGGATGATTCAGGTCGGTTTAAGCTGTAAACTATATTTAAGCAGTGTTTGTTGCAAAATGAACACTTCACCTGGAAGAAGTCTGGCACCGTCACACAGTGATGCATTAGGCCGTGTTGCAGAGATTTTTCCGCTGTCAAAGACAACAAAGTCCGAAGTCTGGGCGTATTTCGGCTTCTACAAAGGGTCACAAGGGTTGCCAGGAAGCTTTTGCGCATCCCAGCAACCAGTGTGTCATCCGAGAGGCTATTCAGCACCAGGGGAATATCGTTTCTACTTTGTACTTTGTTTTTACTTGTACTAATGTTGATTACCTCTGGCTCTCGGTTTTAAGCTTATCGTTTTTCTGTTATTTAAGATGAAGGAAAAGTTCATTCTGCGTGTTATTTTGATTGTTTTTTCAAAATAAAACTTTGTTTAATGATTTCATGGCGTGTGTTAGTAATTTTTGAACATTTTGAACATATTTCAACAATACCGTGATAATATTGATAACCCTGATAATTTTGGTCACAATAATCATGATGTGAAATCTTCATATCGCTACATCCCTAATTCAGACTCATTTATAGTTTTTAGCTCCAATACAGCAGCTATAGTTCTCAGACTGTCTGTCCAATGATGTTAGTTAAAGCTCAAGTTGAATCACATAATAAAAAAACACAGTGTCCTCACCAGCAGCTGTGAAGCCTTTCACCAGGGCATGAGCCAGCTGGCCCGCTCCAATGAATCCAACACTCATACTGTCTGATGATGATGTGGCTGCTTTGACCTGTAAAACCAGTAACACAACTGATGGACACAGTCACACACACAGTAGACATTAACACTATATTAAAAAAGTCAGAAACACACTTATTTACAGAAACAGAGACAAAGAACTCTCTATTTTTTCAATTCAGAGGCACATAAACAGCATTTACTGAGGATACTATCATAACAAACAGGAGCTTTGTCACTATTATTTCATTTTCAAACGATGCAGAAACATTTTTATATATTTGAACACTGGATCTCCTCGTTTAAATAATGAGTATAAGTATGTTTAAAGATAGGAAGTCTACTGTTCATTTACATAAAGTATCATCTAATGACATTTTCTAGCCTCAGGCATATTTTCATCAACCATACTGAAGTCATTATAAACAGTATGCATCTTTTTCACTCTTGGGTTCGCCTTGAATCATTTCCTCCTCCACTATCTTTAATAAAAATGTTTATTTCTCTCCAGTCTGAACAGAAGAGCTCCAGCTGATGCTGAGGAAAGATGATAGCATGTCTTAGCTAGCTGCTGCTGTTCAAGCTAGCTTCTTCAAACGGAGATAATTCACCAACAAACACGTAGCGAGGAGATATTTACCGTCAGAGGTTTTGCCGAGGTTGTTCCGGGGAGAACAGATGTTAGTAGAAGGTTTAAGCGTTATTTCCCGGTGTCAGAAAAAAAAGAAATCACCACTTTTTAGTGTAAACGTGGCTTCCTCTTCACTCAACCCCCATGTGCCCCATTACTGTAACCGACAGCGAGACTGACCAATCACGACAGAGACAATCCGAGCTGTAACCAATGAGAATGTAGATTTGCAACAAATGGGCGGGTTTTCTCCGCGCCTAGTTGCATCAGTCCTCAGGGTTTGCAGAATGATGCTGCTGTGAAAAATGTAGGTCAAATATATGAAGAGTGAGGAGAGAAGTAGGTTATGTTTGTACTGACCAAAGACGGGACTGACAGACTCTATTTAGACCAAGTATGACTGATTCAACACGTATAAACTGGACTCACAGTTTAAGGGCAAAGGGAGGAGGGCTAATTATAGAAAAATGTATATATAGACTATAATATGAGAACACACTGTACTGTGTTGTAACCCTTTATTGCCTTTTGTATTATATTTGATACACACTTTTATATACTTCTATGAAATCAATATGACCAACAAATGACTAAAAAACACCTGAATACAGTCCGATAAATGATAAAAATGTCCTCTTTCCAAAAACATCTTTGTATCAAACAAGATAAATAAACTTTTTAATAATTTCAAGGACATTTTGATTTTTATTTTCTTTTTTTTTTCTTTTTATTTATTTATTTAGTAGTAAGAGAAATAAACATTTCAAGCTTCATCGAGGGGTTCTTTTATCGGTGCACAGGCCGCACATTGCACCTTGTTTCTGCGTGTAGCTGCAGCCTGCTACTACGCTGTTGTTTGCTACTTGGTTCTAATTCAGCACATGATTGGTTCAGCGCGGCCGACCCAGAGCAACTCCTCTTTTCATTGGCTATTCGTATAGTCTACCAAAACATGGTAGAATGCAGACTATTGAAAGCATATTGATCATGTTTCATACTGATATCGAGGGAAATTATCTTTTGATATAAATCGTTATAGTTTTATCGCCCAGCCCTACTACCAACACATCAAAATCCATCCAGTTCAAGAAAATCCAAGAATATTTATTGTCTACATTCAAAATATTGTACAAACAACAACAAATAGATGCCTTTGCTGAAAAAAAAGGATTAAAAAGTACATATTTGCATAGCCTGTCATTGCCAGACCCATCAGCAAGCTTTTATTCATGCCAGGGTAATAATTTCACTGACACTGACACATCACATTATGAACACCTGGGTGGTCTTGAATAACAGCTTAACCACAAATCCCACCTTCAGGAAGCTTCTGAATTTTCAGTTTTTGTTGACGTGATCAGACAGATGATGAATTTTATTTGAATTTTTAAGTTAACTAGGTGTTGGTGGTTTACTGGAGTGCATTATATTGTAAGGTGTTCCTAATATTTTGGTTTTTTCGTGTTTGTTTACTTGCCTTGTAAAATAAACATCATGTCATAGAGCTGTTGTATTAGATTATGTTACACTAGCCAGGAGTTTATTATATAACGTGTTTGATATTAACACTTGACTGATCCCTTACCATGAGACGTTTTGATGCTTTTCTTCTAAAATACTGAAAAACTAGATCAAGTAGCTTTTGAGCTGCAACAGAAATTTGTTCCCTTTTTTGAGATTTCCCCCCTGAAGACAACATGTCATTTTTTTTCACATGCCAACATCAAACTCCTCCACCTGAGTGGTTTGGGCACATGTTCAGCGTTTGTTATTTTGAATGTAAATGCACTGAGATTTGAAGATGACTCACTGAAACACTGGAGGGGACCTGAGGTGGCTGTGATATTTGAGGGACCTGAATTTGAATGAAGCTTTGTTATTCTAACAGCAGACCGTAGACCAGTGCTGCTCCTTCTCCCTGCAGATTTGACAGACTCTGAAATAAAGCCGAATGAAACTGGGAGAGCACTAATGAGCCATGGCATTCGAATGCAGTTTGGCTGCCCGTCCCCTTGGTATCCCACCGATGCAGATTCTTAAAATTAGCCATGAACTTGGCCTGTAGCTGTCAGTTTGATCTTAAAATCTTCCCCTGCACATTTTAATAGGACTGACCCTCCTGTCTGTGCGCTCGTCTCTTTCCTTCCTCATGCCATACCATGCCATGCCAGACTAAATTTATCCTTCACAAGGGGTACTGCATGTCTTCTTTGAGGGGCCGCATTCCATTTCTTTTTCTCACAGCGCGGTTGGACAGGGATGCTGACTGAAGGCTTGCGTATGCTCCTGTCTATATATAAAGCAGAATGCATGAGCAGCTGTTAGCTTACTCGTCTTCTTCAGTCAGCCGGGGGCATAAATATCATCTCACCAAGTTTATTCTTCCCAGGTGTGCAACCCAACACTTTGCAGGGGCCCAGGGCCATCATTTCATCCTATTTAGTAGTTTATTTTAAAGCTTTCTGTATATTTCCGCACCTTAACTTTGATGAGTATTTACCATAGACTGTATAGAGAATGGACGCCGTCTGCCTCCTCACTGAGTGAAGCCACTCCGAGAACAGCACCCTCTGGTGACAGGCTGCAGTATAGACTAGTTTGTGCTCCAGTCCTCTTTTTCTGTACAGAAAAACTCTCTCTGCGACTCTCCTGCCGAATGTGCACAATGCTACTGCGCAATGTTGGTTTCACGAAGTGGAGAAAAAACGCGGAATTACCGAGAGCTTTTCGGCTTCAAATCCGTATACTGGCGGAAGGCAGAACCAAGTTGTCCGTAGTATATACAGTTGTGGTATTTACCTAAGAAACTGGAACGTGGGATATCTTGATAGTTTTAGCAACAGATGTTAGGAAACACCTCAAATAAACGAAACTATATTTTACCTGTAACATAGGTTCATAATAATATTTTGTGTAATTATATAGATATATTGTTGCATTCCCATTATTATTATTAGTAGTAGTATTTCTTTTATTTTTATTCTTTATTTATTTATTTATTTATTATTGCTTTGATTATTCTTATTGTTGTTTTGAATATTCTTTTTGGTTTTGTTTGTTTGTTTTCAGTTTACTTTCTTGTGCTGCACGCACATCCTCGAAAAAATAAATAAATGGAATGAAATGAAAATCTTACTGCAGACATATCAGCTAATATTAGCATAAAAGAGCATATGAAATAGGAAATATATAAACACAGTATAGGGACAGCAAAAACAAAGATAAAACAGCTCAAACAGTCAAACAAAAGGAAAATTGTTCCAATGTGTGATAGATAATTTATACAAACTCATTACTGTCCAAATGCAGGAATTACACACAAAACACACACACTACTAAACAGATTAATTAAAGCAAATGAAACACACAAATTGGCTTCAGCATAATTTTTCCAAAAACAAGAGAAGCACCTCGTACCACTGCATCTGGGCTGAGTGAATTCCTTCGAAGTTTCATACATCTATATATACAATTTCCCAGTTCAGCATTTAATGTGTCTGTGTGGAGGTCTAAGGAGGTGGAAAACTTACAACAAGATCATATCAGAAATGTTCAGATATGGATTAAGCTAATCACTCATCAGTATCAACAGACACAAACTCATACTGTTGGTGAAAACAGCAGATAACAACTCCAGCTTTGATGTCAGGCTGCTAATTGGACTGTAAACAAAGAGCAGCAAAGAGAAATGGTTGTCTTGATCAAGATTGTTTTGGTTCATTCGGTCTGGCTGCACCAGATGCTCATAACTGGGCATTGGTCTCATAAAATATCGCCTTAAAGTCAACTGACAATCACCGATGGGTCTAGAGGAGACTGCAGCTGTATCACTGTGACATGTTGTCAGATTTCCGGGGGGGATCTGAAGAGTACAAAAAAAAATAACTCTCATGCTGTCGTGGTGATGGAAATATTGTTATATTATAAAGAAAAAATATATAATAAAATAATAATAATAATAATAATAATAATAATAATAATAATAATAATAATAATAATAATAATAATAATAAAGAAAAACTTATAAGCAATTGAACACAAAAGAAAATAAGATGAAATAATAATTAGAAAAATAATAATAATAACAATAATAGAGGTGAGGTCCTGATAGACAGGATGTCAAACTTTCTCTTCTGCCTGCGCCTCCTCTCTCAGAATAATGTTGAACTTTTTGGGGAAATCAGGAATAATGCGATGATTCATTCTCGACTGATGTTTCCAAAGTGCAGAATAACAGATGGAGTCGTGTACGAGGGGGGGAGGGCAGTGCGCTCGCTTCCTCCTCTTGCATCAGTTTGTGGAATAATCATCCAGAAAACTGTACTCCAGCCTCATCTCAAATGACCGAAATTTTTTGTGATGTGTCCCTGCAACTCTGGCCTTCAGACAGACTGTCACACACACAGACACCGAGTTAATTTACCAGTGCCTGCCTCTGTGCTATCTATCACTCAGACTCTGCATGTGTGCTGAGGCGTGACAGCACTCATTCGCTCTTTCTTTTTTGACAAAACCCCAAGAGATTTATTAAAAATACCACAGTGCACAAATCTGTTCCTTTATTTTTTTCTTTCCTCCACAGAACAACGAGCAGATCGAGGTGAGGCGCTCACAACAATTTGTTGCTTGCCGTGATTAGGGCCCCGAGGTGTGTCTGTGTGAGTGTGTTTGTGTGGTTTTGAGTGTGTGCGTGCTCTCAACAACAGAAAAGTGAGAGTGCAGGATTGAGAAAATGCATCAGAGAGGGAGAGCAGAAGCTTTGTTGAGTGAGAGATGTGCATATTTAATATAACAGACAGACAGAAAATCTTTCCCGAGTGTACATCCGTCTCCCCTCTGCAGTCTGAGACCAGAATGAGTGACAAGAATGAGTCAGAGATAAGAAAGAATACAAATGAACAGCATAGAAATGACAGCAGAGAAAGTTAAGGCATCCAGTGTAATGTCAGCTTTCAATTTCATGTTAAACCCAAAACTAATAAAGGATTTCCCAAAGCGCATCACCAAAATCTCGCAGACAAACCGGGATGAGACGCCCCAAAAGAACAAATGGAGATTGAGGCGGTTTAATGAACGTGTCACACAGAGTCTGTGTTTCTCTCCTCGGCAAACTGTCGATTTCTTTAGTTCATGAAGGAGCGGAGGTGACCACAACTGGTGATTATACCTCTTTTTATCGGTCCACTGGTGTTGACTGAGCGCTCCAATGTTGCCATGGTTGTCTGTACTTTGACCTCCTCTGGTGGAAAATAGTGAGGAGGGGGCCGTGTCTCAAAGTCCCTGAAACTTGTCTTA